CTCAGAATCAAATCCAGGGGAACAGATCTTACCCCCTGTAAAACAGTTGATTTCTGACACTGATACGCAGCCGTGTGCGTTTGTATAGTAGCGTCTTATTCATGCGTCGCTCTGCTGCTCAGTCAGTGGTTTTGTGTGAGTGGGCTGGATGAAATGAATAGAAACGCTGGGTGTGGTTTGAGTTTTTAACGTGTTTGAGCAGCTCTGTGTCAGAGGCACATTAATCACTGCTGCACCGCTCCGTTCTGTCCCTCCGTTCGGCCCCGCCGGACGCTGCGTGTGTGTCCTGGCTACTGGGTTTCATAAGGTCAGTGGATTTGTAAAGATGGCTCCTGTGTGGACGTGTCTGTTTTGATTTAGTGTCAGTTCGGATGATCTGGATGTGATGCGGATGAGCTGGAAGTGCCTCAGTGCTGCATTCTGAATAAAACCCATCCACAGAGAGAGAGAGAGAGAGAGAGAGAGACAGAGAGAGAGAGAGAGAGAGAGAGAGAGAGAGAGAGAGAGAGGCGGCTCTCAGACTGAGACAGCAAAAAAACCACTGATGCACAGATACCACCACCGTCTGGAGAGAGAGAGAGAGAGAGAGAGAGAGAACAGAAATGAGAGGAGAGAGAGAGAGGGAAAGAGAGATAACTGAGAGAGAGAAATGAAAGATGTAGAAGGAGAGAAATAGGGAGAGAGAGTGGTGGAGAAAAGAGAAGGGGAAAGAGGGAGAGTGAGAAAGAGAGAGAGAAGGAGGAGGAGAGAGAGCAGAGAGAGAGGAGACAGATGGGGGGAAAGAGAGACAGCTGAGAGAGAGCAGAGAAAGAACAGAGAAGAGAGAAAGAAACAGAGGGAGAGAGAGAGAGAGAAAGAAAGAAAAAGAAAGAGAAAGAGAGGGAAGGAGGTAGAGAGAGAAATAGATTGGAGGGAAGACAGAGAAAGTGGGAGAAGGGCAAGAGAGAGAGTGACAGCTGGAAGGAGAGAGAGAGTGAGGGAGAAAAGAGATAAGGGGGAAGAGGGAGAATGAAAAAGAGAGAAAGGAGAGGAAGAGAGCAAGAGAAACAGAATGTAAGAGAGGGAAGGAGGTAGAGAGAGAGAAATTGATTGGTGGGAAGAGAGAGAAAGTGGGGGAAGAGCGAGAGATGGAGAGTGAAAGAGAGGGAGGGAGAGAGAGAGAGAGTGGGGGGTAAATGTATGAGAGAAAGAGATGGAGAGGGGGAATGAAAGACAGAGAGAAGGAGAGAGAGAGAAAGAGAGGGTGAGAGAGATCCAAAAGAGAGAAAGAGAAGAGAGGTGTGTGTGTGTCATGCAGGTCAGTTGAGGATAGAAGTGTGTGTGTGTGTGTCATGCAGGTCAGTTGAGGATAGAAGTGTGTGTGTGTGTGTGTGTGTGTGTGTGTGTGTACAATATCAGTACACACCTTAATCCCGTCCCAGCTTTGGGATCTACAGTCACCTTCATTCACTCCCCTCCCACTGTGCTCTCCACTCGTTTCTGCAGACGCCACATGATTGCATCAGTCAGTGGGCCGCAGTGCCCCGCGTCCTCTAAACGTCTCAGTTTACTGTCCCAGATGACCAGAGGAAACACTTCACCTCATAAAAAGCCGCCGCCCCGTCTTACACTCACAGCCCCAATCAGAGAAAAGCTCATGATTTCTGCGAACACAATACACATCTGTGTTTTTTAGTTCATTTATATTAAATATAATCTTCACAGTCCTGCCAGAAAGACCCAGGAGGCGAGAGTGAAGGAGGACATTTTTACATCCTCGATGGAATTTTACAAGCTGAAAGACAACAATTCAGTAGATACTAAAGAGTCTTTGCCGTAGGCCCCGTCCTCAGTCCAGGTCTCGGAGCGCCGAGACCCTCGCTGAACCGAGAGACGGTGGGGCGGCGGTAGCGGCTTCCATCTCTGTCATTTAGACTGAGATTTCTTATCCCATTTGAATCACTCATAAACGTTACAGACGTCCTGAGGTGAACTGGCATTACTCACCTCCCCATGGACAACCAACCCCATCTGAACAGAGCTATAAGTGTTTTCTTTTCTTATATTTTGGCCAAGTTTTGACGTTTATGGCCCAAACTGAAGGCCCAGCACTATTACACTATTATTCCACATGGCTATCAGCAGAAATTAGCATTTTTTTCTCATGTTTTAATTTTTTTTTACCTAGTTTTGACATTTGGGGCCTGAACTGAGGGCCCCGTTCTAATAGTCATGGTTCGTCACTGGGTATCAGGAAGAGTCTCTGAGGTACTGAGCACTTTCTCTCAGTAATAGCTGGGAGTTCATGAAACATAATATTATTGATTATTATTGTGCTGCTGGTGCTCAGTGACAAAGGTCATTATAGTTCAGTCTTTTAAATGGTATAGTGTGGTCAGTCATGCGTAATGTGACCAGAAACATCATAAACAAGGTTAAAAAAAAAGATTGTCAGGTTGGCTTTAAGGTTGTACTTTTAAGTAAGGTAATACTTTTCTTTCAGGTACGTTTTTTATTCATCAAGGTACAAACAGTGTAAATGTTCCCTCAAAGGTACAACAGTGGTTTTAGGGTCTGATTGTGAACCTTAAATAAGTTTCTCCAGGTGAAAAGTTCGTATTTGTACCTTTTCATAACCGAATGTTTTAAAACAGAACAGTAAAATAAAAGCCTGGAGACGAGACGGGGTGTGTGGAGTCAGTACAGCTTAGAACATATCATTTCAGTGGATTATGGTTCAGTTATGTTCCCTGACTAAAGGTACTGAGATGGACCCTTGAGGGTCCCACCCCAGTGACAGGAGGGGCACTGCCCCAGAGACAGTTTAGCACCTTTTCTTCTGAGAGTGTAGCTCATGTGATGCAATATATATCTGATAGTGGTGAAAGTTATGATACAAGTTAAAGCGCTAGTGTGGGCTGCTATGTACAGTGTAGAGGAGAGATGTGTGTATAGAGTCTGATTGTCTATGAGGAATCATTTTGTCTGAGGTGTGTGTGTGTGAGAGAGAAAGAGAGAGAGAGAGAGAGAGAGAGAGAGAGAGAGAGAGACCCAGGCGATTTCTAAGACTAATATTGGCTCAGAGGTGTACAGAAACAGAGATGTTTAACACTGTGTCAGCTCCTCCTGCAGTGGCTAACAGGTGGCGGAATATCGACCCGTGGAGAACATCCTTCACTCCTTCATCCTGCCAGAACGCTCGGCCTCTCAGAACTATCAGACGTCCAAACCACCGCAGGTCCAGGGTCCGTTTTTACTCACTATATCTTAAAGAATAGGTCGACAAGGACAAGAAGGAGCTGACCACAGGTCACTCGTTGGCTGAGGTGTTGAGACTTGTATCCCTCAGAGAATCACAGACGCTTTGCCTGCAATCCTTTCACTACATTCATAGCACTTAATGCAGAACTAGACCTTTAAAAATGAGACTCCTGGGGAAGAGCTGGGCTCTCATCTATCAAAGGGTGACTAGTACTTGTTCTCTCTCTGTGTGGAAGAACCGGCCGAGCTGGCATTTATCAGACGTGCGTACGCACAGCTGTACTCGGTGATCAATCCTACACTGCTGTGTTAGTTCACAGCCGGCTCATTTACATAAAGAAACGCCCCCAAATATCTATATATAGTAAATTCAAAAAAAGTTCCCAGTATTCTGTGAAGCATATCGCTGCTCATTTTTCAGTTTTTGACATAATTTGAAAATGCCTGTTGGCCTTTACATTGTTTGTAAATTTCATGATGAATGGACCAAAAGAAACGGCCCAAAATGACTTGGAAAATCGGGTAGGGTGTCCTGATTCTTGTTGAGATAGAGGGATAGGGTGAAGTGTTGGGGCTACATGGCTTTGGTTTTTCAGAGACTCACTATAAACAGTATTATGAGGAAAAAAAGAAAAACCGGCAAGATGGCTGAGCAAGAGACCAAATAAACCCACAAATGTGAGAATTTCCTCCATAAAAATTACAACAACCACTGTATTTTCTTAGTTTAATGTCGTTTCAGTGTATTTTGGTCCTTTTCTTCATAACAAACATAAAATATCACTAGTAGTAGCTGATGTCTTGATAGCTAGCTAGATAAATTTCCTGTTCCCCCTTAAATAGTCTGGCAGTTCTGACGCCTGAAGTGCCAGAATGCAGCCGCTGCTCCAAGAAACTGGCGAACGAGAAACTGACTTCAGCTTTGCGACTTTTTAGTGTTTCAGTTTCTCGTTGAGATTAAACGTATCAGGAAACCAGCTGGAGTGATTATAAACACAGATAAGTCCATTCGTATCCAAATTATAGATGTTTGTCTTAAATCTCTCTCTTTGCCTTTTTGTTAGCTACTAGCTAGACGAGACTGTTGTCTGCGTTGCTATGGTGACCATTTATTGTTAAACTGTGTTGAACGATCAGCAGAGCTTTATTTTACTGTAAAGGAGGATTATTTTATTATTACCTACAGATCTGATTCTGCTGTGGAGCCACAACAGGACAGTAAAAGAGCTGCATGCAGCTCCAGAGCCACGTGTTGCCGACCCCTGCAATAAACCATGTTTATCTTGTCCGTTGATCTGGTGTAACTGGCAACTCATGTAAAACTCAGTTTAATGTAAGTTTCAAGCATCTAAAGTTGCATGATAGTTTCACTTTCACAGCCAGCTTTACAACACAAGAACATAATTGATTATATTTACGTTCAATATATATTTGTGCGAGTGACACCTCCCACTTTTGTCCCTGTATGAAAAGAGTCTGACCCACTAGGCCTCCCCTACGTTTGCTGTCCAGTGTGATTACAGTGAGTTTTACTGTGTGTGGCTGTAAAAACACTGTAATTATCCATCTTTTCTTACATCTTCCCTGTAATGCTGTGGTTTTGCCCACACGGAAGTACTATTTAGTGAATGAATTCGTCTGTCTAAACACAGTGACACATGGCTTTATAGCAGAACAGCTTGTCTACTGCAGTAGGCATTCATTTCTCTGCCTTCCTTTCTCTCTCTCTCTCTCTCTCTCTCTCTCTCTCTCTCTCTCAGGATCGCAAGCTGTCTAAAGCAGAGCGTCAGAGATTTAAAGAGGAGGCGGAGATGCTGAAGGGCCTCCAGCATCCAAACATTGTCCGGTTCTACGACTTCTGGGAGTCGGCTGTCAAAGGAAAGAAGTGCATCGTCTTAGTGACCGAGCTCATGACGTCAGGCACGTTGAAAACGTGAGTCACAGATACAGTAAACATGAGAAAAATATGTGATATTGATACAGAGAGCAGTGTAAGATTAGAGCTGGGCGATACGGCAGAAATGTAATATTGTGATACTTCAAGCAATTTTCACGATACACAGCATGCAACAATATTTACTTTTTCAGACGTCTGATCAATTGGAACAGAGAAAAAGAACCAGTAGTGCTAGATTTAAAAAAAATAGCATCAAAAACTGTGAATACAAGGATTAACATTCAATATTAGGTACAATGTGTTGCACTAAATCCAGTTAAACGGGACTAATTTTAATTTTCCTCTCTTTATAATGAAACATGCAGTTGGTCGGTGTTCTACACTCTTAAAAAAGATGGTTCTTCAAGGTTTCTTTAGTGCAGAAATGGTTCTGTACCAAACCATGAACACTCAGAGAACCCTTTTGCATGACTTAAGGGTTCTTTGCATGGTGAAATTGTTCTTCAGATTGATGGAGAATGTGGTGTATGTGGTTCTATATAGCACCAAAAAGGGCTCTTCTAACAATACACTCCTAAAAATGATTTCCATTATAGAACCAACACTCAAGGAACCATCTCTATGATTAAGGGGTTCTTCGTGTCGTGAAAGCGTTCTTCAGAATGATGGAGAATGTGCTGTAGATGGTTCTATACAGAACCTTTTTGAAAAGGGTTCTAAATAGCACCAAAAAGGGTTCCACTATTGTTACAAGTCAAAGAAGCTTTTTTGGTACTATATGGAACCCTTTTTGCTAAGAGAGTAAAAGTACTGACAAGATGGACGATATGTTCAGAAAAGCATATTGTATTGTGGCACAAATTATCATAATAATGAAGCGTATTCTGTCATATTGCCCAGCCCTACACAAGCTGCACTCTGTCTCTGGAGCAGTTCCCCTCTTGTCACTGGGGTGGTTCCCTCAAGGGAATCTCAGTACCTTTAGTCAGGGAACATAACTGAACCATAATCCACTGAAATGATATGTTCTAAGCTGTACTGACTCCACACACCCCGTCTCGTCTCCAGGCTTTTATTCTACTGTTCTGTTTTAAAACATTCGGTTATGAAAAGGTACAAATACAAACTTTTCACCTGGAAAAGCTTATTTAAGGTTCACAATCAGACCTTAAACCACTGTTGTACCTTTGAGGGAACATTTACATTGTTTGTACCTTGATGAACGAAAAACGTACCTGAACAGAACCTTTATTTCTAACAGTGTACAGACCACATTTTTAATGTTAAAGATCATTCATATTCATGTTCTCCAGGCTTTCCTGCTCTGAAACTGTTTGCTTTTGGCAGTGATGTCATTTCATGCTTGAATCATTTTCTATGCTTGGTTTTTCTCCCACCATGCTGGAAGTGCAGGACTGTAAGGAGGCGTACAGTTTTGGAAGGAGAACTGTACCAAATGCTATGAGGGTACTTAGGTGATGTGGGAGCATTGGTACTGATAATTTAAGTGTAATTGGTGGTCTGGTGCAGGGGTACCCAGCAGGGTTGGTCTGTAGGAGAACATTCTCTTAATTGTCCTATGTGTCTGACACTGCTGCAGCATTATGGGTACAAAGATGGATGAATATGACCATGAGAAGACTCACCGTACTGTACAAAAGCAGCATATAAGAAATTTACATTTTAAAAAGCTCTTATTTATCTGAGCAGTAAACATTCACTTACTCAGAAAATGACTCATATTGTAATAAACACAAATAATGTCACTGTAATACGGTCAGTAGTAGTTTTATGTAGGTCACTATGTTCGTATAAATATTTCTAAACCTCTCCTCGAGGAAGCCCAGCATCCACTGCCTGGTTTGGCTAATCAGTGCTTCATTATGTTAAATCAAGTGTGCTGGTGATGGAATCAATGCGTGACTGGAGGCATCGAGGAAAAATCGAGGAGAAATCTGGAGCCAAACTTTCTTCTTCAGACTAGCTCATAAGATACCAACACCTTTTAAACAGGAAATTCTTGTTACTTCTTATTTATGTCTGTTTGCATTTCACTGTTGTCGGAAAAAACCTCGTATCTCCATTTTTTACATTTTTCGGTTTTTGACATGATTTGAAAATACATGTTGCTCTTTACAATGTATGAAAATTTCATGATGAATTGACTAAAAGAAACGACCCAAAATGAATTAGAAAAATGTCTGGTTCCATTGACTTACATTAAAAGTATAGTATGTTTTTTCCTTCTCCTGTAAAGTTACCATTTTGGAGATTTTTTGGAGTTTTTTTTCGACAACAGCGATTTATTCTAATAATGTATACTAATTTTTCAAGCAAGAACACACTTATTGGCAAGATAAATGGTTTTAAATAAAGTGCTTAGACTTGTGTACAGTACTGTACTTTAAGCCTATTCTCAAAGAACCAGTCTCTAATGTATTGGTTCCCAATCCCAATCTAGGGGAACCTGTATATATTTTAAGCCCTTAGAATCCCTGACTTATTACATACTAAGGCTTATTATTCAGTAACTACAGAGAACTTCAGTGCAAACTGGCAGAGCTATTCTTAGGTTATAGAAGTGTGTAATTTAACTCAGTAAGTTATAGTAATGGGCGATACACCAGTTCATCTGGTGTAATTCTTTTTAAAGTATCGTGTTATGCAAGTAAATGCAAATAATGTGATGTACAAACAGTGCAAAACACACTGATTCCCTCACCTCTTGTGTAGTCAGCTGCAGCCTGAGGTCAGTTAGTCCAGTTTAGTGTCAGATTGTAATGAGTTAACGAGGAAAAGAGAGTGGGAGGAAAAGCCAGTCTCTTGGGGTTAGCTGTTAGCCATTAGCCTGGCATGGAGACTAGCTAGCTTTCCGTGTGCAGCGCTCCTCGCTCAGCCAGCTGCTTTAGGCGACACTGCGGCCTCGGCCTACAAACCACGAAGCTCCAAAGCTTTTCAGCTAAAACTGAAAGTGTGAACGGCTGTAATATTTACTAAATTCCAGCAGTGTCTGGCGCTCATAGAGTAAAGCTCAAGTGTGAGAGACACATCTGAGACAAATGACTTTTAAACGTAAAAGAACATTCAGCACTGTTTTTAAGGTGCTCAGAGTAGCCTCTGTGGACTTAATATGCACATGCCTTTATCTCATTAGGGTTAGAAAGCAATATTGACTATTGAAAAGATATATTGTTCAGTTCTGTTTTAATATTTTGCCCAATAAAAATATTTTCGATTTACTTCAGGTGTTAAAAAGGTTTACTTAAACATCCAAAATGGTTTTATATGAAAAATAATGTACATAAATACAATATACTGTGATGTACCGAAACCACCAGTGATCCGTATTATACTGTGATATAAATTTTTGCCCATACTGCCCATTTCTAGTAAGCAATTCCCAGGATGTTTGAGGACTGAAGTGCATTGGAGAGGGAGGAAACCCCACAGTCTGCACTATATAGAGTATTGAGATCCACCACACTTTAACTAGCATGTCTGTACAGTGATCTCAATGCGTGCTCTTTCTGCAGGTACTTGAAGCGCTTCAAGGTGATGAAGACGAAGGTTCTACGTAGCTGGTGCAGGCAGATCCTCAAGGGTCTTCACTTCCTGCATACGCGTACCCCTCCCATCATCCACCGGGACTTAAAGTGCGACAACATCTTCATCACAGGCCCCACAGGCTCCGTTAAGATCGGGGACCTCGGCCTGGCCACGCTGAAGAGGGCCTCCTTCGCTAAGAGCGTCATTGGTAATGCTGGGGAGTCATTCTCTGGGGATTTTTCTGATAAAGACCAATTTCATGCTCTGCTGAAGCACACTGAGTCAGGGGTGACGAAATCTGGGTCTGGAGGGTCTCAGCACAGCACAGGCTCTGTGCTCAGTCACACCTGGTTCACCTTAGTACATACACATCTTTTTACATGTAGCTCAAGAAAGGCTCAAGTTATTGTTGTTTTTGCTGCATAATATAAATATGATTACATAATGAATTACATAGTTTCACGATAATGCTGTGCTGTGAGACACTGGCACTCACAGAGCACAGATCAGCACATGGTGCCAGTGTCTCACGGTATAGCTGTGATTTTACCCCATTTCCATTAAGAAGAGTTACACTGTTTGTGCAGTAGGATTGTGCGTTTGAGGTGTGTTGTCACCTGCGTGTACATTGTGTTGAGAACGTTTCCAGCCTTAGGGTGGAACATCATCGCAATGCGACTTGTTGTCATGTTGTTGCCATCTTATGTCGCCCGCTGTCATCATAGTTCTTTTCGGCAGGGCTGTTACTCGCCAAGAAGTTGTGGCTATTACTTTTTTAATGGCTGGTTGTTGTTGCTACATCGCAGGTGAAGAAGGCAGAGTGATATTTCAAGAGATTCATTTGGAGTCCATTTATCAGGCTTATAGAATGCTTGTCAGCCAATCACACTGCCAGATCCGTGGTGTAACGAATGAATGGCATTTACATTCAGTTTACACTCATTATTGCCAGTTTTGAATCTGCACTTCTGCCTTTTTCCATTTGTTTTCCATTTGTGTCAAAAAAAATGACAAAAACAGGCCAAACAGAAAATGTAGAATCTACACTTTCAACAGAATTTTCCGCTCGTGTCATTTGGCTATGACTGTGGAATACTTAACATTATTATCTGTGATAACTGTGACTTCTCTGGGATAATGATGTTCTCAGGGCACCGGCCGTCACAGGTCTTCACTGTTTATCATATTCCATAGTTTGTTTGTGTTGTATTGTAAGTTCTGCCTGTGCTTTTCTCTGCTGTCTGACAGGCACTCCTGAGTTCATGGCCCCGGAGATGTATGAAGAACACTACGACGAGGCAGTGGACGTCTACGCCTTCGGCATGTGCATGCTGGAGATGGCCACGTCTGAGTACCCGTACTCAGAGTGCCAGAACGCTGCTCAGATCTACCGCAAAGTCACCAGCGTGAGTACCTGCCGCAGTGGCTACAATGAAGATCAACAGATAGAATCAACACCGATGGCTGCTGTGGTTCCCAAACCAGGTCTTAGAGTACGTTTTGGTATTTTGGAGTTTTTGCTGCTGTAACACAGCTGATCCAACTAATCAGCTCATTGGCAAACCCCTCCTGAGTTGGTGTGGGTGAGTTAAAGCATGGAAAACACCAGATGTCATGGACCAGGATTGGGAATAACTGCTATAAAACACAGAAAGCATAATCTCTCATTCATGTAACTGTTTGGAGAATAACCATGGTACAGGGTTAAACCGGCTTTGGCGCTGACTTGAGGGTGTTTTTTCCCTTAGCTTTACGTTTTGTACATTTTATTAGGATTGTATGCCACTGGGTTGATAAGTTAATAATAAAAATATTATATGCAAAATCTTAATGATGTAATTCATTCTGTGAGTTGTATTTAATCTATGAGAATATTATGATGTAATATCTCAGTTTCACAGTTGTTGTTATGAAACTGTATTTACGTTTGTAAGACTGTTTTCTTCTTGTTCAGGGTGTGAAGCCAGCCAGTTACAATAAGGTGACAGTACCCGAGATTAAGGAGATCATAGGGGAGTGCATCCGCCATCGCTGGGAGGAGAGGTAAGAGCACACCTGGACAGGTACCACTTTAACATGTAATCACTGACTGATTGATTGATTAACTCATTGATTGATTGATTGAGTGAAAATACATCCTGTAAAAATTCAGGCACGCTAACTGAGTCACTGTGGTACATTTTTCTCAGAAAACTGTGGTTTGCTTTGATGCTGTGCCATAATGCTGCACGATACGGCCATGAAATGCGACATTCAATGAAGCCGTCGGATAAAAGATGACAATATGGTTATGAATTATAGTTGAAATCGTGTGCTTCTGACTGGAGGTGCCACAAGTAAGGACTTCTTTTGGGGTGGATCGGAGGGACTGGGGGGGGGGATGTATAAACAAATATCTAACTAACCTCTCCATTAAGCGAATAGCAAAAATGAAAATACTATTAGCTACTTACATATTTACATTCATAATTTATCGCTGTTGTCGGAAGAAAACCTTGTATCCCCCAAATGGTAACTTCACAGGAGAAGGAAAGAACGTACTTTACTTTTAATGTAAGTCAGTGGAACCAGACTTTTTTTCCAAGTAATTTTGGGTCGTTTCTTTTGGTCCATTCCTCATAAAATGTACACACATTGTAAAGGGCAACAGGCATTTTCAGATTATGCCAAAAACTAAAAAAAGTATATATATATATATATATATATATATATATATATATATATATATATATATTTATAACAACAAGCCTGACATCGTAATAATAGAAGAACCCTTTTGCGATGCAAAGAACCCTTTAATCATGCATGATCTATCTATCTATCTATCTATCTATCTATATATATATATATATATATATGTGTGTGTGTGTGTGTGTGTGTATATAGTTAAAAAATAGATGTATTAGTGTTTGAGCTGTACACATATGTACATGTAGCTCTTTATGTGGGAGAGCAGGGTTCGAGCCCAGCTCAGGGAAGCACTCACTGTAATTCTTTGCTCCCCTTAATCTAATTACATCACTCTGGCGCTGCATGTGTGAGATCAGATCTGTTGTGTCATCACAGCTCTTAACAACGTGTATATCATGGTAACACTACTAATAGGATTTACTGTGTGCACTAAGCTGAAACTGATGTTAGTTTAGTTGTTCCAGTGGTCAGATGTAGCACTGCGAGTTGTCTTTCCACTCACGGACAGAGAGTCAATCACAGGACTGAACGCTTTTACTTCAGCAGTAGTGCATCACCAGAGCAATACGATTTCATATCGCTGCCGTCTAGTGACATTCACTTTCTGACACTTGTGTTTATATACTGGGGTATACGGTGAGAGGTGGCTCGCCTCTTTATGCTTTAAAGACATCTTATTATTTGACAGACATCTAAGCTTTTCTGATTATTTGGACACCTGCCTGTAGTGTCCCACAAATCTGAGTAGGCAAAGAAGACGGGTCTGATTTGAGCATTTCACCCTGATATGTTAACATGGTCTAAGGCCGTATTTAGATAACAGGCTGTGGGGCTGTGCTGACGTAATAGCCTACACTTCAAAAGCTGGAAACACTCCTAAAATCTGGTTTTCTTTTCCTGATTGGGTGAAGTTAAGCAATGAACATGTCATCAAACTGTAATGATTTTGATGTTAAGTAAAACACATCAGATTTATACTATAATCCATATTAATGAGTGTTGTTGTTTTGTTCAATAGCTTATACAGTGTAGATAAAAATACTATAAGCTGGACACCAGAAGGTGTTTAAGATGTTTTCTTCAGTATTTCAGTCCTGTTTTGGGAACAAAAGAGTTATTAAGTGATAAATTACATGCTGTAAGTATCTATTTATGATAAATTCTTGATGAATTATCTGCCTTATTTGATCACCCCTTTCCAAACATGAGGCTATTATGGATGTTAATTTTATTTTAACTTCATTCTAGATGTTCTACAGTGATGTTCTCAGTGAATCATTTGAATCATTTATGGCTCTGTTTATTGTTCTGGACGCATTTAATGCATTTAATATTTCTTCATTTTTACAGTTTACTACTAATCAGTTGTAGAATTCAAGCATCATATTAGAATCATTTTATACATGTACCTGAAAGGGCACACTTAAAAATAAGGGTTCAAGGGTTCTTTAGTAAGGAAAATGGTTCTATATGGAACCATGAACACTCTTTATAGCATCAAAAAGCACTTTGCTATTGTTACAATGTCACGCTTGTACCAATAGAGGAACCCATTTTGGTGCTATATAGAATCCTTTTCAAAAAGGTTCTATATAGAACCATCTATAGCACATTCTCCATCAATCTGAAGAACCATTTCACGATGCAAAAAACCCTTTATTCATGCAAAGTGTTTATTCGGTGAATGTTCATGGTTCTAAATAGAACCATTTTGTTTTCTAAAGAAGAACCATCATTTTTAAGTGTGTAGAGGTGGGCGGTAGTGTAATATTGCAATGCTTTAAGAAGTTTTCACGATACATGATATACTATATTAAAGCAATAAGCCACGAGAGGTTGTTACTGCGATTTTGTCACAGGGAAGGGATGTTATTAGGCACGACGCGAAGGACTGTTTAATGCAAAAACCTTCACTTTCTAAGTTCCAGCGATGCCCTCTTCTCACGCTGGGGCTGAATCTCGAATGGCTCCCTACTCCCTACATAGTGCACTACATAGGAATTTACTGGATTCTGCAGCCCAACAGAGCAAAATACAGCTAAGAAACAGTCATTTGGGACTCAGACACATCCACACTCGATAAATGATGCACTGTTTGGCTTTAGAGGCTAGAGTTTGACGGGACTTCTGACGGAAACATGAACATTTGAAGCGTGTAAAACATTCAGGTGACATTTTTTAGACTTTTATACTGCTGTTTTACAGTTAATCATACAGTAAGTACTTTAATTCAAGCCTGTGATATTAATGATGTAGTTTTTTTAGCATGTTTGCTATCTTTTAGCCTGTTAGCCAGCTGACCAGCCTAGTTCTTGTTAAGAACATAAGCTGTCAGCTCCTCAGTTTACACAAAAACGGGTTCTTACTTCATCAGTACGCTTGGTGCTCCATGTGAGCAGCATTAGAGTCAAAGATTATTCTATTAACAGCACAGTTAGTGCTGTGGCGCAGTGATACAGAATTCAGTGGTTGTGCTTATATCATGGATTTTACAACGGCTTCGAATGCGACTCGGCCAATCAGATATTAGGACCATAACTATCCATTTTATAAATATTCTTTTATGACATCTCATAAGTTGGAAAAGGCAAAGTGCCACAATATACACACACTGTGACGTATTGTGACAGAATTTATCACAATACCCATAAATGTTGTCATATTATCCAACCCTACCTCCAACAAAACTGTTTGTATATTTATTAAAAATAGTGATTCCAAAGGTTTGAAGAGTATGCAGGAAGAAGTATGTTACAGCTCTAAAAGTCCTGTCTAAACCTGCTCCTCTCTCTCCCCAGATATTCCATAAAGGACCTCCTGAATCACGCGTTCTTTGCCGAGGACACTGGCGTCAGGGTAGAACTTGCGGAGGAAGATGATGGCAAAAAGATGTCCATCGCGCTCAGGCTGTGGGTCGAGGACCAGAAGAAGCTGAAAGGAAAGTACAAGGACAGCGGCACCATCGAGTTCACCTTTGACCTCGTGAGAGAGGTCCCAGACGCCGTCGCCCAAGAAATGGTAAACAGAGGAAACTGATGTCTCATGTTTCTGGGTTTAGCAGCTGTAGCCAGTCAGCAGCCTGTCCTTGTTGTCCATCCCTACACACACACACACACACACACACACACACACACACACACACAAACACTAACAGCAGGCCATGTAGGAGGAGAACAGAGTGAAGGACACAGCACCTCCACACTTTTACTCCCCGCGGGTTCACCCAACACCACATGTGTAATATAAATGTGTGGGGGGTGAACAGAGTGAAGCACTGAAAATGGGTTATTTTATATGTTCTTCACAGAAAATGAGGAAAAGCCAAGAATCTGAAATAATAATAAATCACATCATTTTTTCTTTTGGTAGATGTTGAAAATGGGTCCCACAGACCTGAACACCACACAAGGGTTAGGTTTGAATCCTGTAGAGAAACAAACATTTTTTTTACTTGTTCAGACTTTTGCATATCAGTGCTGTCGGGGCAAAACCTCGTATCTCCATTTTCGTTTTTCAGTTTTTGACATCATCTTAAAATGCCTGTTGTCCTTTACATTGTATGTAAATTTCATCATGAATGAACCAAAAGAAACGGCCCAAAATGACTTGGAAAAATGTCTGGTTCCATTGACTTACATTAAAAGTAAAGTAGGTTTTTTGTTTCTCCTGTGAAGTTACCATTTTGGAGATACGAGGTTTTGCTCAGCGATATGACTGTCAGTTTCAGATTTCTTATCTGGTTAACAGTAGGATTTGCTGATTGTCTCCTCATCATGAAAATCATGAAGTGAAATGACACTGTTTTTACATGTTTTACTCTTTTTGTTTGCCCAACTCTAAACACACAAAGCACACTCCGAACACACTGCTAAAAACGGTTTGGGAGGAAAAGGATTCATCAATTAATCATTTTGAAATGGAGCAGAGTCACTGATCTCCCTGTTAGAAGGGAAAGCAGAGGGAATTGATCTGAACCAGAACAGACAGTTCAGTTCATCCCGAACTCTGTCTGGCGTAAGTGGAGTTTAAATACCTTCAGTGAACCGTTGAAGTTTATTTCCAGGGGTTTCCGAGATTTTGATATGAACTACAGGCCCAAAGTCAAATATGACTGGAGGGAAAACTGTTTAGAAGCAAAACTTGTGCAGATTTGTCACATTTAAGGGCTGAAATATTAAATAACCATGTTCTGTGGTTTGTTTTCACGTTTATATTTTAATGTGTGATGTTTTAGTACTAAAGTAGGCGCACGGTAAGTAGAATTGTCAGTCCAAAACAGTCAGAAATACAAGGAAAAATTAAGTAAAAAACAATGAAAACATGTTTTCTCTGCAGGTTGACAGTAATAACAACTTTGTTTTTGTTTGCAGAACAAAGAACTTTCCACTTTTCAAATAAAATTTTTATTTGAATTTAGTTACTTGTAATATAATTGTGGTGTGTTTTAGTTATTATTTCACTTTCATTATTCTTTTTATTTATTTTATTATCAACTTTTACCTCCTAGCTACTGCCAAGTTGTTGATTTGCATCTTGTATTCTTTATTTATTTTATCCTTATTTGATGTTATTTATTTATGTATTAATTTTATTAATATATTAATTGCAATTTTAATTTAATATTTTTTGTTACTATTAAATTTACTATTATGATTATTATGACCTTTTTTTGTAGCATTTGATATATTTTTACAATCCAAATTTTTCAATCCCTGATTTCTGTACTGGCTCTACTACACTATAAATAAGGGTCTCCCTGAGTTTAAATCAATGTTGATTGATTGATATTATTAGTAAAATTGTGTTATGAGTTAGATTAAATATTTTATCCTTACTTGCTCTGTTATTAATTTATTCATTTTATTGATTTATTCATTTCAATTTAAATTTTATTAAAAGTTTTTACTAGTAAATTTACTATTATGATTATTATTACCTTTTTTTAGCATTTAATATATTACAATATAGTTTTTTCCAATCCCTGATTTCTGTTTTGTCTCATCTACAAGGTAATTGAGGGTCTTCCTCAATGTACAGTTTAAATGATGGTTCATTAATTGATTGATTGATATTATTAGTAAAATTATAAGTTAGATTAAAAACTGTAACTGTTTTTATTTTTTTCCTGTAGGTTGAATCTGGTTTCTTCCTGGAGTGTGACATGAAGCTCGTGAGCAAGTCGATTCGGGACCGTGTGGCTCTGATTAAATGGCACAGGGAACGAGTCGTCACCGGAGGAGAAGGCCAGGCTAAAGGGAAGTCCACAAAGACCCAGGTGCAGAATCTGCTCCAGGTTCCCCCCTCTGGAATACCAAAGGGTGGTACACCCCTCCCCCAGGCTGAGCCAGAGGAGCCTGAGGGCGAGCAGGTCTCCCTGTTCTGTAGTGTCCCCACCACCACTGGCACCACTGTTACATGTAAGTACCTGCTATCCCTGCATGTTACATATCGATAGAGTAATAAATTGTATAATAAACGGCTGATACACAATCCGACAAAGCAAGACTTTATTGTTATTACTAGTAGTAGGTAATGTGATGATATATATCTTTATCATAATAAATTATGTCACATTATGTCATAATATGCTTTTCTAAACATATAAAGGATATCAGCAGTATTCAAATAAAATAAGTGCATGTTTCACTACAAAGAGAGAATAATTAGGCCTGGTTCACTGTTTACATGAGTTTACACAATACATTTTCACAATTAATTATAATTCATTTCATTAATAATTAAAATTCATTATGGTGTGGTCTCGGTTGGGTTTACTGCTGAAAGTCAATGTTACATTTTAACTTAGAGCTGATTCCTAAATTAACAGTTCATACTGTTTAGTACATCATTACAGTGCAGAAGTGTCACTCTGCCTGTGAATAGATGCAGTAAAATTAATCTCTGTGTTTACATGCAAAGATATTTGCCAATCTGATTGAAGACATTCTGATTACAGATTAAGACTGATGTGTTTATGGTCACTTTACTCAACAATCTGATGAAAAATCATTGTTTACATGCTTACTACAAGTAATCGGGTCCAAAATTACATGCATGTGTAGACGTTACCATGACAACCAGCATCACGTGAGTCCAGTCAGAGTGAGATGAGCAGCAGTGAGCAGCGCTTGTGTTTTTAATTGCTTTAAAATGATGTCAGACTCAGGAAAACGTCCTTCACATGTCCTTATTAAAGAAGGCCGAGAGGAAGACGTCGTGTTCTGAGACACATAAGCTGGACGTCCATCCCACCGCCGTCTTTTAAAGATCAGAGCATAAACTTCGTCTCCTCTGCAGACCAGTTTCTGCTCCGCCATGTTGAATGGTATAAACTTTCACTGTGATGTGACGAACATGATCAGAATGGACTTAAACTTTTTTTTTCCATCCCAAAATATACTTGGTGTCCATAGGCCTTAATTAGATTAATTAAAAGCTAAGACAGTCCCAAAATGGGGAAATTTCACCTCCGCAATCTTACCCACCCGTGCAGTGAGACAGCACATACACACTAGGGGGCAGTGAGCACATTTGCCCGGATTGGTGGGCAGCCCTATCCGCAGCGCCTGGGGAGCAGTTGGGGGTTGGGTGCCTTGCTCAAGGGCACCTCAGTCACGTACCTTCGGCTCAGGGGATTGAGCCGGCGACCTTCCAGTCAAGGGCTGGTTCCTTAACCTCCAGTCCACAACTGCCCCATTAATTCTTAATCCACTTCAAACTCACATTCACACATTCAGACCAATTCAGTTCTATTCAGTAAGACATGAGAAGGCTTTGTTAGACAGTGCTATGAATGTTTTGCTAGCTGCAGAGTTTCACATCACCAGTGAGTCAGCAGAATGAGTCATCAGTGAACCTTCAGATGACCATGAAACTGTCGCTCACCCGCAGCTGTTTCCTCCACGGTTACAGTATCTGCTTCCACTTTAACAGTTATAATTGCTTAGCAGTTATAATTGTGAATAAAAAGTATAATTAGCTCTCCAGGCTCTCTTACGTGGAGATAATGTGAGATGTACCTACAGACAGAGAGGAAAGCTACAAGCATACAGTGCATTTCACTATTGATGCTTTACTTTTTTCCTTCTCTTTATCTTTGCAGCAGACGTCACAGTCATTTCCACTGTGATTTCAGAAGCTTTGGGTAACCAGCATGGCGTTCCCTACCAGACCCTGCAAGAGTCCATCTCCACTTCCCAGAGACTCCTTAGTCCTCCAGCACAGCTCCTGGCTCAGCTGCAGCAGGGTGCTCAACCACACTTGACAGCTCCACTGCACCAGGAGGCCCAAAAGCAGCTTGCTGCTCAAGTGCACCCAGGACCCCAACAGCAACCTGTGGCTCAGCAAGAGCCCCTACAACAACCTGCTGCACACCTTGGAGCTCCACAACAGCCCACTACCCAGCTGCAACAGCCAAGTGCCCTGTTGTGTCAAGAGGCCCAGCCCCAGTCTACTATACACTTGCACCATGGAGCCCAGCAGCAGCCAACTGTCCAGTTACTCCAGGGAATCCAACCACAGCTTGGTGTCCAGCCACAGCCAAGTGTTCAGCTGCACCATGGGGTCCAGCAACAGCCTGCAGCACAGCTACACCAAGGGGCTCAGCAACAACCTGCAGCACAGCTCCACCAGGGGGCCCAAAAACAGCCTGTAGCCCAGCTGCATCAAGGGGCTTATCAGCAATCCACACCACAGATACATCAAGGAGCCTTTTTGCAGCAATCTGTGCAACTGCACCAGAGCCTTTACCAGCCGTCTCCTCCGGTAAGTCCCCACGTAGATTTCCTTTTCTGCAAACAGAAAAAGAACCATCCCTTCCTCTGCAATCTTAAATATATTTCATGTATGTATGTTGCTGTTTGTGAATTCTGAATGTGTTTTCGTTTCTTACCTGTGACTGACTATTCAGCGACATGGCAGTGTTCCCTGTGAGTCCCAGGATTCTCTTTTGTCTTTTGAGAACTTGATTGCTACCAGACGTGGCAGTACCTCATTTCTTGATACGTTGCAAAGGGGAGCACATTTGCATGCTCATTCAAAGCCATTGAACCATTTACCCTGTAGCTGTCCAAAACAGGCACCAGCTCACAGGGATACAGTAAGAGAGCGGCTTTCTCCAGGTCCACTTTCAGTGTCTCCTATCCTCAAGGATACTCTGCCCGCTGGGAGTGATTCTACAGCGGAAGCTGAACTGCTTCCTCATGGATTTGATTCCTGTGCCAACTCAGATCCTAAGCCCCAGACTCAAGCCATTCCCTCTACTCTTAGAAACTGTCCTGCCCTGTCGTGTCGTCCACATTTCTGCCGTGCCTGCTTTGCGCTGTTGTTGACTGCGAGGCCAGGAAGCAGAGGATCACTTGACCGCTCACCAGTCCACCTGAACCAAGCTCTTGGTTCTGGTGTGAACCCACCATGTCTAGTCCACTCAGTCAGTGCCTCCGAAGTTAGGACCCCAGCCTCTCCAAATCACATGAGGGCATCTTCTCCTGGAAATTGCCTTCCTTCTGCATTTCACATTTACGTGCCCTCCCCAAAAGTCCCGAATGGATCCTCTCCCATTCAGCAGCCTGCACCATCTGCAGTGCATATCACACCCCCATCTCCTGAGCATGTAAATCATTCCTGTTCTGAAAGGACTCCAGAACAACCACTGCTTCCAACATCTTCCCCTTCCCTAAAGCACAGGACAGCATCCTCACCGGTACACACACTGATCCCCTCACCAGTCACGTCTCTAGGCTCCCCCATACGCATGTCCTCTTCATCTCCTGCTAATCTATGTGCCCCTCTTAGCCCGTCCTCTTCAGGGGTACCTCTCACTGCCCCCCCGCAGTGCAGGGGACAGTGTAGATCTATTTCACCTCAATCGCTGTTTACATCACATCATCAATCGCCGCACCAGCTCTCCAGTACTGATGGACAGGACTGCATGTCAGCCAGGTAGTAGCCATGGAGATCCCACAGCATATAGCATCTCTGTTCCTCAAGATAACATCCAAGGCAAGGGATCTTCACCCACTACGCCACACCGGGCACCGGGTGCAACGTTGTCTGTACATGGCATCAAAGTTGGACAAGTTCTTACGGTATGTCAGAAAATGGAAGCTTTGAACCCACTGAAATTTTTCCGCTGTAGAGGATTGATACCTCCCTGTTTGGTACCCTACTGCTTCCTACACCTCTCCTGGAATGCTTCAGTTCAGTGCTGCAAGAGTATTGTAGAATTCCTTTCGCTCCCAATTTCCCTCCTCTGAACCCTGTTATTCCCTAAAAGAGTACCTTTGTTCTGTGAGTGGAACACAGTATTGTCTTTTACACAATGGTTTATGTTATGAAAGCCGGCACAGATCAGACATGCGCAGATAAAAAGACAAGGTTTAAGTGTACTTGACTGTTTGGGATTGTTACAAAGAGCATAGTCGGAACAGGCTAGGGTCAGGACCAGACAGCAGGATAAACAAAACGAGGGACATCAACATTTGTTGTGACGCAAACAGGAAATCCACCGTAGAGCAGACCATCTCATTTCAGTTCAGCCTTCGTGGGTCTATGCAGCCTTCGAAGGACACGGCTTCATAGACCGCGTCCTTTGAAGGATGCAGCCCCTGAATTGGGACACATTGAGCGGACTCAAGTGATTCTGCAGGGGAAAGGGAACAGACAGAGGAGGCATCTTTGGCATCTTAGCACAAACATGATTCTTAAATGATGCACTCAACACTGACTCTACTAGTTAAGATGATCTTAACACTAACATGCTTTTTGGGAAATTGGGCCCAGAATGTTTATGACCACAAAGTATCAAGGGAGCGTGTTCAGAACATTGTAGATCCTAGCAAATGTTTTTCAAGAGCTTTCTGGAACATTCTCAGAGGACTGCAAAAAAAAATCAAAACAAACAGTGTATGACAACTTCTGAAACGCTGAAAATTACCCTTGTCACCTAACAGTTCTCCATAGATGCTTCCCCTGAGCACTCAGAGCTCCCTGTAGTTAAATGTAGTTCTCCTCTTCAGCTGCAGCTAATGATTCCCCTTGTCACAGTAAAGCAAACACTGCCTTAAGAGCGTTTTCTCTTTCTCATGAATTCTTGGATTACTTCACCCAAAATACTAACGTGGCCAGTAGTGGTGCCCAGTCTGCCGTTTTAGGGGGATATAGGCTACAATACAGAGCATAAACCATAACTGAGGCATTTGCTAAGCATCATTCATGCACTGCAGTAGGAAGAAACTGTAGTAGGAGACACAAGTTTGACCAGAACACATAAAACCTGGAGCTCATATGAATTCATATCCCTTGTTTTGAACTCAGGGTGAATAATAACAAAAATAACCCCAATAAGATGGCGATTTGTAGCATTTGTGCTAGCTTTGGTGTTAATAAGCTGGTTAATGAATGTGTTGGACAACTGTTTGTAGTTACTTTATTTATCTTTACTTTATCTTAAATCAAGCCACGTTTATATGATAGTCCCTAAATCCACCTAACAGTTCTCCACACATGTGACGCTAACAGTATCACTGCTAATGCAGGACTCAGTATACTCACACATCTTTCCCGGGTGGTGAGGAGTGCTTAAATTTCAACTGAAAATTGTTGTTGAATTTTGTTGTTACTTGCTCATGAGATGCTTAGCAAATGCCTCACAGTTATGATTATTGGTTAAATTGGGATTTTGATTGGTCGATATCAGGGAAAGGAATTTTGAACGTCATGTGCATTTGTGTTTTGGGTTTATTCATTCATTAGATTTTAATACTAAAAGTAAATTTGAGCAGTCATTTTGGGGAGAATGATGAAAGTGATTGGGCCCTCTGAGCCCAATCATACCACCACCACTGAACATTACTGACACAAATGGAGGCTAGCGGGGCCAAGTTAGCATGACTACACTCTAAAAAACAATAGAAGAACATGTTTGGTGCTATATAGAACCCTATATAGAATCTTATCGAAAATGTTTCTATATAGCACCAAAAAGGTTCTTCTATTGTTATGATTTTGAGCTTGTAACAATAGCAGAACCATTTTTGGTGCTATACAGATATATAGAACCATCTACAGCACATTCTCCTTCAATCTGAAGAACACTGTCACAATGCAAAGAGACTTTTAATCATGCAGAGGGTTCTTTTAGAGTTCATGATTCTATATAGAGACATTTTCTTTACTAAATAACCAGTTTTTTTAAGTGTGTACATAAACCAGTGGTCTCCAAACCTGGACCTGGAGGGCTCCATTCCTGCAGAGTTTAGTTCCAACCTGTATCCAATAATCTGATCCAGCCAATCGGGGACTTGGGAAGTGGTTGATTAGCTAGAGCAGGTGTAGCAAAGTGTGGTTGGAACTAGGCTCTGCAGGAAGGGAGCTCTCCAGGACCAGGGTTGGAGACCACTGGTACGTACATAGCCCTAACTGAGCTCTGCTAGCTTCCGGTGGTTGCAGCAACACTTGCAGTTTTGAATGGTGTGAGCTGAGTTTCGAACTTTTGAGCTGGATGTAGTTTTCCTCTTTCAGAACAGGTTTCCTTATAAGATTTTATGTTTTTCAGCCCACGGCTGCATTGGCTCAGACCATGTCTGCTCCAGCCACACCAGCTCCAACTGCTCCGCTAGCACAGGAGGTAAGATACCCAACAGTCCCACGTAAGTTACAAAGCAACATCCGCTTCTGCCTGGAAATAACTGCATAGATTCACATTGAATGTTTGTGCGTGTACCGTCTGTGTGCAGTGGTATCCATGACAAGTAACTTGACCTTTGTTCTCATGGTGTAGTGGCTTAGTATTTTAATTTAGCTTGTTTTTCTTTCTTGTGTTTTTATTTCTCTCAGTTTCACCTCTATCTCCATCCTGCAGCTTTCCTGTCCCAGGTAGACCCACCGTCTCAGATCTGTAGAAACACCCTCATCCTCCTGTTGCTAAGCTAATCAGTCATTGGCCTTTGGATCACCATGTTGAATAGAAATTACTGCACTGTGATTTTAATGGATCTTTTACTTTGAAATGGACTAAAATATCTGATTGGCCGAGTTGTTGGAGATAGATTAAAGAAACGCTTCGTCCAAAAATGCCATGTTAGCCTTGCTAACAATTAATGAAAGTTAACAGTTTCTTCAGCATTTTTGGGAGAAAAGTTCCTTTAAAAGGATTGGCTTTCGTGTTGGCATTTTTGACAAAGTTACACGCCGGTCTAAACAGCGGACCTGTGAAGGCAGCTTTACTTAAGTGGTCCGTTTCTTTTCCTTTAAGACTCTATCAACCCTGCAGCCAGTTGTGGAATCATCTTCTGAAGCACAGGCCCATCCTCAGCATCTGCTCCAGTCAGCAACGTCCATGCTGAGCAGTGTTCCACCTCCACAACCACAACAGAGTGTTCACTCCACGCCTCTTCTGCAGCCTCTTCAGATTTCCACACAGGTGGGTAAATTAGGCGAAAACTGTGCATGTGTTCAACCCTTCGTCTTAAATATGTGGTTTAGCTTTTGAATTAAGGATAAAGGAGTCTAGCGTGGTTTATACCCTTTACCTGTTACGGTACTCTGCAAAAGACAGAGACCACCCTTAATTTATTTAACTTCAGAACAGTCATCAGGTGCAAGTCGTTCATTTTTAGTGCCAGTAAAAAAGTACAAAGCATATATTTGACAAACAATGACACGGAAGCCTCAACAACTACATATAATATCCATATTTTCAGTATTCCACTCTTTTCAGGAGACTCACTTTCAGTTCCTCAAAGAATCTGCAGACACACCTCCAAAGTTCAGTCTTAGAAGCTGGTTGATCTTTTTCTGAAGTAATCAAACACATTCAGTGGTGTTGAGGTCTGGACTCTGGGGTGGTCAGTCCGTTGTTTAGCTTCTTTGTTTGATGTGTCCGTCTCCTTTTCTCAGTGAGGTTCTTCTTGAACAGCTACACATCCTTTCAGACCCATAGCGCTGAGTCGTCTTCTCAAAACGAATAACTTGTACTTAATGGTTGTTTTGACTGGCAATTAAATAAACGAAAGGGTGGTCTCTGACTTCTGCACAGTACTGTGTATGATTACGCAACACCCTTCACACTGCATGACTTGCCACAGTTCTCTAGAATGACATTTGTGCAGTGTAGTGCTTTGAAGTAAAAGTTTTACGTAGTATCGGGAGCTGTTGTGGCAAAAACAATCCAGTGGTTGCTGGCATGCCTACTTCTGTTTATTTTTGTTTCTTTCATTTTTTCTTCCTCAGTTCCCTTCGCCATACCCCGTTCTGCCAACAGGGGGCACTTCTGTTGGAAGTGAGGCAATGCCCTATTCCCCTGTCCCATACTCCTCCCCCTACCCCAGTGGTGGTCCTCCCGTACCCTCACCCTACTACTCGTCCGGTTCCATCCACGCCCCGCTGTCTCTTGCCCCTATACAAACCATGCCCTCCATACCTGGAGCAGGAACCCCCCAGACCCCTGTATCTGCCCCTCTGGGCTTACCAGCCCCCATCCCACTCCTGGGCATGGCCCTTCCTCCGTCCCTCATACCTCCACAAAAGCAGCAGGTGTACTCTCCTGCTCCTCCGCCCGATGGCGCTCTCCTTCAGCCCCAGCCCACCCAGTTGTCTCTGCCCTTTCCTCAAATAGGGCAGCCGCCGTCCTCCCTTCCTCAGCAAGAGCCCTGTATCTCCTCGCCGTCTGCACAGGTACATGCTGTTCCTGTCCATTCTTCTGTACGAGGACGTGAACGTGTATCAGTACAGCTTCTGCTAGTGCAGGATGGGCCTTCGTAGTTCTTTAATCGTAAGGTTTTATGAAAAGTCGTGATAAAACATTGCCACTGTTGGCCTACACTGCAAAAAATAGCATCCTGTCAAGTGAACTTATCTTAATTCAAGTCGATCTGTCTAATATTTCTTATTTTGAGATGGTTGTGTTCTTTTTAGAAGATTATTTAGCTTATTTCCAGAGCATTTTTACAAATACACAAAAGCCTCAACAACTAAATATAATGTCCATATTTTCAGTATTTAATGTGTCACTATTTCCCCTTTACAGCTTCCACTCTTTTCAGGAGACTCACTTTCAGTTTCTCAAAAAATCTGCAGACACACCTCCAAAGTTCAGTCTTAGAAGTTGGTCGATCTTTTTCTGAAGTGAATTTTTACCTGTTTTAAGTAATTTTATCAAGAAAAAATATCTCACTATACTGGCAGATAATTTTTTAAAACAAGCAAAATGATCTGCCAGTATACTGATATAAATGTACTTAATAAAGTCACTTAAAACAAGTAAAAATGTTTGAAAATAAGTTAAATAATCTTAAAATGAGCTGACAACAATCTTAACAGGAGAAATATTAGATGTAATGACTAGAGTTAAGATAATTTTACTTGACAGTGTTTTGCAGTGCAGGCTTGCTCTTTAGGGGTTTGGGCCTATATTGCAGACAGAGGGGGCTCTACTCCAGCACTACATACTCCCTGGAAATGTTCCCCATAGACTCGCACTGATTTTTGCATTTTTTTTTCTGTGAGATACACATCTGAATCAAATGTATTTTTGTGTTGTAGAAAAAAAAAGATCGTTCATAGTATAACGCATTTTTCCTTTGAAAAGCTTTTGTTTTCTCCAATTTCTATCCTTAATATTTAATACTAGATGCTAGCGCATCTATGGGAATCACCATATTAGTTAGCACCAAGCTAAATGAGGTTTAAATTCACTTGCCCTTGCTGGATTTAATACTACTCACGGCAGCTCTGGCTAAACGTGGATATTCAAACCAAGTATGATATGCAGGTAAAATATTTCTTACGTGCAGTTTTCAGCACATTCTAACTTAAAGCACACTCTTAAAAAAAGATGGTTCTTCAAGGGTTCTTTAGTAAAGAAAATAGTTCTATGCAGAACCATATAAAACACACTCTCCATCGATCTGAAGAACCTTTACCATGCAAAGTACGCTTTGATCGTGCAAAGGGTTCTTTGAGTGTTAATGGTTCTCAAAATGGTTCTTTTATCCAGAACAAAGTAAGCTTTGTGAATACTATAATGAGTTCATATATATATATATATATATATATATATATATATATATATATGCATAACATACATAATGTTGCTGTCGAAACAGTAACACAGGACGTGACTTCACGTCACTTAAGGACTGCAACTGTATATAATATATATATATATATATATATATATATTAGTAATCATAACAACAATAACCACAATAATAATAATAATACATCCTAAAACTGTTAACATTAATGAGAACAATCATAGTAAAAATAAAACATTCTGAACTTTATACTAATTTGAGACCCATATGTTCTTGTTTTAGAGCGGAGTTTGTATTTTTATATTATTAAAAACTGTATTAGCTCTGCTTTTTTTAAAGTGAGCACCGTATTTTCAGTACAGTGAGCCAAAAACTGACCGCTTTGTGGGCGCATCGCTCAAACACAGGTTAAGGTGCAAAGCAAGAAAATCTGTGCAGAGTTAAGGGGTAGTACTGAGTATTAAAGCAGCCATATTTGGTTTTTTATATTTTAAAATAATCAGTCTATCGTGATAATATTTTATCAACTCACTTCATTTGCATAAAGTTCGTCCACAAATAGAGAGCATCTAGAGAGAGGATGTGCGTCCACCATTTGATGTGTCAGTTTCTGCCTCATTCTAGCACTGTATAACGTTCAGTTTGATGTAAATTAGCTAAATAAATATGAATAAAGACAATACATTTTGCATGACATCATCAGTCACATCAGCACCCCCAACTTAAAACTCCTTCTCGCATCCCTGCATCAGAAGACAAAACCTTGTATCTCCATTTTTGGCCTTTTTTTAGTACACCTCAGCATTTTTGGGGAATATGTCAACATTACGTCCGTAGTCAGGCATTCATTTTACAGCCAAGGAGGGGTTCCAGTATGGCCTCCAAGTTGCTTCACTTTGCTGCGTAGGTAGTGATATAGTCATCAGTAATGTAGTTTTCTGTGTATATACTTGTTTGCAGAACAGAACTGTTAAAAGTGTCATACAACTATGAGAGGAAAATCAAACAAAAAAACAAAATTAAACAAAACAGACAAAAAAGTCTGTCAACTGGATATGTTCTTGTTAGCAAGCTGGTATATAAGATGGCACTATTTATGGACTCCTGAGAGCAGAGACCCTTCCTAGGAGTTTCCTGGAGAGCTTTATCAGGAACCAAAGCCTACGTCCAGCTCTCCTGTAGAACTTTATTTGTGAAGGCTGGTTTTAGCTGAGGTAGCGCTGATTCAGGCTAACACTAATTGTTGTGCAGTGTATATTGAGTATTATGTAGATGAAGCAGCATCCACACAGTAAAGCACAATGCAGCATCCTTTCCCTCCCCAGGATGACACTCTGGCACACGTCCACGCAGACCTGACTTGCGTTCAGTCTCCCCCACAAAGAGAAGAATCGGAGCCAGAATTTACCACAGCCAGTGTTGGTGGGTGTTCAGATCTTAAATGTGTATCTCAGCATATTCTGATGTTACCTTGAACTATGTTTATCATATTTATCACTGTGTGTACTTTCACTGTGTCCTCCTTTATAGGGGTGGGCAACAGAATTATATTTATTATTATTGTGATGAATTATATCTCATTATTTAACAGTGTGCTTCTCTGAGCATATTATGGATATGGTCAGTACTGATCAGCTGCATGTTTTATTACAACGTGAGCATGTTTAACTGAATTTAGTGTAGCAAAGTATATAAAACGTTGAATAGAAAACACTGTACTAATAGTCTTTAAGTGTTTTTTAAAATGTGGCACTAGTTGTTCTTTTTGTCTGTTCCTGATAAATTAGATATTGTTATGCATATCGTGTATTGTACCTTGAAATATCGCGATGTTATTGCCCACCTCTTCATCCTAATATTCAAAAATTCATAATAACAATGTAAAAAATCATTAAAATAGAATCAGATCAATGTTAAAGACAATATTCTATGTTCAAGCTTTATATTAAATTATATAACCATCATCAAAATTCCCAATAGTGTAATTTAATGTGGCATAATCCAATGATGTTTCTTCAACCTATTGTCCAGCCCTTGTAGACAGAATTCAGCAGATTGTCCCCGAGAGTCCTGCACTGCCTCTGCAGCCTGTTGGAACCCAGACAGCAGCTGAAAGTGGCGCCATATCCAGCAACACTCAGCAGATTCTGGACACAGCATCTGTATTCATTCCTCCTGCACCTGACCACAGCCAGGAGGTAGAGTCACCATCGTTACAGCAGACTGACCTGCTGATAGAGATGCATAATGTGCAGCCTTGCAGGGCCAGACGAGATCTTGTAGAGGGAACGTCTGTTGACAACCATGAGAACCTTTGGGCTAAATTTGGGTAGGAACAGGGTTGCCAGACTGCTTCCATAGTTTCCAGCAAAAAGAGTTCTTCAGAACTCATCAAAATGCTTGAAAAAAAACACTTTGAAAATGTTTTGTTAGGAAACTGACCAATCTGGCAACAGTGGATGAGAGCTTAGACTTGGGTGGGAGCGAGCTGAATGTGAAATTTCTAACCTAATGCAATGAAGGTGAAGATGCGGCTCAAAATAAGGGGCGATGGAGCGCTGCTCAGCTCCATCAAGCCTGATGTTAGCACATGGATGTAATGTTAGTTAGCATGGCTGAAGAGTTGCCCCCAAAAACTCTTAATTAAGCATGTAGATGTGTGTAACGTGTGCAGAGAAAACATTATATGTAGTAAAAATAAGACCTATTAAAAGAGACAAACAGTTAACTAATGATGGAGTTTTTAATGGTTAACTAATGGTGGAGTTTTGAAACGGGGACGAAGAGTTTCAGAGTGACACCACCCGCCGAGATGGGAGGCATCCGAAGCAGAAGACTCGTCTCAGGAAGCTGGAGACACAAGTACGGAGCTTCTTCCACTTCTTCTTTGTTCCAGTTGTGGTGGAATCTGTAGTACCTACAGACAGAGAGAGAACGAGGAGAACGTCAGTTCAGAGCACTGGACAGTTTGGACAAAGAACATCATGAAATCTCAAGAGGAACTGAGTGACTCACCATCAGGGCAGGCAGGAACCTCCAGGTCTTCGTTATTCTCCACCTCAGAGTCCTCAGAGGCTTCAAACACCTGGAAGACACATCACAGTTCAGTTATGTTACGTCAGTAATGCAAAATACGAGACTGAGCGTTACATTAAGAGGAAATACAGGGTTCAGTCTGTTTACCTGAACAGCAGGGATGGAGCTCGACGAGCTCGACGAATCAGACCAACCTTCCAGAGGGTTTTGGAAGCTGAAGATCTCAGAGCACTCGTCATCACTCAGATCACTCGAATAAAGAGATCCACTAAATTCTAGGGCCAGTACCTCGAATTCTGATGGACTCCGTTCACTGAGGACGGTGCTGCAGACCACTTGCATCTCAGGCTCCCCCTGTGGTGTTTCCTCAAGGGCGTCAGTGTCTGGGGACAAGCTTGCTGCGTCACAGAAGGCCATGATGTAGTCACCAAATGCAACCTGGATGGTTTCAGCGAGGTAGCTGATGGACCTCTGGTCGACACAAGGTATTTCCAGTATCCAGCGCTTGTTCAAAAGGTCTTCAAGCACTGCACTGACGATATAAGAGATGGCATCGTTCTCGTTACGCAAGAGCCGCCCATCAGGTGCCTCAAAGGGGTCTTGTATCTGGGCCAGGATCTCCACGTCCTCCATCAAATCATCCACCAGACGCTCATAAAGTAAAAGCTTGGGGACTCGAAAATGAAATGTAGACTCCAGCCATCTGACCAGCTCCTCAGCTGTGGTCAGGAAGAATCAGCGAATCTTGGAGTCTTTAGGACCCTCGAGCGAGCACGTGCAAGAGGACACGTTCTCCACATGGGACTGACCCTCCTCATGTTCGTGCCCAGGCTGTTCCTTAATAGGGGAGAATCCAAACATATACAGAGAGAAAAGTCATTATTAATTTTCTGTATAATAAAAGAACAAATATCTTTACAGAAGCTACAAGAATGAAGAATTGACCGTCCGCGCGCTCTTTTATAGCCAGGCTCTTTTATGATGCAGTCGCTGCCCAAAGGCCCCGCCCACAGGCGTCACCATGGTAACAACATGCGGCGCAGTCAAAACATTTGAGCATAGTTTTTTGTGATTCAAACGAATAATTTACCTGACAGGCCGTACAGAAATCTGACACATGGCAAATATATGGGTTTCAAATATATGACATATATTATCATATGGATGGACAAACTTCTGTTTGTCACATATGGACTTATATGCGACATAAATGCCAATTTATTTGAAATTTGAACTTCAAATATAAGGCATATATCAACATATACATACACATATGTGTAACACAATATATGATATAATTCATAAATGGAAGACACATATTACCTATATGCTTCATGATGTGTTTTACTGCCTAATGAAGGTAAAGTTTGTATAATAGCTACATTATTAAACTTAAAAAACATGCACCTTGTATGCTATGCAATAATATATGTATATAAAATATATATATATATATATATATATATATATATATATATATATATATATATATGTATATGTAAGATATCTAGCTGTAGCAACAAAATCAGATTGATTATATAGTATTTATCTGCCCTAATAGGGGAGATAATCCAAACATGTTCAAAACAAAAAGGAAAGTCAGTATTAATTTTCTGTATAATAAGAGAACAAATCTTTCCAGATGCTATAAGACTCAGTGCGGTTCATATATTCCTCTACGTTTAGAACTCAATCCAACACGTGAGGACGCGAAAAAAGTAGAGCAGAGTAGCAGGTAGTTTGTTGTTGACACCGTCAATTTCCATTCGCTCTGGGTTCTGCTTCGGTGCCGGTGTTGTGCCGAATTCCGACTCCCCGGCAGAATCCGACTCCGCTTCACGTAAAAGAATTTTGGCAGTATTATTTTGACACCTGCTGAAATTATTCTCCTCATCTAATCTCAGCACTGCAAATTTTACAGAATTTTACTGGGGGGAGTAGAATTTTGTACTCCCCTCTGATCTCAGCACAGTCAGAATTTCCCCTTCCCCTTCAGAGTCACGATCCCTTTGACAAGGGACCTCGGGCGCGCGCGTTCACCGAACAACGCCAAGCAACGGTGGAACTACGGAAAGCAAAACGGTTTAACAGAAGATTAAACGGCCGCGTGTTTTCACCCAGTTCACCCAAGATAACACGGCATAACTGAGACTCCGTGATAAATACTATTTTCAGATCGAGTAAATAAAAGTACTGATAAATACTTTGTACTGCTCGTCGCCGATTGGGTGAATACAGCTGCTGTCAGTGTTGTGCATGAACGCGGTCAGTAAACACAATGTTCGTGTTTTTCTGAACGCTGAACTGAACGAATCACTTTACAAGTAATGAAAGTAAGCGCGAGCGAGAGGGAAGACCGCTCGTGTTTCACGGCAAGCTGCACGAGCACAGCCAGGCACGTCTGGCGCTGGCGGTAGAGACGTAACTGCAGAAGTCGGTTTCTTTGAGCGTGAGAAACACAGAGGTGTGGACTCGGATGGCAAACACGCACGTTTTCATGCAAACTGTGCCCACCTGGTCTGAAAAAACAAGTCCGGATGTCAGGCAGAATTTAAAACGACACACTGAGTTGAAACGTCGAAGCAGTCTTGTGGAATACAGGCGACTTAATAATGAGCACAATAGATCATTAACGACTGCAGTGAAACACCCGCAAAGTTTGCCCACCCAGGTGAAGCTCACAGCGTTCTGTAAAGGACCTGCCGCCCTCCTTTCCCAACAAGTGGACCAGCTTGTACTGGACTAGCCACAGTGTGGGAGATGAGTAAGGTCGAAAAGCCATCCTTCATCAAATTGGTGACCGGTTTGCGGCCATCCAGACGTCAAGAGAGCAGGTAGCCTACAGAAAATGTTTAATGGTGCATTCAGTGAGAGTATTACTGACTTAAAGGCTGTGGTAGAGAATAATTCATTTAGTTTATGAGTAGCAGTGATTTTGGGCTGGTGATGGATGGGTAGAAAGAGGTTCTATTGAAAAAGAATGGCGGCCTATTTATTGAGGAAAAAAAATGAACGTGAACTAGTTCATTTTTGGAACTGTGAACTTAGTTCAGTTTTTTTTAATGAACTACAAATGTGAACTAGTTCATTTTCATTAGTGTGAACTGAACTTTGAACTGGTTCATTTTCATTAGTGTGAACTGAACTTTGAACTAGTTCATTTTCATTAGTGTGAACTGAACTTTGAACTGGTTCATTTTCATTAGTGTGAATTGAACTTTAAACTGGTTCATTTTCATTAGTGTGAACTGAACTTTGAACTGGTTCATTTTCATTAGTGTGAATTGAACTTTAAACTAGTTCATTTTCATTAGTGTGAACTGAACTTTGAACTAGTTCAGTTTCATTAGTGTGAACTGGTACAACACTGGCTGCCGTACAAACCTTTTTTGAACCGTTTTCGCTTTCCGTAGCTCCAGTGTTGTTTTCGGTTCAGTGAATGCTCGCACGAGGACCTGATCTGTCAAAGAGAACATGAATTTGAGGAGGAACTGAATTGGACACAACACATTATCCTGGAGTAATATTTTTTACTAAAAGTGTGTTTTAGGCCAAAACTTTATTATAAAACTATCACAAAACAATGCCTCAGGTTTCAAGCAACGCATATATAACCGTTTTGTGTAATAACTGAACGGGATGTAATTTTTGGAGCCATTAAATACTTCAGACGTCTGGTTCCTATAATGGTGAACAATTTTGACTTGATAAATTTCTCTAGAAAGGCGCATTTCACACCAAACCACTTTGAATGATTAAGTAATTTTGCAAATTCGGTGGAGTTCCCCTTTAAAGTCAACATTAACTGAAGTGAATGTTGTTGTTTTTTATCACTTTTGCACCCTGAATTAATATTGAAACAGCACTGAAAGTTTAACAGGTTCAGCAGAACAACAACAGAACACAGAGTAAAATATTAATGTTTAAATGATACTAAACCCGAGTGTTATATTAAACATCCACCAAAGCTTTAACGAGAAATATGATATGAATATGATAAAACACGGCTTAAAAACAGGTGATCAGATCTGAGAACTGTGTGGGCGTGGCTAATGAGCAGCTTGATCGACAGCTCTCTGTCCAACACTCCTAGCCTGCTCTGCCCCACATACAGAACTAACATCATTATCCAGCTTTTATGGACCAAAACGTTCGAGACAGACGTGCAGACGGGTCTACGAACAAACAGATGGATGGAGAATGAAAGAACAGATGAACAAACAGTGTTCATGGATAAACGAATGAACGAGTGACAGGCAGCTACAGACAGGTTGTCTATCTTGCTAGCTTTTGGTTATGTTGGATTAGCTTTAGCTCATTAAGTGTCTCTGATTCTGAACAGAGAACTCGTAGAGAGGAGGATTTGTACTCTGTATTGTCTTCTGTGTTTCTCAAACGCTAGAGGGCGCTCCCGAGCGAGTCCAAAATGAATGGGTTAAGATGGAGCATTTGAGCAAAATCAAAGTTTCTAAATGTTTAAACATTTTTAATGTAAAAGAATACAATCATTTCCTGAACACAGCATAAAACATTTTAACACTGCTGTTATATTTTTAAGAGCTTTTAAACTCGAGTTATTGGAGTTTAAAACGGCGCCTCATGTACGTTCATGACGTCTGTGAGCGCGAACAGCCAGTGAGCTGCTCGCTCGCCAACCAATCAGCACTCAGTAGCAGTAATGTTAGTCCTGTTGCCCAAAACCCGTTTGCTGTAGAAAAAAGGAAACATACAGGTGAGTTTTCTTTGCTTTTTTAGTGAAACACATCCTTCTACTTTCTAATTAAAGGAAGGTTCTGGGCGAGAGATTAGAAACTATTTTAACTTTTTGTTTTTAGCCGTTGAGCTCCATTTACTCCCATTTATTGAGCACTCGCTCACGGGCGCCCTCTGGAGTTTTGCAGTCCTGTTTTGATATAACGGAGGAAATAGGAAGAGGCCAGACTCCTCATTGGTCAGGGGAATGCTTACCCAAGATTAGGACCACTCGGTTTACATCAAGAGAAGATCTGGTGAAATATATCGGCCATTTATTGGTCATCGGGACATTATGCAGAGGGTTTACTTAGTACTTGTTTACTGTTTGCCTGCAAGAACAAGGTTAACCTGATTAGAAAGAAAACACAAATTTAGGTTCACTGTGTCTTTAACTAGTTTGTGTTCACTGTTTAATTCTGGGCTGTCAGTGATCTCTGTGTTTGTGTTTTGCAGGAGCCAATACCCATGCCACTTCCCAGCTATACATGTGACGGGTAGGCTGCTGAACCACTGTTTTTTCTTGCAGAACCTCTGTTCACTTAAAGCCTGGGGTCTGTCTCACGAAGCCTGTCACAGGGTTCCTGCTTCAGAAACCTCGCAAACGCAGCTGCGGTTAATTCGTTTTACGATGACAGTTAACTCTTCCCGGTTCAGATACTCAGACTGCGAATAATCCTATTGTGTGCGCACATGAAAGTGTGATGGAGAACAGCCGATCACGTGAAACATGAGGAGGAGTCGATGGGCTTCAAAGCAGTCTGTGCCTCCATGCGATTGCTTATTGGACTAATAACAGCTTTATATTCTTCATATCGATGTAGTGTTTATTTGTTTCCTTCACTGAAATGTGTTGTTTGTCCCCGTGAACGTCATACAGACAAAAAAGTGACGTGAAAAGGACCGGAGGGGTCCACCTCCATCAGAAGGGCGACACCTGATTGGTCTGAAGATTGTCCCAGAGCTGTTTAAGACCTTAAATCCCAAACTTTAACCCTGGTGCATAGGTTGCCATGGTGATGTAGCTTGATAAAAAGTGATCCTCCAGGATTAGATTGAACCGAGCTTAAAGTTAACTGGCAAAGCAAGACGTCCTGCTTCGTGAGACAGACCCCCGATATCTCCATTTTCACTCTGTTTGTTACACCGTTTGAAATGCCAACTGTCCTTTACGTTGAAAGAACATTTAATGAAGAAGGAAACGACACAAGTTTGGAGAAGCAAACTGTTGGTTTACATTACCAGCTGCTGAAAATGTTCTACGAAGCTCCTGTTCAGGAGTTTTTCTAATGAAAACAGTGCAATGTTTTTGAACGAGATGCACAGAAGTGCTGCCTTCTGAACAGAGTTAATGTGTTCACCTTCTCCTGTGGGTGTCCAGTGTAAACTCAGATGCCGCCTCAGGTAAAGAGATGAGCGACAGCTATGAGGGCACCACCAGCGGAGGGAAAGGCGACGGGAAACCCAGGAAACACCACCGCAAGTCCGCCCGCACCCGTTCACGGCAGGAGAAGACCAACAAACCCAAGCTCAGCATGCTCAATGTGAGAGTCACTGTGTGTTTTGTTTCCGATTTTGCTCTCTGGTTTTGTGCATCCCAAAAACTCTTTCCCTTCTCTGTCTGTCTGTCCGCCTGTCTTACTGTCTGTCTCTCCCTCTCATGTTATTAGGTCTGTGATACAGGTGATAAAATGGTGGAATGCCAGCTGGAGACCCATAATCACAAAATGGTGACCTTCAAGTTCGATTTGGATGGAGACGCTCCTGAGGAAATTGCCACTTACATGGTCAGCACAGCACATCAGATGGCCACGGATGTCATTTGAGACATTTTTAGCTTCATTCTTGTACTAAAGTGAGTATATAACCTACGTTTATCCTCATGTGCCCCCAGGTGGAGAACGGCTTCATCCTGCCCGTAGAGAAGGAGATCTTCATCGACCAGCTGAAGGACATTGTGGATAAAGCGGAGGACATGCTGAACGAGGAGGTGGAGGGTGAGAGACCAGCTGCCCTGAGGGACACTCCACTTCAGGGACAGGCTCCTGGCGGAGTGGCGGATGAGGTGAGGAAAAATCCTGCAATATGAGTGGATTGAAATCTAATATGTGCGAGAGAAAGACGTTATTAATTAGTATTAGTATTAATCAGTAATATTATCAGGGTTTAACGATGCGAAAGAAGCCAATCGCTCAAATCAGAGCGAGAGCAAAATGCAACAAAGTACATACGCGACAGGTAGCAGTGAAAGACTATCACAAGATTCACTGCAAAGGAAATGGTTAGTGTCACCCAATCTCAACACATTTAACCATCAGCAGGCACTAAAAGAAACTGTTTAGCGCCTCCATGTGGCCAAGTTTTAAAATGCAGGCTTTTTTCCCAATTTGGTCATATCCACTAGCTAGGACTCCCACACTCACACGGCACTACCAGCACTGAGAGGGAGAATGCAGATTTCTAACGAAGCCAAATTAGGCCAATAGGCTAAAGGGTTTTTGAGCATCCCTATTTTCTATGATAATGATGATCCCATGGATTCCTTAATAAGATCTACTTTGATATAAGCAAAAATGACAGCATCTTGCCCTAAAACCAACCAGTCTCTTATTGTTTGTCTGTTGTTTTCTAGGGAGCAAGAGGACAGAGAGATGGAGCACCGCAGCCAGTCTATCAGCAGAACGGTACTCGCTAATTCTCTCACTGGCTGCCTTTTTTATGAATCTGTATATAAAGGTTTATTGCTGATGACCGTTCTTTTCAAATGAAGTCCAAATGAAGTGTCTGATCCCATTGGGAGTAAATATACTTGTATAAACATTCTTGATTGATTCTCAGCAGTGCACGGTAGATACCATGAAAACAGAAATTCTATTTTAAAGACGTTTTGATGGGTTTGGGCTGGACTGAAAATCCTTTCTTGAGTTTAATAACAAGTTTATGGCCCTTTAAGACACTGTTCAGTAAAGTCTTGTGGGTGATATTACAGAATCCTGTCTGCACAGCAAGAAAAACAGTCCTGTGAAAATCACCACAATGATTTAGAAAGCTGAACTCAGATCTGTGCTGGTTTATCAGGAGGACTTTGTTTTGCTCTTTTCAGTGCTTCACACTGGAAAGAGGTGGTTCATCATCTGCCCGGTGGACGAGCCTCCTGTGGTCAGTCAGGATGCATCCTCAGAGGTAGCGACAGCTGTGCAGACGGCCCTTACCAGCGCACTGACTGATGGGACTGCTCCTGGACAGCCTGCTGAGAGTACCTCAGCTCAACCACTAGAGGGCAGCACCCCGTCAGCTTCTGTTTCTATAGGTAGTGAATCTGTAATGTTATCATTCACATCAACGTTCTCCCCATTTCCGGCAGGTAGAGAAGAAAAAGTCTTTTTTTTTTGTCTGATAGAAACAGTCATTATTTTGACATAGTAAGTAATTATTCTGACATAGAAAAATAGATAATTATTCTGTTCTGTCAATATTTTAAGAAAATAAGTACTTAAAATAAGTGATTATTCTGTTATGTTTAGTTAATATTTTGAGTAAGTAATTATTCTGTTGTTTAGTTAATATTTTGAGTAAATAAGTCATTATTTTGTTATGTTTAGTTAATATTTTCAGAAAATAAGTAATTATTCGGTTATGCGACGTCAACATTTTGAGAAAAGTAGTAATTATTTTAAAAAAGTAAGTTATTTATTATGAGATACTAAGTCATTATTTTGAGATATTGAGCCAGTATTTAGAGAAAATAAGTTTTTAAATGTACATAGTGTTATTATTATGAGATGCTGAGGAAATATTTTTGAGAAAATAGGTCATGATATTGACATTAATTCAGTATCACAAGACACTGTCATTATTTCAACTTTGTTTAACTGACATTAAGATTCTATGTCCGAATTTTGAAAGAAACCAAAAAATTGTAGACAATTTTTTCTGCTCTATCTGGCAGGAAAGAACTTCCAACCTCGGTGAAAAGACTTTTGTGCTCTTAATTCATCATGTTGTCAATTTAACAATCCACATTTAACTTATCCAATAACCATAGACTGTTACTGATGGTGATGCTCATAAATTAATTCTAATTGTTTATTTTATTTGGAACATTCTCTTCATTGTCACTCAGATTCAGAAGGCTATGCCACGGCGCCCCCGTCTGGCGACAGCGATGCTCATGGATTCTGCAGCCCACTCTCTCTGACCACCACAGACCCCCTGTCCCTGGCTCCACTCTCTCCAGTGCCCCCTGCTCCCCTCACTGCCGCTCTGTCAGTCTCCCATCCAGAAGACACCGCTAGCTCAACCGCAGCCCAGCTTAGAGTCCAGTCTGCCACGGCTCTGCGCAGCTCTCTGACTGTGGATGAGCCTTCAAGCGTGAAACTCGGGTCACTCTCGCCGATCCATGCTGCCCAGCAGGGGGCAGATCTCGCCTGTGCAGCATCAGTAGCAGACAGTATGCCCTGCTGCCCGCTAATTATGCCGCTAGCACTGGATGTTAACGCAGGCATTCAGCAGCCCTCTCCGCTGACCCCTCCGCTCCCGCCGGAGGCCCCATCAGCGCGGGAGCAGCTGCAGTCCATCTCAGAGCGCGGCCAGCACCCTGTCGTGCTGCAGCAGCCTTTCTCTGCTGTGGGCGGAGCTAAGGCCCCCTCACTGCCTCAGAGCCCCGCACCCTCACAACACCCGCACGCTCCAAACGAGTCGGATGGCGAGGGTCGGGGAAGGGTGGGGTTCGTGGACAGCACCATAAAGACGTTGGACGAGAAGCTGAGGAACCTGCTGTATCAGGAATACGCGCCCATGTACCCGTCGGGCAGTGCGGCCGAAACGCCCGGTTCAGGGACAGAGTATATCCAGTCCCCGCCCGGACCGGAGAGCGCCACGGGGGAGTCGGGGACCAGCACCCCCAGCCTCATCGGAGAGGGGCTGATCAGGGCAGGAGAACAGCTGGTAAGCTAAAGTACTTTACATTAACAGGAGCCTTTTCTGTTATTTATTCTGCTCTTCTCCTTGATGTTGTCACGTTTATTTTAAAACATGTGTCCTTTTTTATTTTTTGTGTAATAAATGACCTTTTTATACAAGCAGTACATGAACGAAGTGTTAAGAGTTAGCACTTAGAGTTGTCAAACAATTAAAACGATTAATCGCAATTATTCGCAGAACTTTTGTAGTTAGTTGTGATTAATCGCCTTTGTCTTGTTTGCTAAAACCATAGGAGCTTCATCACAATGAATGTGTGAGTGCAGAACCTGAGCATGAACATCAAAGTGAACGAAGTGTCATCGGTTTTCATTAGTTTGCTGCTGGTTAATTTGTCCATAGTGTTACATCCTCAAATGTCTATGGGTAAATTAAGGCCATGCAGAAAAGTATGTCAACGGCAACCTACTGCCAGACCAAGACACCACAAACTACAAATAACAGACCAATTATCAGCATTTATTTATTTGAACTTGTGTTAAAGGCATCATCTTGTATAAAAAAAGTACTTAGCCGGTAAGTCTAGCTTTAAACTGCTCAAGTGCATTTACATTTACATTTATGGCATTTGGCAGACGCTCTTACCAAGAGCAACTTAGAGTTTGATCATTTTATACACAGTTAGGTAAAGGTAGTGTTAAGGCCTCAGCATACCAAATTCTCGAGGGTTGTGCGAAGCCGAAAGCGCCTTTGCGAGCTTACAAGCCTGCATACTTCCTGCGGTTTCGTGTTGCCTGTCGCGGATGCTCCACGTGACGCTATGACAATTTATGATAAGTTTAATGACTGCGAACACGATTCGTTCACAGTTCTAACTGTGGCGACGTTTGAGTTCAGAATACTGCCACCATTTAAGGTGGAACGGGAAAATTAAAACAAGAAACTGGTGAACAGAAAGCCAGCTTCAGCCTCGTCCTCTTGTGAACCTAAATAACATGACCTATATGTTTTGGTGCTTAGTGCTAGTTAGTACTACTGAATAACAGATCTTACATTTAGGAGATATTCACTGTTTATTTAACAAATGCACGTTTCACAGTGAAATATTAGTGTATCTGACAAAGTCAAAGCTCCTCAAAGTTGTCCATCTTTGTTTTAATGCACGTCTCTTTTTTTACTGGCTATTCAGACCACCCAGCTGCCATATGCGCGATACGGCGAGCGAAGCCTCTGCGCCATGTCTGTGGTGGTTTGTTTCCTCCGCAATTACGTCATATTGTTCGCTGAAGCCAGGCGAACTTCGTCTCCGCAGGAAGTATGCTGAGGCCTTCAGGAGTCTTGCCCAAGGACTCTTATTGGTATAGTGTAGGGTTCTTATCCAGGCAGGGGTTTGAACCCCAGCCTACAGTGTAGAAGGCAGAGCCAGAGGTGCTACCCACTACACTACACCAACCAATAGTTACAAACTAGAAACCAACAAGATGGCTAAACTTATCCAACACAGAACAAAACTACAGTGTTAAACCTGCCTCCCGATCGCAAAACCAGGAGAAAACACTATATGAAAGAAAATGGGACCCTCACCCCCTCACTTACAAAGAGGAGGGTTAGAAGTGTTTAGACAAATTCGTACAAACAGGCTCACACATTCATTCACAAACAAATCCTCAGGTGGTTGGTCTGGTCAGGTGGAGGCTGATGGCACAGGTGACCACTGGAACAGCCCTCCCCTTCTGTCGCTGGAGCGCCACCTGCTCTACCCAATCAGAGCCTTCCAGATGTTAACCCTATGGGAAAAAGTGATAAACGAGAAAGAGAGAGCACAAAACACTACATTCCCCCAGGACCTTAACAGTAGTTCCCTCGTGAGCATTGTCCAGTGTAGTCTGCTGAAGGTGCTGAAGGTGCTTAAAAGCTGTATTTGAACAAGAGCGCTACTATCAGAGCAGCATAGAGTCCTGCAGCTGGGCTTTGGCCTGCACTACTACAGATGGGTCAAAGGTACAAACCTGGACAATGTGTTAATGGCGTTTTACAAAATTGTGCTATTAGTAATTTAATGCTTTAACTTTGACAACATTAGTAAAGAATAATAACAGAATAACAAGCCTGTCTTCTGCTTCTGTCTCCATCGCAGCCACAGATTCCAGAGAGAGTGGACAGTCTGAGTGCGCTCAGTGACTCCGCTGTTGGAGGTACGACAGATCATTTTTGCTCATCCTACAGCTTCATGTTTCAGCTAGAACAGTGCACTTTCCATGAAGATACTGAGAGACTGAAGACATTTACTGAACATAATACTGTTTATGTGATACTCAAAAATAGATCTCTCTGCAGTCACAGTGACGAAGAAACATGCGATGCCTCACTCCACATCCTGCTCTGGCTCCAGGAGTCGCTTTAAGGTATCTGCTCCCTACAGACATGAACCCAAAGTCCAGTTGTCTGCCTATTTATTATATGGACAAACGAAAGAATGAATAAATAAATGAATAAACTACATGGTGTACAGATGTGTTCTGCAGCCCTGCTCCTGGAGATCTGCTGTCCAGCAAATTTACCTGTAACCCTAATCCACCCAGGCCTTAGATCTGCCTCATTTACAAAGCCACTAACTTTCATTTTATCTTTCTCATACTAAAATAACGGTTTATAATTCCAAATAACAGCAAACACAACACACACAAATGCGCACACACACACACACACTAATACACACACACACACACACACACGCAGTACCCCAGCAGGCAGGGTGAAAAAGTCTACTGACCGCAATGTACTCTTGTTCGCAGCCCAATCAGCTCCACTGTCATGGTGCAAAGTTCCTGGCTCATGGCCCAGTTAGACTCTCAGACTCCACTACCGTGGTGCAAAGTGTCCCAGCTAATGGCTAAGATGTAAGCACAGTCATTCGGAGTGGTCTGACTTACCGTCTCAGAATTATTTACAATTTAATGCCTTTAAAAGCTCTCAGAAAGACATGACATCACTGGTAGTTTAATAGTAAATAACATGGTTGTATCTGTGTTGTAGACCTGATGACCCCTGGTTCCTATCACCACCAGTTAGGAAATCCGATTCGGTCACTTTCCGTACATCGGAATTATGCAGAAATATGAACAAATCAGTGGAATTCCCTGTTAATGGTTGCTAAGGGTGTCTACCTAGCCATGTTTAATCGAGGCAGACCATTTGACTAGCGGGACGAGGGGTGCTAGATTTGCTCTGGAGCTGAAATCTGCAGTAAAGTGGATCTCCATGAGGACGGGTGGTGACCTCAGTTGTAGAGTTTAGTGTAACATATTTTAAATATCTCCCCATGTCTGCGTGGGTTTCCTCCGGGTGGTCCGGTTTCCTACGACGGTCCAAAGACATGCAGTCAGGCAAAATGGAGATGCTAAATTGCCCCTAGGTGTGAATGTGAGTGTGAATGTGTATGTCTGTGTGTTTGCCCTGTGATGGACTGGCGACCTGTCCAGGGTGTTTCCTGCCTTCCACCGAGTGAACGCTGGGATAGGCTCCAAACCCCCTGTGACCCAGGAGGATAAGCGTCTTAGTTGATATATATGTGTGTGTGTGTGCGTGTGTGCGTGTGCGTGTGTGCGTGTGTGTGTGTGCGTGTGTGTGTGTGCGTGTGTGTGTGTGCGTGTGTGTGTGTGCGTGCATGTGTTTAAATAGCATCTCTGTGTGTTTTGACTGTACTTTGCCCCACTGATTAAGAACTGGTCAGTCTTCCTTTAAGCATCGTTTATTGTTACTTGAACAAATATCTGTCTTAATCAGATGATGCCCGGCCCTCCTGACGTCCAGAGGAAGCAGCGGAGCTGGAGCAGCACAGCCTCTCCAGCGCACCCTGGTAGCTGTTTAGGGGAGCGCAGCGCTTACGCAGAGCCGAGCATGCCGGTCAGCACCATCGGCCGCTTCTCGGTGGTCAGCACGGAGGACGAGGTCACGCGCAGGAAACACAGCAGCAGATATTCAGCTCCGCCCGACTTCTACCTGGACGCTCCGCCCTCCCTGAGCAAGCGGGGCTCCCTCCCACGAGCACACACTTCCATCCCGGTGGACGTCCACGCCGCCCGCTTCATGTCCTCCGACTCCGGGGCGGAGAGCAGTCCGGCCAAAATGGCCCCCCCGACCCCGTCTCGGCTCGGGCGCTCGGAGAGGAGAGGAAGTGACTTCATGAAGAGGGCGGTGGCCTTCCTGAGGCGCTCGGGCCGCAGCAGCAGCGTGCAGAGCTCGGACTCACCCAGCAGGCAGGGCGGCGTGTATGGCTCGTACATGAGCAGCGACAACGACTCCGAGATGGAGGACTCGGACATCAAGAGAGAGCTGCAGAGACTGAGGGAGAAGTGAGTCAGTCTTCCCAGCCTGGAATCACCTGACTTTCATTTTATGTGTAGCATATCATTGATTTTTATTTTATAATAATAACATATACAGTATCAATGTAAATATAAACTAGACACCAACACGGTGATTTCCATTTATTTTCAAGTATACTTTAATTTTCTTTATACATATTTACACATTTATGTATTTTGTTAAATCTTTTTATTTAATATGCCTTTAGATGTGATTGACACTTTTGACATACAAGGCATTGTAGATGTTAATTTTAATAGAACTTCAGTGTGGATATTAATTTTATTAGAACTATTTTAATTTTATTCCAGATATTAATTTTCCCAGAAACTTTATTATACAGACTAATTTTATCACAACTTTATTCTGGATATTTTTTTTATTATAACTTAATTCTAGTTTTAATTCTAATTTATTCTAATTTTAATTTTATTCTGATTACTAATTTTACCAGGACTTCATTACATAGACAAATTTTATCACAACTTTATTCTAATTATTGATTTTATTAGAACTTCATTCTAGTTTTAATTCTAATTTTATTTTCTTATGGTTATTAATTTTACCAGAATTTTTTTATTACATAAAACTATTTTATTACAACTTTATTCTAGATATAAATTTTATTAGAACTTCATTCTGGAGATTCATGTAGTTTCATTATCATTTTATTCTAATTCTAATTTATTCTAACTGATTTTATTCTGGATATTAATTTTACCATAATTCATTGCATATACTAATTTAATTACACATGCATTCTGGATATTAGAAATTATATTTCATATTAGAAATAATGTATAATATATCATTACATACATTAATTTTATTATAACTTTATTCTATAGAGTAGTTTCACTAGAATTTCATTGTGGATATTAGTTTTATTAGAACTTCATTTTAATTCTAAATCTAACTTATTCTTCATTATATATCGTTCATTACATATACAAATTTTTTAGAACTTCATTCTGGACGTTCTTCAGCTTTCTCAGTCATTTAATCATCATTTTCAGATTGAATCGGTCAGTAGTTGAATAAAGTATCTCAGCACATCACAGAGCTGCCTGGTGCTGAGGGACTGAGACTGTGGACTGAAGTGTGATATAATATTTTATAGTGTAATATTGTAATATTATCACTCTCTCCTCCCTCCTGTAGACACATGAAGGAGATTTCGGAGCTACAGGCTCACCAGCGCGACGAGGTCGAGCTGCTCTATCTGCGTCTCGGTAAAGCGCCCCCTCCTGGCTTCAGCCACACCTCCACCGTGCCCCCTGCTGGACGCAGACGCAGGGCCAGCAAACACAAGCTCAGGGCTGGAAAACTGCTCAGCCCTCTGGTCCAGCAGCTGAGAAGCGTCAAAAAAACAAGCGAAAGCAGCAAAGCCGGCGATGCTGCCAAATACAGTGAGTCATTTGCTTTGAATTTAAACAAACCTGTTTTGTTACTACTGAACATAATAAAGAAGAAATAACACACTGAAACAGACACTCAGACTCTTAGGCTTTTGTTTTCTTGACTTTCTCTGAACTCTGGGAGATAAAAACAAACTGTTTTGTGATGAGCAGATCAGAGCAGTGCAAAACGGGAGCACTGTCAAAATTTCAACACAGAACACGGAAATGATACAAATTAATTTTGAAAATATGCAATAATTATATGTGAGTGCTTTTTGCTCTGCTATAGTGTTTTACCATAACCTTTGTACAACCCATTTCCAGAGAAGTTGGGACGCTGTGCAAAATGTAAATTAAGAACAAAATGCAATGATGTGCAAATTATTTAAACCATTTTGAATTTGATGCCAACATCACATTCCAGAAAAGTTGGGACGGGGGCAACAAAAGGCTGGTAAAGTTGTGTAATGCGAAAAAACATCTGGTGGCTAATTGGCAACAGGTCAGTAACATGATTGGGTATAAAAGAGCATCTGAGAGAGTCGGAGTCTTTCAGAAGGAAAGATGAGGAGGGGTTCACCACTCTGTGAAAGACTGCATGATCAAATAGTGCAACAATTCAAGAATAACGTTTCTCAACGTAAAACAGCAAAGAACTTCTGCTTTTATCATCTACGGTACATAATAACATAAAAGATTCAGAGAATCTGGAAAAATCTCTGTATGTAAGGGACAAGGCCAAAAACCAGTATCTGCTGGCCGTGATCTTTGGACCCTCAGACAGCACTGCATTAAAAACAGACATGATTCTGTAGTGGAAATCACTGCATGGGCTCAGGAACACTTCTGAAAACCACTGTCTGTAAAAACAGTTCATCACTACATCCCCAAATGCTAATTAAAACTCTAAAACACAAAGAAGAAACTGTATATAACCAAAATCCAGAAACGCTGCCACCTTCTCTGGGCCCGAGCTCATTTAAAATGGACGGAGGCGAAGTGGAAAAGTGTCCTGTGATCTGACGAATCAACATTTGGGATTCTTTTTGGAAATCATGGACACTGTGTCCCCCGGGCTAAAGACCACTCAGTTTGTTATTAGTGCACAGTTCAAAAGCCAGTATTCATGATGGTATAGGGGGCATTAGTGCACATGGCATGGGTGACGTGCACATCTGTGAAGGAACCATTAATGCTGAACGATATATACATGTTTTGGCAACATATGCTGCCATCCAGACGACGTCTTTTTCAGGGAAGGCCTTGATTATTTCAGCAAGACAATGTCAAACCGCATTTTGCCGCATGGCTTTGTATTAAAAGAGTCCAGGTGCTAAACTGGCCTGCCTGCAGTCCAGACCTGTCACCACAAAGGAGACCCCGAACTGTTGAGCAGCTGATGAATTTTTGTTAAAAGAAGAGGTGATGCAGCACAGTGGTAAACAGGCCCCCGTCCCAACTTTTTTGGAACGTGTTGTTGGCATTAAATTCAAAATGGGCAAATATTTTTCAAAAAGCAATAGAATTTCTCAGTTTCAACATCTCATATGTTGTGTTTATAGGATTTTCCTTTAACAATGTGGTTTACATGATTTGCACATCATTGCATCCTTTTTTATTTACGTTCTGCACAGCGTTCCAACTTTTTTGGAAATGGGGTTGTATTAGGTTAGTTTACTCCATACTTATGACATTATACACAGTCTTTGAATGAAGCAACATATATAAGAATTGCTTAAGATTACTAACAATAATAATCTTTATTTACTGAGCACTTTTCATGTAGACTGTGGCTCAAAGTGCGTTAGAAACCAGTGAGAACTTTCAGTAACAACAATAAAAGAAAATAAATGAAAGTGAAGAGTATTCTTTAAAATAAACTGAGACAATAACATCAATAAGATATATACAGTTTTTACAGAAGGTCAGTATCTGCAGATCTAAGTTTGGATCTGGATCTGGAAAATAAACGAGGTAGTGAGGTACGCAGGTGCTTTGAGGCCATTTAGAGCATTAAAATCTAGTAAAAGAGCTATGATCTTGGTCCTTAAGCACACAGACAGCTAGAGATGTACACTCCGAATGTTTGATATTTAACCTCTTCACATGAAATTGAAATGTAAAAGGCCCAGTGTTGACTAAACACTGCTGCAGTTCCTTTTTAATTAGCTGTTTGCTTGTCTTTTGTCCTCCATCAGGTGAGCCTTCTCTGAGTTTGAACGGCTCTCCGGCGCGAGCCTCTGTGGTGTCAGACAGTCGCTCTCGCTCAGGGACGAGCACTCTGCCCAGCTCTGTGTCTGAACCGGTCCAGACTCAGCAGCCCTGCTCCCTCAAGGGCTCGCTGTCTTCTGATAACATCTACGCTGGACTGCATGGAGAGGGACCAGGAGCTTACAGCCGGCCAGGACAGGGTGGGTTTACAGCTCACAGCACAGAGATCAGAATAAAATGATGAAAGAGGGTCCCCTCGAGAGTTAACGGGCCCAGATCCTATATTTTTTTAGTCTTCGTTTGTGTGGTTTTATTTACCAAACAGTGATAAACCATTTTACGTGACCATTTTCCAACCTTTAAGAATTCAACAGGCTGTTTGTTGCTGTGCCTTTAAGACTCATATATTTAAACAACTGATATATGTGCTCTGTTCTGATTGGCTGCCCTGTATTATGTTTCATTCAAAAAATTAAAACAGTAATTGTTAGTGTTAATGGGCGGGGCTAAACTGCTGCAGGCTGAGTAGGCGGATATACATAAATGCATCAATTTTCGTGCCATCATGTAAACATTGAATTCAAACAGGCTGTTTTTGCAGCTTAGTTTCTATATATTAGGGGGGCTCAGACCTGTTCCTGGAGATCTTCCGTGCTGGAGAGTTCAGATCCACCACACCTGATTCTAACATTCAGATCACTCTGAAATCCTTCATCACTAGAATCAGGTGTATTAGATCAGTGTTGGAGCTAAACTCTGCAGGCTGGTAGATCTCCAGGACCAGGACCAGGACTGGGCACTCCTGCTATATATGGACTGTATGGACTAAAGCAGTGGTCACCAACCCAGGTCCTGGAGTGCTACCTTCCTGTAGAGTCCAGTTCCAACCACAATCTGCCACACCATCTTCATAGGAGTAAGCAAGGCCAAAACAGGTTCTAGAGAAAACAGAATGTTTTGCAGACCAAAACCTGGAAAAAGCTGCAAATAATGACTGTTGTGGATCATATGAACATTATAGAGGCTTTTTAAATGAAACAGTAGAAGCCATATCGCCCCCTACGCTTCCTGTAGTGTGTTACAGTCTGTCAGAGTGACTGTGTGGATCATATGAACATTATAGAGCTTTTTAAATGAAACAGTAGAAGCCATATCGCCCCCTACACTTCCTGTAGTGTATTACAGTCTGTCAGAGTGACTGTGTGGATCATATGAACATTATAGAGCTTTTTAAATGAAACAGTAGAAGCCATATCGCCCCCTACACTTCCTGTAGTGTATTACAGTCTGTCAGAATGACTGTGTGGATCATATAAACATTATAGAGCTCAGTTAACATTGTCAATTTGTGTATTAAGTAATAATGGCAGCCCTGCTTAATTGTACTCCATCAGTTGCTTGTCAGGGTATGAATGACTTACGATTGGTCCTGGTGGTCCTCAGTGGTGGGATGTAGTAGAACTCTTGATCTCACTCTACTCTTTTTTTCCCCTGTCTTGCCCCCCCCCTCCCCTCCCCATCCCTTCTCTGCTCTGGTCTGCAGGTTGGCCTCACTATCCTCAAGCGGCTGAGAGGGTCACTTATAAGTCCAGCAAACCACGCGCTAGATTCCTCAGTGGGCCACTTTCTCTCTCCATCTGTTTGTATCTCTCTCCTCTCCCCCCACCCAAAACACTCAGCAGTCCCTCAGCTCTTTTCCTCCTGACTTGTATCTCTCTCTCTCTCTCTCTCTCTCTCTCTCTCTCTCTCTCTCTCTCCCCATATTAGTACAGTTTCTAATATCTGCTCCTCCTTAAAGGAACACTCCAGCATTTTCCCATTTAAACTCTAGCACACAGTTAATAACATATGCTTGACTGCTGCGACTATCATTTTGACACAGTTCTCCGTATTTAAAAAAGAACAGAAATCTCATAATTGACTCAAAACTTGTAATTAAAGTCAATAGGTAGCTGCTTAATTAAACTACCCTTTGATTTCTTCAAGAGCTTTTAGAGTCAAAAGGATTTCTGTTCTTTTCTAAGTATTCGCTGGAGTACCACTTTAAGGATTTTGTGTCTTTTCATTCTTCTTTCTCTTCATACTAAGTGTAAGCACATCTTATATAAGCTTTTGTAATATCTGGAAGTATGTGAATAACCTCAGTCTGACCATTGTGTTGATCAGTTACTCATAGTTCTGCGGTCTTGATGGGTCGTTCCTCTTATGTGAAATAGTTTCCACTGCTAGGCTGTTTTTAGTTTTTCCATTACAGATCTGTTATCTCACACTATTTTTCCCGATTAGCAAGACCCGCAAATCAAAACCAGAACTAGACCCTTGCTCAGTTAATCCAAACATTTAGCACACTCTGGACATTACTCAAGACGGCTCTTTGTTTATGTTGTCTTGTTTCATTTTTAATCACTGACTACTAGCTGCTAAATCTAAATCCTTCACTATTAACATTATACACTGACACAGCCATAACATTGACTCTATTCACACTCATTGTCCATTTTATCAGCTCCACTTACTATATAGGTGCACTTTGTAGTTCTACAGTTACAGACTGTAGTCCATCTGTTTCTCTGCATACTTTGTTAGCCCCCTTTTACCCTTTTCTTTAGTGGTCAGGACCCCCATGGACCCCCACAGAGCAGGTACTATTTGGGTGGTGGATCATTCTCAGCACTGCAGTAACACTGACGTGGTGGTGGTGTGTTAGTGTGTGTTGTGCTGGTACGAGCGGATCAGACACAGCAGTGCTGCTGGAGTTTTTAATCACTATGTCCACTCACTGTCCACTCTATTAGACACTCTTACCTTGTCAGGCCACCTTGTAGATGTAAAGTCAGAGATGATAGCTCATCTGCTGCTGCACAGTTTGTGTTGGTCATCCTCTAGTCCTTCTTCAGTGGTCACAGGACGCTGCCCACAGGACTCTGTTGGCTGGATATTTTTGGTTGGTGGACTATTCTCAGTCCAGCAGTGACACTGAGGTGTTTAAAAACTCCAGCAGCACTGCTGTGTCTGATCCACTCAGACCAGCACAACATACACTAACACACCACCACCATGTCAGTGTTACTGCAGTGCTGAGAATGATCCACCACCCAAATAGTACCTGCTCTGAGAGGGTCCTTGGGGGGTCCTGACCACTGAAAAACAGGCTGAAAGGGGGCTAACAAAGTATGCAGAGAAACAGATGGACTACAGTCTGTAACTGTAGAACTACAAAGTGCACCTATATAGTAAGTGGAGCTGATAAAATGGACACTGAGCGTAGAAACAAGGAGGTGGTCAGAATGTTATGCCTGATCGGTGTATATCTCCACTAACTTATCCACATCCAAATGCTACAGTACCTGATGTTTATCTAATCTAATTTCTTAACTGCATGTCTTTATGAATGTTACTCTCTGTGATTGATTATCTGATGCTGACCTCTGTCCTGTAGGGTCGACGCTGAAGCGGCTCTGCCTGGGAAAAGAGCGCAGCAGCAGTAAATATCATTTTATGCTTTACTACCTCTCTCAAATATTTCACACACTGGCTCAGCGGTGTAGATGGAGCTCATTGAAGTGTGTTTTGTTCTAGAATTGTGGTTGTTGTTTTAGAATGTAATAGAATTGACTATTAATAGTATTCGATTGCATTATTAAGATAGCCTCGCTGGCATTTTGGTAGGGAAGCTGTTGCTGTGTTACCTGCTAATGTAAACGTACATTAACTCAGCCATAGCTTGCTGCATCACCTTTGCTACAGCTACAACCTGCAGGTGGTTGAAGGCCAAACAAAACAGCCACAATGACCATGAAAAAGATTGAAAAGATATGTGGACACTTTAGAAAACGCTATAAAGAGAAGATCAAGTTCAGACAATTCCAATATGTAAGATTTTCGTAAAACTAAAAACAAAAAAAATGGCTACCAAAACTGTCAAAGCTCTTAAGTAATACACACATACATATCGTCACTGTCCAAAGAAAACCATGTATCTCCATTTTTGTTGATTTTTATTTTTCTACATCATTTCAACACACCAGTTCTGCTTTACATTGTGTACAAATTTCATGATGAATGGACCAATAGAAGTGCTCTAAATTCTCTTGGAATAAAATCTCTTTACATTAACCTAAGTTGAAAGGTAAGAATGTTTTTGCCCTCTCCTGTAAAGTTTACTGTTTTGGAGATACATGTTTTTATTTGTACAGTGATGATATGTTTGCTTTTTATTTCACAGCTTCTTATTCAGATTGTCTACTTTACCTTAAATGGTGCAGCAGTTACATGAAATCTATGGGAATTTTAAAAAGGAACCCTTGTAATAAATGCATCAATAATCAGAAAATACCTTTAGCAATTGACATATATATAAACTTTCACATTTTTAATGGCCAGCTTACAATCAGCACATAATACAGCTATAATCAGCTGCTGAAGCTGCTGGACTGTTGGACGCGTCTCACTGGCTGATCTAACACCGCGTCCCAAACCCCACACTTCTGTACTTTGGCACTGTGATATTTTACTTGATTAATTGTCTAAATATTGGTTACATCACTCAATTACTCGTATTATCAATAGTCACATCTCAAAATTCTATTTTTTGCATGTGTGATATATTTTGTAAGTTTAATGTTGTGGCCTACTCCATGTTGTTCTTTTGACCACCATAGCACTAATCGTAATGCTTTAGTCACTCAAACATGGCTAGATATCTTCATGTTGAGTAACAGATTGCCTACAGTTTGTTCTAACATTCTGCTCTTTTTCACATACACACACATACAGATAACCACAAACACAACTCCAAAGATGTGGGGACAGTGTGTGAAGTGCAAATAAAAAAGTGATATGTAAATCCACTTTTTCTGTATTTAAACAAAAGTAGAACAAAGAAAAGATATTTGATGTTTTATCTTCTCAACTTCATTATTTTCTATAAATATACGCTTATTTTGATGCCTGCAACACGTTTCCAGAAAGTTGAGACGGGGCAATTTAAGACCAGTAACTGTCTTACAATAGCCACGTTTACATGCAGCCTGATAATCCGTTAATAATCCGACTAATAGCTCAATCGGAATAGAATATGTTCATATAAACACTTCAATCTGAAGAGTCTAATCCGATTGAGGCCATTTGGAATACAGTTTCTATCCGATTGAACGAGGTGGGTAATCCTGTAAATAATCCGTTAAATAGAAGAATAATATCCATGTAAACACTTGTATCTGATTACATTCCCTATCAGGACGTGTAAATACGTTCTGCGCATGTGCGTCGCGTCATATCAAAAGCACAGAACTCATAAACCGGCTCTGGCAAAAGTTTATACCGTTCAGCATGGCGGAGCAGAAACTGGTCTGCAGAGACGAAATTTATGCTCTGATCTTTAAAAGGCGGCGGTGGGACGGACGTCCAGCTTATGTGTCTCAGAACACGACGTCTTCCTCTCGGCCTTCTTTAATAAGGACATGTGAAGCACGTTTTCCTGAGTCTGACATCATTTTAAAGCAATTAAAAACTCCAGCGCACCAACTGGAAACTCATCTCACGCGGACTGGACCTCACGTGATGTTCACTGTCATGGTAACGTTTACTCTAAGCGGTACTCCACGCATGCGCGTCATTTTGGATCGGATTACTTGTAGTGAGCATATAAACGAAGACTTTCATCAGACTGTTGAATAGAGTGAGCATATAAACACCTCAGTCTTAATCTGTAATCGGATTGTATTCATTTCGATTGGCAAAAATCTTTGCATGTAATCACAGCCAGTGTTTTACAAAAGGTGATGTAATCATGCCTTGATATAAAGGAAGCTCTATTCCTTTATGAGCAAGGATGGGTTGAGGGTCCTCACTTTGACAAAAAATGCATTAGCAAAAAATCAGACAGTTTAAGAATAAATTTCCTCAACAAGTGTTTGCAATGATTTTAGGTATTTCACACTCTACGGTGCACAATATCATCAAAAGATTCAGGGAATCCACAGAAATCTCTGTGCATAAAGTGCAAGGCTGAAAACCACAACTGAATGCCCATGACCTTCGACCCCTCAGATGGCACTGCATTAAAAACCAGCATGCATCTGTGATGGATATCACCACATGGGCTTAGGAATACTCTGACAAACTGTTGTTAATAAACACTGTTTGTCGCTGCCTCCACAAATGCAAATTAAGACTGTACTACGCACAGTGGAAGACACATATCAACAATATACAGAAACACTGTCCACTTGACTTGAGCTCATCTGAAATTGACTGGTCAGTGGAAACATGTATTGTGGTCTGATGAGTCAAAATTTCAGATTATTTATGGAAAAAATATACATCACGTTCTCTTGGCCAAAGGAGAAAAGGACCATCCAGATTGTTACCAGTGTAAAGTTCAAAATCCATTGTATGGGGGTTTATTAGTGGGTAACTTGCATATCTGTGAAAGCACCATTAATGCTGAAAGATATGTACACATTTTTCAGGGACATCCATGCTTATTTCAACATGACAACACCAAGCCACATTCTTGTTGTGACAGTGTAGGTGCTAGACTGGCCTGCCTGTCTCCCACTGAAAACATATAATGCATTATGAAGCGCAAAATATGACTACAAAGGCCCTGTACAGTTGCACAGCTAAAAATGTGTAACTGAAGAATGGCAAAAAATTTCAGGTTCAACAATGGATCAGTTTGTGTTTATAGTCCCTAAAACGTTTATTAAGTGTTGTTAAATGGAAAGGTGATGTAACACACTGGTTAACATGCTCCTGTCCCAACTTTTTTGGAGCGTCTTGCAGGCATCATATTTGGAATGAGCATATATTTACAAAAGAAGTTCATAAAGTAAAACGTCAAATATTATGTTTTTGTACTGTTTTCAGTTTAATACAGGTCAAATAGAAATGAAATAATCACTGCTTTCTTTGTTTATTGGCATTTTGCAATACTGTCCCAACTTCTTTGGAGCTGGGTTTTTCTTGGCAGTACTCTTGAACTCTTTTTACTCAGATTTCTCTGATTTCTCAGGGTCTGGAGCTCCTCCAGCAGCATCTAATCAGCCGCAGATGCCCCCGGGTTCAACCCCTCCTCCCCATCAGCCGGTGGTGGGCCTGGCTCAAACACAGACCAACAACAGCAATAACAAGACTGACCTGTTCCCTGTGGAGCTCCACAGGCTGGTGGGCACATGGGTTCAGGAGGCACGAAGCCCCACACGTGCTCTCCCCCGCAGTCAGAGACCCCGACGGGCCACAAGAACCAGGACCAGGAGCACCGGAGGGGTGAGAAAAGAAAAACAGCCTGATAACAGTAAACAGACGTAATAAAGCAGTTTAATAAAAAGCTCTACTCATATTTCTTTAAAGGACTTTGTAAACAGGTACCACTTCTACAAAAGAACGTTTTTATGTTTTTCCCAAGTAATTGTCGTTCATATATCTTCAACATCTTCAACGTCCCGGCAACTGCCTTGCAATTTCCTGTTTTTTCCTGTTATTATGTCAAATAGGCACCATCTGTTCATGACCCTCTCAAAACATCTTTCAAGACTTTACTCAAAACGAAACCAAAAGACAACCATCCAGACACGCAGAACGCTCAGAACATTATAACAGAACCTTGGTCCTCTCTGTAGTCTATACGGTCTTACTGAATCCTGCAGAACATGTAAAGATGCTCTAAATCATTAACTACTACTACTGATATTAACCATATCTTAGACGTATTAAAATGCGCAAGAAATAAAATGTACCCAACTTACACAAATACAAAAAATTGTTAACGAGGACCACTATGGAAATAAGCTATAGGGCTTTTTTGTGTTTTAATCCTCAATGACTTAAATGTGTGTAACAGCTGCTGTGCAGTGTTGTATGTATTTTTATTACCAAATAAATTCAAACAAATCAATCAACAAGTACTAAAAGTCAGTAGCCACCCAAGTCGTCTCTGTAAATACATCCTTAAAACTGCTTCTAACCCACTCAAACTGCATCCAGATCTTCAATAAGGTTGCACAGATTTGTCATTGTGGTTTAGGACACAGTCTGACTTAATGTGAACTATAAAAATGAACAGAACTTCATTGCATAGCTCGACACAGAGGGCGGCTATTTTAGACCAGAGCTTATGGATGCTAGATCAGGGGTTCTCAACCTTTTCCACCCCAAGGCCCACCCGTGTATAACTACTACACATAGCGGCTGATGATGTTTAATTAGCCCACTAATGTTTTTATTTGTACGTCTCTATTAATATTTGCATTGGTTATACTGTGAAATTGTTTAATTATTCGATTTTTAATTATTAAGTTAATCATTTTTCCACTTACGTTTTAATGACTAACTGAGACGTTACCGGCCCGAATTACTCCCTCCGTGTTCCATGGCCCACAGGTTGAAGATTCAAGATAAACAGTTTTTATAAACGAAAACAACAGAAATTGTGGAGTCAGAATTCATCACCTGCTGAGACATTTTGAGGATGTATTTAAAAAAAAAAAAAGATTTGGGTGACTATTGACTTCTAGTGTTTGTTAGCAATGTTAACCTTGTAGCTCCAGTTCAGAACTAAAGAAGCACAGCTTGAACACTAAACATGTCTCAGCCAATTGGCTACATAAAGGATGACTGGAAAATTGTGTTCATTGGATTTTTTTGCCGAATCTTTCCTTTAAATCTTTTGAACTTTTGCCTTGGTTTTCTTTGTAGGTGCCTCCAGCGGTAACAGCAACGTCCAGGCTGCCTCTCTCGTGGCCCAGAATTGATTCTCACACCTCCTCCCTGACAGCTGACCACTTGTTGGGCTTTCAGGATGGTTTCTTGATGCATGGCAGCCCTTTCGGAGAGGTCCTGCGGTCTCCCCTCTATATTGCCCGTTGGCCTGCACTGACTGCACCTCTTAGCCGGGATGTGCTTACATTTTCCACAGTGTCGCCCCCCTGGATGGCACCATCGTCTTCTCCAGAACCCCCCAGCTCTCAGAACAGGACTTTGTAGCACCTAAACTGATGGCTTCCATGCATTGTCTAATGGGTTGGATTTCTCTACAGTATCTTTAAGCTGTTGTTTATCCTGCAGTGGTTCCCAATCATGGGAGCTCTCCCTTCTTCTAGCACACCTAATTAACTTCAAAACTAATTAACCCTTAGAAGTCGGAGTTATGTAGTCCCCATGGACTGGGATTGGGGGCCACCGAGCTAGCTTCACAACCTATTAGGACATACTACTATATCTGTATCTCATGTAGGCATGTATTGTATGGCTAATGTATATGTATCCAGACCAGCTGTGTAAATATCCGATCACCTGAGCGTCTGCTGGACCACGTATGTACATTTAGCATATATATATTTTTAAAGTGCGCCGTGTCACCCATGAATATGTCCATAATCCATGTACAGTGTATTTTTTCATTAGTTTAGGCTGTGCATAGACACCCAACCTTAATATGTACTGTACCTACATGTTTCTGCTAGTTATATAACTAAACCTTTACTGGTGGGCTCACATGCCTGTACATAGCCCCTGTATATAAGTGTACATACGCCGAGCACACTGCGTACATGTAGCTTAATCCCTTCATTCAAAAATAGACCCAACATATATGTAAATAGCGTTTGAATAAGTCTATTCTGTATGTAAATAAGACAAAGAGGGATTGTCTTGAAGTCACAGTCAAGATCACATCATCACTGTGAAGCCTCAAGATTGTGCTGCGGTCACCAGTGCTTCACACCACGCTTTCTGGACTATTGGCACCTAAACTAGAACCGCTAGAAATGCCGCATCTTTACTCCACCCCAAGGAAATTTGAGATGACTGTTGATTTCAGGTGGAGAGCCTGCAAGAGTGCCTTGAACAGCAGTTTTGGACGCGCTGGGTGAATAGCAATACCCTTTCACCAAGAACACCGATGCTGAGTTTTTTTCTCACAGGTGTTTCAGTGATTTGTACGAGGGACTTTCTTGTAGTTTTCCTGGCCATGTTCAGCAGTGAGGTGAGGAATTTCACTATAACGCCGAGTGTAAGATATTGTGGTGGGCCCATGATCATTTTGGACAACACTGCTGTTATTAAAGCTTATATTTGGCAAAGTAGTCAGTAGCCATAACATATAGAAGCATAAAGAAATGAGAAAGATGATGTAATTTAGAATTCACCAGGTTCGGTGTACGCCACCCTTCAGAAGTAAGGAATCACTATTCACTGTTTTCATTATATATGGCAGGTACATGTATAAAATGGTTCTGATATGCAGGGATGGTTTACTGACTGGGCCACTGGGGCCAGTGCTCAGGGGCCTTTGACTGCCAGGGGCCCTGCTTGAGGGGGGTCACAAGCTTGAAGTGTCCCAAATACTTGGGACAGTCCACTGCAGATGTAAACATTAGATGAACGAATAGCCATTGAATATGGCCAGAATGACTAAATAGATGAAAAATGTTCTAGACGGTGATAATGATTCAAATCTTACACAAAAATAACAATGTTATGGTGACACAGCAGGATATTGCACATTAATAAGGCTAATTATTCATTCCTAGATAATTAATATTATACGATTATTTTATTTCCGGGCGATTTTTGCTTAATCGAAAGCATATTTCTTAAAACAAGCAAAATTATATGTAATGATATGGTTATATAATTTCACTTGAAGTAAGTAAAATAATTTTATAACGTTCTTACAATCTAAACATGAGATATATCGACCAGATTTAAGATTTCTCTTGCCAAGATATCATTTTTGCAGCTAATATGATGCTACAGCTTTTCATCTCATATGCGGGAAGTTGTAAAAAATGAATAAATGTGTCCGGAATGATGAACACAGCTGTAGATGATTCCATATTGAGTGAGAAAACTGTAGAACATCAAGACTGAATTTATAATAATAACCTATCTTTTAGTATTTCGGTCTACACTGAATGAAATAACAGCACGTATTATTATAACAAGTGATTCCATACTTTTGAATGGTAGTGCAAACACATGAACACTGTTTGTGATATTGTTCTGTGGCTATGTTTTCCAATCCTGGTTCCAGATTTTGCTGCATATTCGGCAATTTTAACCTCTTGAAGGGGTCGGGAATGAGCAGATGAGTTGCTGGAGCAGGAAAAACACTAGAAGGTAAAGTGCAGGGGCATTCACGGACCAGGATTGGGAAGCACAGATCCTTTAGGTGATAAAAATGTGGGTAAATTTGAGTCCTGGGTTCAGGAGCATGAACCTAAACCTTCTCATGCTGCTTTCAGTTCCTCATAATGTAAGCTTTGTATGTAAAAGGCTGGGTGTGCGTGCGTGTGTCAGTTTTCTACATGCAAAAGGCTTTATAGAACTCAGAACTGTGTTTATGAAGAAGTTTGGTCTTTCACATGCCCCCCCCCTCCCCACCACCTTTTTAATCTACTAAATATCAGTTAGATCAGGGTTGTGTAAGACTATGCCTTATTCCACAGAAGATGACTCGGACATTGCTTATTCGAATGTGCTATTACTCAATCATTTGAAAACGATTCTTCTTAGAGGTGAAATGTTGTAGAATTGTACAGTGTACAGCTGTAGGGCTATTTTACGCACCTCTTCCGAGGCAGAGGGGCGCTTTCACTGCGCTTTTCTGCTGTTGTGTCTTAGCTATGCACATGTTAACGGGAATTGTCCATTTACCGCCCTTATGTTCTTTGCTCTTATATGCTTGCACTAAAAATCTCGCAATGCTTCTTCTGCCTGCTGCTTGCTCTCCCTGTATTCGCAGACCAGGGCCAGGACGCTGTATTTACACGAGCACAAACATTAAAGCTCTTCTACTTACTTGCAAGTTATTATTGTTTTCTGGGACTACGTGTCTGTGAGTGAATAAACTTCTTACCAAAGAATGTACACAGCAACATCACCCATATTGTGTCCAGCTGAGTGCTCTTCGTGTACTGACAGCCTGGAGCCCAAAAGGGGAATTCCACATTTTTTTCAAAATTTCTGCATAATTCGACTGTTCAGATGTAAACAAAGTCATTCAGAGTGGTTTGATGTGAAATGCTCCGTTCTAGAGAAACTGAATTGTGTTCATGTACACCGATCAGGCATAACATTATGACCACCTCCTTGTTTCTACACTCATTGTCCATTTTATCAGCTCCACTTACTATATAGGTGCACTTTGTAGTTCTACAGTTACAGACTGTAGTCCATCTGTTTCTCTGATACTTTGTTAGCCCCCTTTTACCCTGTTCTTCAGTGGTCAGGACCCCCATGGACCCCCACAGAGCAGGTACTACTTGGTGGTGGATCATTCTCAGCACTGCAATAACACTGTCGTGGTGGTGGTGTGTTAGTGTGTGTTGTGCTGGTACGAGTGGATCGGACACAGCAGTGCTGCTGGAGTTTTTAAACACTGTGTCCACTCTATTAGACACTCCTACCTTGTCAGTCCACCTTGCAGATGTAAAGTCCGAGACAACAGCTCATCTGCTGCACAGTTGGTGTTGGTCATCCTCTAGTCCTTCATCAGTGGTCACAAGACGCTGCCCACAGGACGCTGTTGGCTGGATACTTTTGGTTGGTAGACTATTCTCAGTCCAGCAGTGACACTAAAGTGTTTAAAAACTCCAGCAGCACTGCTGGACACACAATTTCTAAACCGCTTATCCTTCTGGGTTGTGGATGAAACAAAATATAAAATTTGTATTTTATATATTTACATTTTACTTTATTGCACAGGCCATGTTTTATGTTTTTTTCAAAATGTTAAACTGTCATTGAAGTGTGCCGAAGTGTGCTCTCTGCAGAGGATGTGTAAACAAAGTTTCACACAACAAAATTGTCATTTGGCTGGAGGCGCGCAAACTTTTGCATACGACTGTAAGTTCCACACACAGCCATTTCATTACAAAAGTCTCGTTCCAGAATTTCCATAACTTTTAAATAGGCCAGTATGTCACAGATCAGCAGCTCAGAAGAGACTCCTATGACTTTCATTCAAGTGATGTTCTGAGGGATTTTTATTGGAAACCTCCCAGTTGTCAGGGGTCATGAGTGCATAGATGTTGCCAGATTTGGTGTGTTCCTGCCAAATTGAGTGGATTTTGGTTGGGTTTGGTGGGAAGGACAAACATTTGGTCGGGTTTATCGTTATTATTTTGGCTTGTTTTTTAAAAAGTGTATAAAATTAACCAACCACATTACGGAAAATATATTGCAGCTACAATGCCACTGAACTTTGAAGCTATGGAAATAGCTTTGAATGCAAGCTACTGAAATAAACATACACATTATTTTTTATTAGAATTGTTTATAGTTCCTTTGTCCAGACGTTTCTTGTTTGACAGGGAAACTAAAAATTACATAAAAGCCTTTCAGTTATTAGCAGAAATAAAATCTATAGATGTGTTTAAAATACTGATAGTGCCGTCTAGTGACACCTTAAACACCTACTGATCTGCGAATTTGTCAAAGGCAAAGAAGACAACAGCAGTGGACGTATCAGATTTACTGATGCTGATTAAACGCTGTATTCTTTCGTATTATGGTTATGGACCTTAGACTGTTCCTGATGTGTACATTGCGGGTGTTTATTCATGCATTTTGGCGAGTTTTAAGATTTTTATGCTGAAAATATAGAAGCAATCTGGCAACACTGCATCAGTACTGCAGCCTGCGCGCGCAGCCACTCTCATTTTAAAATTCAAAATTCAACGGAAACTTAACGGCTCAGAACCAAAAGCCACAACTGAGGGACATAGTTCATTTCTTGTAGCTGTAAAACTCACTATTACTGTAATAATGAGACATTAATATATGTGTAATGTGTCGTTAGAAGTTTGATTAACTAACAAGAGCTGAAGTTACTTGTGTTTATCGTGACCTGCCAAGGTTAACGTCGAGTAAATGTCTTGTAAATGTAGGTAACGTAAGAGTGCTGTACTCCGTGCAGTACTTCGGCACTTTTCGCGTTTCAGTAGTTATTGCGGAAATACCCGAAGTCATACAGGGTGTAATGATAGGTTGGACTCTGCAAAATCCGCCTAGCAACCAGGATGCATTTTGATTGGTCACATTTGGGCCAATACTTTTAAAGAAATAGGAAAAAAGCGTCATTCGTGTCAACGGTTTGTACCGTCAGTATTCCGTTCACCAGCTTCCACAGAGGGAGCGGCTTTCCCTACAGTGTTTTCCCTGCATTTTATTTGAAGTTTTATGAAATCTAATTGCATAAAATTGACATTAATTGATTATACTGATTATAAAAGTGAATTAATATAAACAATGTGTGCAGTGAATGAGGCTACCCTGGAAAGAAGCCCAGTAAAGTGAGGCAGTGCTGTGAAGCTGCGCAGCTGAAAGGAGTCTGCTGAGGTAAATTAGCTGACGGTGTAAACTCAGATTAACAGCTCAGTACTAAACATACTGTGTTTCATGGTGATGATCCATTGTTTAATATTCGTTTAGTGTTAAATATTATGTTTAAACGTGCTAAAATGCATTTTAACTGGCCGTGAAAGTTTTCCCACCCCATTCACATTCGCAACCCTGGGTTTCCCCACCCGCCATGTTCGGGTCACGCCGGGGGTCGGTCACTATTTGCACAGATTTGATGTCCAAACCCAACTTAGATGGTCTTGCCAACCGATTTGATGGAAAAAAGGATATATGACACTGTCTCAGATGTATCATTGACAAATGTCAAGAAAGTAGTTTTTATTACACAAACAGGAAAAGTTGCAAGTGTACGGAATAATAATTAACGTTAGGTTAGCTAGGATAGCAAAGGCTCCACTCTGAGGTAAGGTACTAGTTAGCTTAGCTAGGTTAGGACAGACGGTAAGTTAAATGGTTATTTGCTGTAAATCTCACGATTACTGTAATAATTAGACATTCATATGTTTATAATATGTCGTTATAAGTCTGAGTGATTAACAAGAGCTGAAGTTACTTGTGTTTTTCGTGACCTGCCAAGGTTAACGTCGAGTTAATGTCTTGTAAATGTAGGTAACGTAAGAGTGCTCTATTCAGTACAGTACTTCGGCACTTTTCGCGTTTCAGTAGTTATTGCGGAAATACCCGAAGTCATACAGGGTGTAATGATAGGTTGGACTCTGCGAAATCTGCCTGGCAACCAGGATGCATTTTGATTGGTCACATTTGGGCCAATACTTTTAAAGAAATAGGAAAAAGGACCTGCCAAGGTTAACGTGACGTTAATGCCTTGTAAATTTAAATTAAAAGGCTCTACTCTGAGGTAACGTTAGCTTATCTAACCTAGCTACTTAGTTATAACGAACGATAAGTTAAATGATTATTTGCTGTAATTCTCACTATTACTGTAATAATGAGACATTAATATATGTGTAATGTGTCGTTAGAAGTTTGATTAATTAACATGAGCTGAAGTTACTTGGGTTTATCGTGACCTGCCAAGGTTAAGGTCAAGTTAATGCCTTGTAAAGTTAATTAGCTAGGATAGCAAAGACTCCACTCTGAGGTTTTTTGATAGTACGAGGTTTTACTGAGTTATGAGCTCGTATTCCATCACTGAAGTGCATACAAATGCAGTAACGTTAACGCTAATTAAACGTATTTGCTGCCTGCTGCTGTTCTCATTAACGTGAGGGTAAGATAACCTTAGCGATTAATGCGACTGTTGCTTTACTATGTCAGTCCATAGTTACACTCATAACAAGTATATCAGTAATTAAGGAAAGGCAGTGGGGCACTTTAATCATGACATGAAACACTGAGCGGTGCTTGGGGTGAGCCTAAATTTAGCCAGGTTAAACTGTGATTTTGTGAATGTTTTTTAAGCCCGCAGTGACCACGAGGCTAAACTTTCCGTTCCACCTTAAATGACGCTGCAGTTACATCTCAAAGGGGAAATCCGCAGAGTCTTTTAAATTGCTGCATAGTTCAATGGTTGAGATGTTAACAGTCGTTCAGAGTGGTTTGGTGTGAAACGCTCTGTTCTAGAGAAACTTGCAGAGTCAGAACTGTTCACAGTGGTGGTGATAGGAACCAGACGTCCACCTCTAAAAGCTCCCTCACAGAAAGTTACTACATGAAATGGGTACGAGTTCACTGCCTGATGCCTGAGACAGAGCTTTACGTTCGTTTTAAAAAGGGTTTTGACCTTACACATAATTTTTAAAATCCATTCATGGTGGAGATACACATCCTGGCAAAATAATACCTGAAGACAACATATTATTTTAGATTTGTTGTTATTCAAACATCATCAGCGATAAATAAAAAATGCAATAGACTCGTGTAGGTTTACTGGTGGTTTTGGATAGCAAATAAAAGATAATATAAGAAAAACTTTACTGTCCGTTAAGTTTGCATAAAATCTGGCACATAAATACATGCACACAAAACACTTAGATCTATATGCGTGTTGTAGATGTTGCGACCCCTGGTTCCTGTCACCACCGCTGAAGAAATATCAGTCATTGAGTTTCTCTAGAGCAGTATTTCTCATTTAACAGTGTTGAATGACTTTGTTTACTTCTCAAACACTGAATTATGCAGAAATTTTGAACAAATGACAGAATTCCCTCTTAACAGTCTATACAGATTATCTATACAGAATGCTTTATAAGCACTCTGAATTGAAAGTTTCACACAAATACACAGTGGCTGTTTAAGTTACAGTGTTTCTAGTGTGGGATATATTTAAGATTACATTATGTAAATAAGTAAGAGAAAGGTAGAAGGTGAATTTGTGCTTACTTCCTATGGCCTTTCAATCATGAAAGGTCTCAAAATGCAGATCTTCTACTATAGCGTCTTTTCTTAAAATGAAAAGCTTTTAAACATGACATAGCGCAATACATGGGGAGTAGTGATTGCATTGTATATTTAAGACAATAGTATCTCGCACAACTGAATGCAGGGTTACTACACTTCTTAATTGGTGTAGTCAAACCTCTTTGTTGTAAAAGTGTTTTAAAATTGCACCATGGGATAAGGTATGGAATTAGAGACACCTTATAATTTCCTTTTTATTCAGGGATTTTACACAGCCTTTATGTACATATGCAATTCTCAGTGTTAATGTAGCTGAATGTAACTGCAGCAACATTTAAGGCGGAATGGGAAATTCAGAAATTCATCACCATACCCTGATCATCTGGAGATTGGTGCCATTTTTTCTCATTCTTAAAGCTAAAGATTTTTGGATGTAACATTGTGAAAGACCACATTCACAGTTCAACATCAGAACTGTTAACAGACATAACTGATTTATGCTCTTAGGGAACTAAGCTCAACTTTATTTAGTTTGCTGTACTTGGAGACAATCATTATAATGTGATGTTTAATGGTAAATAACATTACAGAGCAATGTTAAAGGGGAACTCCACCAAATTTCCAAAATCTAGACATAAATAACTTGTTAAGATGTAAAACAACTCATTTAGAGTAGTTTGATATGAAATAGTTCATCGTAGAGAAACTTACAGGCTCCGGTTTCTTTACAGTGGTATTGATAGGAACCAGGGGTCACCATGACTACAACACAAATATATTTATATATTATATTTATTTACTATCCAAAACCACTAGTGAACCTACACATGTCTTCTGAGTTTTTATATATAATGTTGTTGAGGTTAAAATAGTGATAAATCTGAAAAAAAAAGAGTTTTCTTTGAGGACTGTTTTGCCTTTGAACATCTTTTCTGCATTTCTCTGCCATAAATGAATGAAAATAAATTAAAATATATTTTAGACTGAAAAAAATATTATAAAACTAGTGTAAAACAGTATCTCAGACATCAGGCAGCATATTCATAGCCCTTTCATGTAATATCTTTCTGTGAGGGAGATTTAGAGGCATTAAACTCATCTGGTTCCTATTGCCACCACAATGCTGAGCAAGTTTTTCTTGAGCAGAGCATTTCACAACAGACTACTCTAAATGACTTTGTTTGCATCTTAACCATCCAGTTACACAGAAAATTAGAAAAGTCAGTGGAGTTCCACTTGAAGATCCTTCAGCTACCTAGATAAGTTATCCATTCTAAACTCAACTAATGACAAGAATTTTGATAAATCAGTCAGACTGAAGCAGACTGTACTTGCAGACAGTGCTTGTGTGCGTGATTAAAAATATTTCAGACAGAGATAAGTATTAATATACACATGGCAAGTATTAGCTTCAGTTAGCCTAGCGTTAGTCTTTAATTGCTTTCACTACAGATGCTAAATTGGAAACTGCCAAACAGCTGAATTCTGGCAGTTTGTCCTGAAGAAATAGTAATGGATTTGTTTTGCAGTCATTACAGTGCTGCACAGTTTTACTCAACAAATCAAAGACAAACATCAGCATAGAAGATTTTGTATTTATGATGTGAACATAACAGACAGACATGAATGAGCCCAACAAAATTCCATGTCTTGTTTCTTTTCAGTTGGTTCGAGGTTGAAGTATGTGTATTTTTAGGCTTATTATGAGACAATAAATACAGTGCAGTCACATAAGTCATATAAGAGAAACCCTTCATACTGAAAATACTCCTTTTTTATTATCTTTACCTTTTATTACCTATTTCATTACCTTTTTTTTTAATTAAGTCTGGAAACTGAAACAATATATAGTATCTGTGAATATCACTGGAACATGTGGCTCTGTTGAAGTGGAGTTCTATAGATGTCTGCATAAGTAAGTGTTTAAGATATAAACAAAGCCATTTGGGGTGGTTTAATGTGAAGTGCTCAGTTCCAGCGAAAATTGATGTGGAGATTCTTACTGAGTCAGAACTGTTCACAGTAGTGGTGATAGAAACCAGATGTTTGACGAGTTTAATGCCTCTAAAACAGGAATGCGCAGCTCTCATCTTACAGAGCCTTTTGTGAAATTCGTGAAATGTTTACGAATATGCTGCCTGATTTCTGAGACATTGTTTTATTGATTGATAGTTCTGAGAAGGTTTTGGCCTAAAACATTTTAAATCCATTAATAGCAGAGAAGTACATGCAGTGGTCTAAGGCAAATGGTACCAAAACAACATATAAAAAAATTGGAAGACTCATGGACGTTCGCTGGTTGTTTTGGATGGTAAATAAAATGGTTATATTTGCCTTGTAGATGTTGAAACCCTTGGTTCTTGTCATCATCTCCAGTTTGGTAAGTCTCTCCAGAATGGAGGGTTTGATATCAAACAGTCTCAGACTTTAGATTTTTTTTTAAACATCCAAACCACTTATATTATGCAGACTTGAAAAATTGGTGAAATTTCTCTCTAAAATGACTCATCATAATCCTTATATAATGGGGGGGGCATACAGTCTTTATGTGACACTGCTATTCTGATGTGATGTTTCAGTAGTACTTTTGTAAACGTCTGTTCCCAAAACACAAGTGTTACCTTAAGAGCTTGAGGACTGAAAGGGTGTTGTCTTTAGTTTCTCTGTGGTGACCAATAGCAGAGTCTGCAGGGTTTGTTTAAAAACTTGCATGTGTCTGAATAGCTTCAGTTGGGTGTGGATCATCATGGCTCAAGCCACAGGCATTGTAACTCTGTTTGGTTTCTTACTCTGTTGTGCTGCTCCCAGCCAAACCAATAAGGTAAGTCCAGACCCCATGTTAAACCAGTTAAGGTCTTTATGATCTCTCTGTTCATGTTGTGGCATATAGTTTTAACGGTTTACTACGTTTCACTGTTGCATGTGTCTTTTTTCCTTAGAATCGTTTAAGGAGACAATCTGTTTCTGTGTTGAATTTCTATATTTAGGAGACTCTGTGATGTCTAATAATTAATTCCCCTGAGTAATTTGGTTAAAGAAGAATTTAGTTAAAGACTGTTTGACGGTAGTTTGGGAGATGCATGGAATATCAGTGCGGAGATCTGTTAAAAAGCACTCTAACATGCTGTTGTCTTAGTAGAATGAGGCTGTAGTTTGTATAGGATGAAGCGTTCTGCAAGTATAGGAATTTATAAATGTAAGTTTGTGTTATTAATAAGACAAATATTTCAAAATGTTCCAGCAAAGTTATTTGTAAGTTTTCAACCAGTGTGTATCTTGTAGACCTGAAAAATGATTGTCGACAAATTAGTAAGTTTTTTAGCGTAGTTAGTATTAGGGGTGCGAGAAAAAATCGATTCTGAGATGCATCGCGATGCGGACGTGAACGATTCTGAATCGATTCACAAATGTCAAAAAACGATTTTCTAAATATTTAATTTATACCGTAATGTTGACGGAACGCAAAAGGCGGAACTTGGAAGTGCGGAAGTGCAGCGCCCAGGCAGTCTGTGGCGGCACATAACAAAAACACAGCTGGATGAGTGAGAAATCCGACCGGCTCCCTCTGCATTAAAAGCAAGGTTAGATCAGGAGTCACAACACAAATGTTAACATTTTGTCCTTTCAACAAAAATCAAACCACCTTGGGAGCCACAACATTTAATGTCCAGTATGTCTCAGTGTGTGCTGATATTCTAGTATAGACTAAACAATAAAAAGGAAAACGCAGATTTACTTTGCTCTGCTTTAAGCTTCGCCTACAGCCGCTTTCCTCCCATCTCCACCAGAAAACTTTTCCTCAGAAGTAGATCAGTTAAATATCTCTCAACGTTCGACTGTTTTATGAGGCTGAAGTCGCTTCTTATTCTCCAGCTTCTTGTTCGAATTGTCCCGTTACACCTTAAATTCTAACTGAGGCGCCGAATGAAAATGCGGCACCATTTAAGGTTGAAGGAGAAAATTAGAAAGAGAAGCGACTTCATCTTCACCACTTTTTAGTGTTTGACAGTCTCTCGTTGCAGATTCACGTACCAGGAAACCAACTGCGCTGCTTATAAATGCGAATAACACGTCGTTGCTAGGTGACCTGCAGTCTGCACAGCAATTCTCAGTCGTTGCGAAACACGGCTTTCGCGCTATGTTGCACGCGACCCGTCTCAAAGATACTTTACTGAAACAGCGATCCCCCGTCTCTACAACGAGACCAAAACCGAAGTTATAAAATCACTAAAGAAAACGGGTAGAATAGCTGTCACGTGCTGCGTGGACATCCATCACCACTGGATCTTATTTCATCGTAACTGCGCATTTTATCGCATTTTAATCAGCTTCTCGTGCTCTAAACAAGAGCACTGACTGAGCCTTCTAGTTCACTTACCACATCACTTCCATTTGTTTTATTAAAAAAGATATTGGAAGTAAATTCATTATGGATCATTAAAAATACTTTGCTTTAAAGGTACTAAGTCACTTTAAATAACAATACCACCGAGTCACTTAGTCACTTTAGAATGTATATTGTCTCTATATTCTGTGTATATTTAATATATTTCAGTTGGTTTTTCTTGTATTTTTATTTTTACATATTTACTTTCTGTAGAGTGATTAGCTGAGCCTCATCACAATCATTTCAATGCATAAATGTCCTGACATGTTGTGCAAATGACAAATAAACTTGAAACTTGAGCTCACACAGTGAGAAAATATAAATGCGATATAGAAAAAAAAGATGCATCGATAATCGTTTTATAATCGCATCGCAGCCCTCTGAATCGTAATCGAATCGTGAGGTGCGAATCGAATAGAACCATTTTTTGTAACTTTTGACAGAGAACTAAAACTGAAAATGCTGATCCAGCCAGAATAAGCAAACATGCTTATATATTAAGTTTTCTTTTTCTGAGAAATAAGAAACATACAAAAAATACCCAACCTATTAAACCTGATCTAAGTGCATTAATCTGAATATCTTGTCAGTATTCGATGTGCATCAGAGCACAGACATGTTTATTCTAAGTAATGTAATCAAGTTGGGAAAATGTTGCAGGAATTATTTTATGGGTAGTGATAATCAACTAAAAATACATTCATCATTAAATGCTCAAAATGTAGCTAATGTCTTATTAGCTGTAGGTCTTTCACAATTATGACATAATCATCTAATCACAGTCATTTGGGACGGTCACAATTATTTAAGCTGCCTACATAAATTTTCCACAGTTGTTAGAGTTCACAATCATATCAGAACAAGCAGAATGTGAATTTGGTGCTTTGGGTTAAGACAAATGTAATTTCATTATTGACACATTGTTGGTCTAATTAAAACAAGAAATTATAACCTCTAACTTGTTACTATAACACATTTAGAGCGCAGTGTGAGTAATGTTTGTTTATTTGTTAGCTATGTAGCTAATTCAAAGGTTTTACCAAGTATGCTTGCAGAATGAGTGTTTGGCTTATATTTTTACTCTCAAGAAAAAAAAAGTAGCTTTGATGCTGCATGATTTGTGTTTCTGTGTGCACACAGCAGTGTCGTATTTTTCCATTTTCCTTCATCATGTTCTGTATTTTCTCCGTTGCAGGAACGAGATGTTGACATCTACAGCTTCCACATAAACTCCACAGTAACCAGCCGCTATGCCATCACAGTCATTACAAGCCGTGTGGCAAATCGACTTAATGAGTCCAAAGAAGTCCATTTCCAGGTTAAGATACCGAAGAATGCTTTCATTAGCAAATTCAGAATGTGAGTAAACATGTAGGAAAAACACTGGTGTAATTTGCCAGATCTCGATCTGCAACGAGAATCTTCACATCCTCTTAATCAAAAGTTGCACTTCCAGAATGTTTTGAGAACTGTAACCCTGTTTGATGATAAGAGAAGCAGGGTGACATCAGAAGTCTGTTTCCTGTACATGCATGCGTATGCAGAATTGTATGCAGAGGTTGTTAATAGCTAGGTCCCTTTACTCTGTTACGTGTTTAAGTAAAAGTTTTGAATATATTCAAACGCTACCAGTATATTTGTAAACAAAACAATCTAGTTTTTATTCAGTTACGTTTTAGTAATATACATTTAGTTACTAATTCTTTTTTGAGTTTAATTTTGACTCGTTACATTGGTGCCAGCATCTGTACCGCTTTGCGACTTGTCACGCTTCTGACTTTTGAAGTTTATTATTGTATTTTTGACCTAGAGTGCAAAAAAGAGCAATAGTGATACGTACATGATAATATAGTTCTTCTGCAGCTCTATAAGTTACTTACTACATAATTAACTTCTTAATATGTAAACAAAGTGATGATGAGTGGCTTGATGTGAAATGAATCAGAACTGTCACCATGATAGGATGGTGATAGGAACCAGATGTCTGAAAAGTTTAATGCCTTTGAAAGCTTAATCACAGGAAGTTTTATGTAAAGTGGTTATGAATGATGCTTGAAACATTGTTTTATAGACATAGTTTAAAAAAGGTTTGGACGCAAACATTTTTAAATCCTTTAATTGTGGAGAGATACATCCAGGATATTGCAGAGCAAAATAGTGCCCAAAGAAAAGTAGATTTACCATTATTTTACCATCATCAACATTACACATAAACACAGAAGACAGGTTCACTGGTGGTTTTGGATCGTTACTAAAATGATTATATTTGATTTCACCACCACTGTAAAGAAGAGTCTGCAAGCCTCTCTACAATGAACCATTTCACATCAACCCATTCTGGATTTCTTTTTTTATGTCTCAGTAATTGAATTATGTAGAGATTCTTTTTAAGTGTTTCTCTCCTCAAAAAGTACTTTTGTGTGTCTACTCAAGTTTACTTAGTATTTAGTATTTCCTAATGTAACAATACTTTTACTTGAGTAAGGTTTAGGCTGCTGTGCTCGTCTCTGTTTGAATGTACAGTCTCTTTTGGGTCTCTGAATAAGCATCTCTGTCTCAGGACCATAGAGGGGAAGACGTATGATGGAGTTGTGAAGGAGAAAGAAGTGGCTCAGCAGCAGTACAGTCAGGCAGTGTCTCGGGGAGAAAGTGCTGGGATGGTCAGGTATCATCTTCAAACATACACTACAGTCAACTACAATTTCACTGAAGCCAGAGATGGAGTTGAGTGCAAAATCTAATTATATGTCAGTTTCACCAGAACAGACTCAATACATTTATCTCATGAACAGATTTAATCTCCTGAATTGGTTTAACTGAAACAAAATCTTCTTATTATTAAATTATTCAAATCTCAGGTTTGTACAGGACATTTACATAACATTAGTTTGACTGCCTGCTGGTGTAAATGTAATTTAGCATATTTGTTTGCATGTGCATTGATATACATCAGTTAACAGCTGTATTTATGTGCCCTGTCATTGTTTGCCAAAGTTCGGTAGGAAGGACTCTGGAGGAGTTTAAAACCTCAGTGACGGTGGCCGCTTTCAGTAAAGTGACCTTTGAACTCACCTATGAGGAGCTGCTACAGCGACAGCATGGCAAATATCAGCTACTCATCAATGCCCAACCAATGCAGCCTGTAGCAGACTTCAAGGTAAAGACACGAAACAGACTAAATGATCATCAGTCCTTCTGTGCCGCGTTACAGGATCACACTTTAACTAACACGGGACAGTGGATAAAGGTTTCTGTCGTATTCAGATTCAAAACTTGTCATTTTTGGTGCCTCTTATAGATTGACGTGTACATTGAGGAGAGTCCAGGTATTTCCTTCCTGGAAGTGAAAGGAGAGTTGAACACTAATGAGTTGGTCAGTGCTGTAACCACTTCACGTGCTGGTGACAAGGTGAGGGCTACCTGTATAACAATGTTGTAATGTTATTGTTATATTTTATTGATCTTAAAAATTTATTTAGAATAAAAGGATAAGAATGGAATTGTGTTGCTAACTTTCTCGGGCTGTCATGTTGGCCTCGAGTTGGTAGCCATCAATTAAACTTGTACCAAAACAGGAACATATATTAATATAATAATGTAGGAACTGCAAGGTTAGTTATAAGGAGCCTTTCCCATTTTTAATTGCAGGCGTGGGTGAGCTTCTACCCCACTCGTGAGCAGCAGACCAAGTGTGATGTTTGTGGAGAAAATGGACTGAATGGGGATCTGCTTATAATATATGACGCAGAGAGACCAAAACCTAGTGGAGAATTGAAGGTACTGTGTCTTGCAATAGAGTGTTGTTGATTGATTTAAATGACCTGAACGCTTACTGTTTTGTCCATAAAATACAATTTTTCACCTGGGGAAAAAATACAAAATGTAATGCTTTTTAAAAACAAATTAAGATCAGAAATGACAAAAAGTGTTGAGTTCAGTTAACAGTTTAGAAAGGCTGCAGTACACATTCAGCTATAGGTCTACAGTGCAACAGAACGGTTTCCTCCTATCTCTTGTCATTGTTTCTCCTCTCTGTTTTCTCTCATTCCTATCAGGCATCTGACGGTTATTTCGTCCATTACTTTGCACCTACAGATATTCAGCGCCTTCCAAAAAATGTGGTGTTCGTCATTGACCGGAGTGGTTCAATGAGTGGGAGAAAGATTGAGCAGGTTGACTATGCTGTGTGAAGTTGCTTGTTGATTTAATACCTGTGAATTTATAAGAGAATGTTGAAATTTCTGTATAAATGCCATGTAGCCCAAAGATTTGCTTATGAAGCCTTTTGTCCTAGACACGTTTGGCGATGCTGAAAATTCTGGGAGATCTTGCTGAGGACGACTATTTTGGGCTGATCATCTTTGATAGTCAAGTAGAAGTATGGAAACCTGAACTCCACCAAGCCACAGAGAGGAATCTGAAACGAGCAAAGGACTTTGTGAGAATGATTGAAGTTCGAGGAGGTAACTTAAGCAAGTCTTATTAATTTAAATTTATTTAATTTTATGCTGGACATGTAGGAGTACACCATAAAAAAGTGAAAGTATGTGCAGATATACCTCAGTTGGAACCTTGCTATTTAATGTATTAGTTTTGCACATAATAGATTGCACATGGTGTGGGAAAGCAATTAAATATTGTGCTGTTCCTGGCTGTCGGGAAGCAGACAAATAATTACAGCCTTCCAGAGGGTCCACACATCTGAAGGGAGCTACAGGAGTTTAATGTTGTGATGTCAATTTCAGAACAGATATTGTGAACATTTCAGCCAATCAGAAGAGACATATATACATGTATATCAATCTTAAAAGCACAGTAACAAAAACAGTCTGTTTAATTCTGAGGAATAAAGAGAGACAGGAAAATGTACGTACAAAAATGAATCACAGCAATGAGTAAACTATATAAAAATATGTTCAATACCAGCCTTTTAAAAAAAAAGTTACACTTTTTTAGGTAGTATGTAATATTTTATTAGTTGTCGTTTCATTCTCAGCCACAGATATCAATGCTGCAGTGCTGAAGGGGGTGGAGATGATCAACAAACACCCACGAGAGCGATCTGCCTCCATCCTCATCCTGCTGACTGATGGAGCACCCAATACAGGTCCCCAACACAACGAATATAAACAATAAAGAGAAGATACACACATCAACACTGCTCTTTTCTTTTATTCTAGCTCTGTCTGATTTTGTCACTCACAAATAGGACCTTCTAGTGGTAACACCTCCTTCTCCAACAGGTGTGAGTGACCCAACAAGGATTCAGGCCAATGTGAAAGAGGCCACTGGGGGGAAGTTTCCTCTGTACTGTCTGGGGTTTGGATTTGATGTTAACTTTGGTTTCCTGAATAAAATGGCGCTGGAAAATAATGGACTTGCTCGTAGGATCTATGAGGATTCAGATGCTGACCTACAGCTACAGGTAGGATAACATGTGCCTGTTACTTGCAGTTAAATTAATTCCAATACTTGGTTTCCCTGCCAGTGTTTCCGAACCATCTTCATGCTTGATAGGGTTTCTATGAGTCTGTGGCCACGCCTCTTTTAACTGATGTCCAGCTGAACTATGCTGGAGCAGGAAATCTCACCCAGACCAGATTCAGCCACTACTACAACGGCTCAGAGATCGTGGTGGCTGGTCAAATTACAGACAACAGCCTGGACACTTTCCAAACGGAGATTATCGCAATCTCAGTAAGACTTTACTCATTCTTAGTGTCTGTCTGGTTGGGTGTGTGTGTGTGTGTGTGTGTGTGTGTGTGTGTGTGTGTGTGTAGGGGGTGAGTTTCGGAGTTTCTGATAGCACATTTTGGTGCACTTCATAGTACAACATGGTTGCTAGCAGAATTTTATTTCCTCTGTGTCTTTATGGCTGCTGCTGATTTAAAGTCAAATGTAGTAGTGATCAGTGTGGCCAAAATTGTATATCATGGTATTATTAAAATTTCTCACAGTTTCAGTATATATTATTGTACACGTATTATTTCAAGTAAAGCTGTTCTAGATGCTTAAGTAAGTTACTTATTTCTCTAGCTTAACAGTGGTTCATTATTACATAGATAGATGTCCCTTTACTTTGTAAAGTAAGTAAATCTGAAGTAATTTTATTGTACATAACAAGCACAAAACATTCCAGCAGGCCGGCAAAGACTGTGCTAAATACTGTTTCACATCTTAATTTATACAAGGCTGAAGTTGGTTTCTTATTGACCAACTTTTTGTTTGAATTTTTTGTTCTACACTTAATTTAGCAGCAGTTACATTCTGGCACTCGTAAAGGCGACTGAATGTAACTGCTACACTACTTAAAGTGCAATGAAGCCAAATTGAGCCTTGTCACATTTCTCAAGTCAATTGAAAAATGTGTCCAATATCAGTTAGTGTTCTTCAAGTACTGATGATGTCCCTGATATTGAAGAAGCATATTGTGTATCAAGATAATAAAGTTGATCACAGTAACAATAAAATATTGTCATACTGCCCACCTGCAGCTGGCTGTACTTAATTCTCACCTTATTGTTCTTGCCTCTTTGCAGAAAAACAGTGAAGTGACCTACCAGTACTCTATGTTTAGAAAAGGACTGGCAGGTGTTTTGCCACAACGTGAAAACTCCATCCAGAGACTTTGGGCTTATCTTACAGTGAAACAGCTATTGGAGAAAGAGTAAGTGAGAAGTAGAATTATCTTCACTGTTTAAACGTATGTGTGTCTGCAAGGACACTATATTTGCAAACGCATCCAGACAATTTAGTAAATTCAGCTACTTTAAAGTGCACCCAATGCTAAAACAGGTGTTTAGTTGCACTCACACAGCTTGTATCATCTCCATAGAAAAACATTAACCAATATAATGGGATACTCTGGAGCAGCTGCTCATGATCCTAAGCTCTCCATGTTTAATTCCAAGCATGGGATATATGGGCATAAAGCCCCCCAGCATTGGGCTGTGGAGCAGTGGAGCTGCGTTCTGTGGTGTGGCGGAGCTCCATCCAATACTGATCCTGATCAAGTCAAGTCAAATTTATTTTATTTATATAGCGCCTTTTACAACAGATGTTGTCACAAAGCAGCTTTACAAAGAATCCGGGTCCCCCAGTGAGCAAGCCTTGGCGACAGTGGCAAGGAAAAACTCCCTCAACAGGAGGAAGAAACCTTGAGAGGAACCAGACTCAAAAGGGGAACCCATCCTCCTCTGGTCGACACCGGATAAGAGGACAGACACAAAACAGTATAAGTGGATACAGTTTAACACCACTGTGCAGTGCGCCGGCCGCATCTCAGGTCAGACCCTCTTAGGACAGGCAGCCGCTCAGCTCAGGGAAAGAGAGGGGGATCCTGATGAGTTGGAGTGAAACAGAACTGACCATCCAACATCAGTACCTGACCCCACTAATGCTTTTGTGTTTGAATGCAATTAAATCCTTACAGCCATGTCCCAACGTCTAGTATAAAGCCTTCCCAGAGGAGTAGAGACTGTTACTGCACAGGCTCCCTATTAATAGCTTTGATTTCAGTGTTGAACGAGCAGGTGTCTACAGAACGTTTGGATATGTAGTGTATGTGTAATAACAATCACACTGAGCATTGTTAGTTCTGTGTTTCAGAGTGGCACTTACTGGGCAGGAGAAGGAGGCAGCCAGGGAAGAAGCCCTGAATCTCTCTCTCAAATATAAATTTGTGACTCCACTGACCTCTATGGTGGTCACCAAGCCCCAAGGAGAAGACACACAGGTTGCACATAAACCCAAAGAGGGAGAAAAAGCAAAGCAAAGGCAACATAGTCCAGCATCAGGTAAGTAGCCAAACTGTGGACAATCTACCATCTACCACATGGGGGGATATGGGCTGAGAAAGTCGTTTAGAAAATCCATGTCCGACACCCGTGTTGAAAGCACATCTGTGGCTTCATCTGCTGTACAATCCGAATCTGCTTTCCTTGCAGACAGAATTTGCTTCAACCAAAAAAGGTGGTTACGTTCTGGATCAAACTGAGCTGTGATTCGGTTCATTTGCAGTGTGAAATACTTTTTTGGATTGTTCAGGCCAATTATAGGAAGTTGGGCAGGCAGTTGTCACCTATTAAACAACAGAAGAAAATAAAAAGCCGAAATAGAAGTGAAATGAGCTGCAGTAGCACATGGTGAGAGGACGATACAAAATGTTCAATTGTAATTTGATTTGACGAAAAAATGTCAAAATCGAACATTTTTCTCCAAACGGAAAAGGCTACCCACTAAATTGACAACACGCCGATATCAGACGCACAGTTCTCTACAAACCAATCAATGTCAAGTATAGAGAGACGCAGAGTGATGACAGAAAGAGTGATGATGACAGGATGTAGGCATGTCATGCAAAGTTCTTTAGTGCGCTCGCTAAATTGCAACGTGAAACCAAAACTAACCGGATCAACGTTGTAGTGGTGTGAAAACGCACTTGGGTTCATTTTATGTTTTGTGGACTTTTATGTTGAAATACGTGAGTACTTTTCCGGAGTAGAGCAGAGGGCTGTGTTTTTAGCTGTTAGCGCTGGAGAGGCTGTGTTTCTTCTCACTGTGTCTGCTGCTGTTTTCAGCAAAATAAAAATAAAGCTGTGTTATGAACCACAAATCGTGTAAGTTTCTCCCAAGAACCACAAACGTTACAGAGTTTTGCAGTTATCTTTATTGATAGCCTAACTGAATACCTACTCAACGAATGAAGGGTTTAGAATCCAGCCCTAAGCAGCAGAGACCCTTTCAAGTCCAGATCTCCTCCTTGCTTAGGTTTATCCTGGATTGGTTAATTTGTTAGGTTATTTATTTATTTATTTATTTATTTATTTAGTATTTACAGTGCTGTAAAAAATGTTGTGCTTTTCAGCGTATTTGCATGTATGGGAATATACAGGACATGTAGATAAAGGTGATCTCGAAGTGTATAGAAATGAAAATTATACTTTGCATTCTTCTATTTCACAAAAATGTCAGAAAGGCAGTCGTCTACTGCGGAATCAGTAAGTACTCTTAGCTTTAATAGCTGCTGCTGCCTCATTTGGCAGAAATGACTTCTTAGATCAGGGTGGGGAACTGAGAGCTGCAGTCAAGCACAGTTTGGTGTTTTTCAAATTGACTAAACCTGGCAATGAACTGATGAGCTAAATCAGGTGTGTTTGGACAGAAACATCACCAAACTGTGAGGAAATCTTGACCTCCAGGATGAGAGTTTCTCTATCTTGGGTCTATCTTTGGAAATAATATTTGTATAACATAGAAAGTACATTGATTATGTTAATTGTTTCACATTTATTTTCTCACAGGCCTTCAACACGCATCCTGTGGTTTTTCCCTACTACATACATGTTATAGCTTTGACGATATTCCAAAAGCAGGCTTAAAATGGAGCAGTTTTCTTAGTTGTTTTCGTAGTTTATAGCTATTCACAGTGTAATTTTACATTCCAGCCCACGTAACTCACTCATTGTTTCATGTGTGTTGAGAAATTGTTTGAAAGGAAACAGAAATCATCTGCCCTTTTTTCTTCAGATAGACGACTAAATTCGCGTAAGTCCAAATGCGGTGGATTTGGAAGGGCTGCGTGCAGGTCATTTAGACATCAAGGAGGTAATTATCAGTGTATGATCCTGTAACTACTACCAGAAATTTGTTTGCATTGTTCAGAAATGTCAAAGGACTCCTTTCACAAACACACAATGTTCCTTCACACTGCCTTGCATTTGCTGCAGAGGAATCAGAGATAACAGTACTGACAACTTCTTATGAAATTAATTTATGCAAGATCTAGCTAAGCTAATGTTGCTAAGCTAATGTTGATTATACATTACCAGTGTTGATTTACATTTATCTGCAAATCAAGCATTTTTAGGTTGTTAAAATATAATGCTTTGATTTTCTTTGTAACAGTAATGCTTTTAGCATCGAGTGTGTCTGGATCTGATCCTATTCATCTTTCAGGTTTGTATTAGTTTGGTTTATTTGTTAGTTTCTTGTATGTAAAGATGGCGTGAAAAAGGTGTGTGTGTGTGTGTGTGTGTTGTTTTTTTTGGTTTAACTAATATTTAGCATGTTAGTAAATATTTGATTGTCAGTAATATTGGAAGGTAAAGATACTCTAAACATATAGAAATTCAGCAAATAGATATTTTGAACTAATTTTTGCCTGTAGAGGGTGTGTTAACTTATTTTCACATAGAAAATCAACAAAACATGGGATTTAACCAGGGAGTGTTCAGATTAGACTGTATCTTGTAAGTTTATTGTTTTTCTACTACATTCATGTTGTGGCTTTGATGGTATTCCAAAAGAAGACCAAAAATGAACTAACAGTATTAGTTGTTTTCATGGTTTCCAGCTGTTCTTAATGCATTACAGTTCCACTGTATAATTTTATGTTCTAGTACACACAACTCGGTCAGTTTTAGCTGGATTTCTTTCTAAATTGTTTTAAAGGAAAATCCTTTACATACTTTTTTGTTTTTTTCCAGATGGCGTATTCAATTCACAAGTGCACAGAGTTTCACCTAAACGGCGAAGGAGTGATTATCCTTTAACTGCTCTTTTTTCTAACATTGTCCAGAAAGTTAAAACACATTTCTTAACACATCCTCACAGAAATACATAATGCTCGTTCAGAAACACATAATTCTCATTCACACACTTTCTTGAGCACTAGGTGTTCATCTCCGCGTTTACTTCAGAATAATTACCGATACACTACTGTTAACTCTTTGTGCAGTTCATTTACAGTACCAGTTAGGAGTTTGAGTACACATGCTGGAATGTCACAGATGTTTTCACACTTACTCATAAAACAGATATTCTTTAGTTTCACATTTCAAAATAGGGACGACACCAAAACCGTATAATAGTTTGTGACATAATGGCTTTCTATCAAATGGGTCATTCTACAGAAACGTCCACTTTTCTGTCTATCCATAGGTGTCACTGGTGTTACGCATAAGAAAGGTAACACCAGTAACATTTTTAATGAAAAATGCATTTTACAAAATGGCTGCTACAGAGCATCAAACCCCATGTTGTCAGTCATCAAACCACATGTTGTCAATCATGGAATATCCACTAAAATATGTAATTTAATCCATTTGTATTCCATTTTTTTCACAATTACCTAAGAATAAAGTCGGTCACACCAGTGACTTCAGCTAAAAGCTTCATATGAAATCATGAGCTAAATGAGAAAATCTCTGATAACTGAAAGACACAGTGGACTCACCATGTGCTTTTCTTCATAGGTCCTCAGAAATCAGATAAAGCAAGTCAAGTGATGTCATCAGTGTGATTTTTATTTCAAAATAAGAGATTTCTTGTTATGCAGTAACTCCAGTGACACGACTCCTGGGGACAACAACTTTCAGTATATATTTTATAATATTTATTTGGCATTTGTTTTCTTTGTCATTTACTTCATATGTTTAATAGTAATGTATAGATTATTGTAGTCAAAATTGCTGAAAAACATGTTTTTTTCTTCAAAATATGGCCTACACATGACTGTGAGGACGAGCGCTTCTGTGGTGCTTGGAATTTTAGATAATTGATTTAAAAACCAGTATTGCTGAATTGATGGCTCAGGAAGGTGTATTTGTTAAAAAAAGTATTGTTTTATTTTAAAAGATAAATAAATTGTAACCCTAACATGTTTTTTTAAGCGTAGTATATCTGTAAATGCTAGGGACACAAAAATGGACGTACAATGACCCAAATAGGGTTATTTAGAGCCGCCCTCCCTCGTTACAGCACAGCTGACAGACATTTAACTGATCAACAAGAAACTACACTTTTAATAAGACATTTTGAATTACATTTTGCCTACTATATGGATTACTGTGTCTGATGTAATTGTCACTGATATTCTCTGTTTTTGTTATATATATATATATATATATATATATATATATATATATATATGTACTCATGGACACTTTCCATTTTTATAGTACAACTAGAAATCAAACATATTAATTATACTATACTCAAATTTACACAAAGTTTATTTGTACAGATATTCAGTTTTACAGATGTGAATAATTAAACTGACAGTGAAATTTGTGATCATTTTCAGATTTGACTCTGAGATTTGATGAATATGGACTAATGTATACATTCTTCTTCTTAACAGCAAAAGCCCATGCGAGGAAGTCTTCTCCCTCAGGTTTTTTTTTTACTGCCACCCTTAAACAGACATTTTTTTGTATAGTAATCCAGTTACGTCTCAGATTGTTGCTCTTGAATGTTTCATTTTCTTATTCATAAAAAAGATCTTTGAAAATGAAAGATGACACCACAAAAAATGATATCTTGGCCAGTGAAATCATATTAAATCTTGTCAGCATATCTAATATTTCTCATTTTGCAATTGTTGTTAAAATGCTATAGTGAATTATAATTATTTGTCACTGTATTGACATGTAATTTGCTAGTTACTAAGAAATATGCTTGAAACAAAAGTCGAGAAATAAGTGAAATGATTTTATTCTTACAGTGATCTCATAATGAATAATATTAAATATATTGACTAGGTTTCAGATTTTATTTACCAAGATTTATTTGTTTTAAAAAATATATCTATTTTTTGTTTTGGGCACACATTAATACTTGGGCATCAAATTAAATCTTTACCTTTGTCTTTGTAGCATTTTTTAAACTTTGAAGGATAAGCCTTTAGATCAAAAATGCTTTAAGAAAATGGAAAAACAAACACTCGGTTGTGTCCAAACTGTTGACTTGTGGTGTACATATAGTTTGCATGAAACAAGCCCAAATTTGTGCAAGTTTAGCAATAGTGAGCCAGTGAATGGAAATTATAATAAACCATCCATTGCCCTTGACTTGTCTAGCCACGGAAAACATTTTCACATGCAGGCACAACTTTTAGATGTTCTAGGACTTTATAAATTACATTTTGGCTACTATATGGATTATTGTGTGTGATGTAATTGTCACTGATATTCTCTGTTTTTGTTATATATACTCATGGACACTTTCCATTTTTATAGTACAACTAGAAATCAAACATATTAATTATACTATACTCACATTTACACAAAGTTTATTTGTACAGGTTTTCAGTTGTACAGATGTGAATAATTAAACTGACAGTGAAATTTGTGATCATTTTACAATCAGATTTGATGAATATGGACTAATGTATACATTCTTCTTCGTAACAGCAAAAGCCCGTTTGAGGACGTCCGGATTGTCTTCTCCCCCAGGTTTTTTTACTGCCACTCTTAAACATACCTTTATTTGTATATTAATTGTATATCCATTGCCCCTGACTTGTCTAACCACGGAAAACATTTTCACGCGCAGGCACAACTTTTAGATGTTCTAGGACTTTATAAATTACATTTTGGCTACTATATGGATTATTGTGTGTGATGTAATCGTCACTGATATTCTCTGTTTTTGTTATATATACTCATGGACACTTTCCATTTTTACATTCAATCTTCATAACCCCAAGTGCTGAATCAACTGGTTTGTGTTCTTTTTTATTTATTATTAATTAGTAAAGAAACCACATGTGCGTAAGGCATCTCAGTTGCCACCTTCGACAGCTACCCCTCCAGGTAGATTTAAGGTTTTTTGTTGTTGATCTTGTGATGTTAATTACCGAACAAAATGCTTTAATGATGCTCATTGTCCAAGTTCAATGTTGTATTTTTCTACCTTTCTCTCTCAGTGAATGATGTGAGGTTTTTAATGTCTGCTCCTGGTCAGCCTAAGCCACTTTGCTTTGACTTACCTGTAGCTTCCAAACTCCGCCTCTTGATGGACCCCTCTTCAGGTGAGTAACACCTGTTCTCATCTTTGTGTACAGAAAAAGATCTCACACAAAATTGAATGTTGGTAAATCAGGTTCTAAATTATCCAGCAAGGGTTCTAAATTAACCTGCACATGCCTGCATATGGCCAGGTCATTATGCTTCTACCTCAAAATGGCTATTTTTCTGCTGTAACTACACATTAGAAAATAATATTTAAAGCTATTTATCTAAACACACTATCCTTTTGTGTCGCGGGGGGAGCTGGAGCCTATCCCAGCAGTCATTGGGCAGAAGGCTATTTATCTAAACAGTAAGCTTATATTTGTTTTAAAAAAGCCACTAACATTAGAGGAAATGGAAATAAATAAACAATTCATTGTGATTAGATGTGTATTTTAGCTTAACCATTTCCAAAGCTCCTCCTGTGGAATTGAACAAATCCATGTAATGGTTTGAGTCAGGAACCAGTGTTTTCCACATATAGGTAATACTTTAAAGAAACACTACTACACGTAATTAGCATAGTTGTCCTGGCTAGAATTTGCGTTGTCTTTGTTCGAAAGAATGCCACTAGTGATTCAACTAATAATTACTGAACAGATGAGTACTAAGAAATATTTGAACAGGAAGCTGCACAAAGGGGAGGAGAGACTCTTAGCCTAGATACTCTGAGTGCAGATTCATGTTGTCAGAGAAATGCCTTGCAATCATTAAGCTAGTTTAAACCTTACTGAAACGCGGTCAGAAGAAATGGCTGAGACTGCATCTCCAATGCCTCCCTGCAACCTGTATAGTGCACTGCATAGGTCATAAAATGATAGCTTTAGTGCTCAAATTGTGTAAGTATACTGTAAAAATGCTCTCCATATCTTAATGTAAATCAGCTCAACAGCCAGGTCGGAATGAAATGGTCGAACACGGCCGTAGGAGAACAAGGCTGCAGCGTCAAAAAAAACAGTTGAAAGTCTGAAAGCAAAGTTTAAAGAATCTGAGGACACGAACCAAAGAAGTGACCGCACCCTTTTTACAGCGAGCTTGAACACATTCTGGGTGATGAGCACAGCTGTCAGTCAGTGAAGCTTCATGCTGGCTCCTGTGATGCTGGTGAAGATGAAACTGATCCTTCGGGAGCGACTGGTTTTCATCCATAGCCATGATTGTTTACCTCTGGATTACTTTGATTAGTTGCCCAGCCCTAATATAGAACCACTGTCTTTACTAAAGAATCTTTTTAAGAGTTTACATTTTGGTTCATTTTAGCAGTCAATTCAAGTAAAAGATGTTGTTTTGTTAGAGTCTAGCTTGCATCTTCAACAAGTAACCCTTTGCCAGTGATTATGGTTTATTTCCTCATAAAACACTTCACACTATCCACACAGCCAATCACAAAGGAAATAATGATAATATTTTTTAAAACAAATTTAAAAAGTCCATATTAGTGGGCTCCCGAGTGGCGCAACCGTCTAAGCGTTGGCCCTATCATCAGGAGATCGCGAGTTCGATCCCTGGTGATGCTACAGCCATCCGTAGCCGGGAGTCCGAGAGAGCACAATTGGCCTCGCTCTCTCTGGGTGGGTAGGATGGCCCCTCCCTTCTCCCCCCATCACTCAGCGCGATGCTAGTCAGCGCAGGCGTCTGTTAGCTGACGTAACAGATCTGGTGGTTGGCGCTTTCCTCCGAGCGCGTTCAGCTGTCCAATGACGTTGCATGAGCGGCAGCTCGAAAAGAAGCGGTGGTGCTTCACAGGTCTTGGAGGAAGCCTGTGTTAGCCTCGCCCTCCTAGCGTTGATAGCATCGTGTGATTGGGGGAGTCCTAACTAGCGGGTGGAATTGGAGACGACTAAATTGGGCAGAAAAATGGGGTAAAAATTAAAAAAAAACAAAAAGTCCATATTATTCCTGCAGATTTGGACATAACACATTCACAGACTTGTAGTCTAATGCAGTTACTTTTTTCATATAATAAGAGCAAATTCAGTTAATGAGTTAATGATTAGTGCCAGATTTTGTGGGATAATTTTGTACGTATGGTGCAAGTAAAAATTAGTGCATAAGCACTGTTGGACAATGAGACCTATTGAGATTAATAATGTTACTGTTCTCCCTATTATTTCCTCTCCAGATTTCTCCATGAATGGCATGCTCTCATCCAAAGGCTTCAGACACATTGCTCTTCATTACAAAACAGATCATTACCTGGTGCTCAGCACCAGTGACATCCATTACTATGATGGCCTGAATAATGTGACATTTTTGTGGGGGCAGAAGCCCACCAATCATGAGACTGATGGGTAAGAAACCACTGTAGAATCTGAAATAAGAACACAGTGTTTCCTCTCACATAGAAATTATTACAACTACAGTATATTTTAGACTTTTAGCTGCACCACAAATGCACAGTATTCACAATACACTATATATTAAACAACATATAAGTCATTTGCCAGTGGTCACACCTACACAAAGTGCTGTGAGCAGCATGGCAGTGGTTTCTTCCTAGAAACATTACCCTAGGCTATACAGCATTCATAGTATATGGTGTAATCTAGTGCTATAATCAAAACAGCTAATGGGCTACATTTCAATTTGTAGCCCTCTTCGTCAGTAACTATTGTTGCCCACTTAAAAGAATTTCTGGTGGTACATGCCTTGCACATTATGCATGGTAAAACAGGTCATAATGACGATTTATTTATGCCCACAGTGTAGCTCTGATTCTGAGAAACGATGAAATGGACGTCACCATGGGAGCTATGCGTGTCGTCTTCTTTCGTCATAAGAAAGATGGAGAAATGTTTCTGTGGCCTGCAGTTCAGCAGCAACCAAAAAATGTTAACATACAAGGGATTTTTGGTAAGAGCATAAAGGAGAACTACATTCTGATTTATTAACACACTAAAAATGACCATGGTATGTTTTTGCAGATTACAGAAAAGGGTGGTAAATTTTTGGTAAATTTTGTAATGCGTTATTGGTGAATCTGCATAACATCCTAGAAGAAAGTGAAATAAAAACATATACGGGGCAATTTTACATTAAGTTCTCGAAAAGCTTAATGTAAAAAGCTACCTAAAACAGCATTGCCGTGTTTTAGCTAATCTCTCTGTAGCTGTACCGTACCATCCGTTATCACGGACAGTAATTTCAATGCACTTCTCTGTGCTTAGAAAAGACTATAACACTTATTTACTCAAATTACACTTACGATAGAAGCCACTGTGCAGTTACGTAATGCGCATTCATTATCGACTATAAACGCTGACACATGAGCCCAAGCACACTGTGGTACTGGCACTTTGCAATCATTTATTTAAAAATAAATAACTAAGATGTTATTTTTCTATGTTGAAAAAGTAAGTGCACCCCTGGCTTCAGTAACTGATACTGCCCCTTTGGTCGAAAACAAATTTATGTGCCATTTCTTGCAACTGTCTACCAGTTTCTGATGTTTGCAAGGAAAAAAGATTGCCTTCCTTCCTTCCTGCCTACATTCCTTTATGTAGGATTCTTTCAACTGTGTAATATTTGAGGGGTTTCTTGCATGTTTAGCCCATTTCAAATCCTCCCACAGCATTTCAGTGGGATTCAGATCTGGATTTTGGCTAGACGTTTGAGCCATTCCTTGGTGGATTTGCTTGTATTTTTGGGATCATTATCTTGTTGGAAGGTCCACTTCACTTCACTCAGCTTCTACTTTTTTATAGATGGTCTCAGATTCTGCTCAAGCACTTTCTGATATGAAAAACAGTTCGTAGTTGCCTCTATGATTGCAAGTTGAACAGGCTGTGAAGCAGCAAAACAGCCCCAAACCATAACATTTCCACTACAATCCTTTACAGTTAGTATGAGGTTCTACTGATAAGATGCTGTCTTTGGTTTTCGCCTTACATGGCTTCTGGTACTGCGGCCAAACAACTCTAACTTTGACTCCTCTGGCCATAGCGCATTGTTCCAGAAGTCCTGATCCTTGCCTAGATGTAAAACAAGTTAACTTTAGGTTTGCCCTGATGTTTTAGTCAGCAAAGGCTTTGTGCAGTCTTTTTCTAATGGTAGACGCACACACTTTTACATCAACAGTGACAAGCTACCTGCAGATCCTGTGATAAAATTTTGGGCTTTTTAAAGACTTTTAGCGTCTTACTGTCTGCCTACGGTTAAATTTGCTGGAGCTGCCTGGCCTGGACAAATTGGCAGTGGTTTTAAATCTTCTCTATTTGTGGATGGTCCTCCAGACAGTGGAATGAATGATTTCCAAAGTTTTGGATATCTTCTTAAACCACTTCCCAGACTCATACGCATCTACAGCTTTGTTTTTGAAGGCCTCTGAGAACTCTTTTGATCTAGGCATGATGATACCACACTCCAATAAAAAAGCAAAGCAGACCAGATATCTGAAGTTTAAGTAAGACGGGTTTCTCCAAGATATTCTCTACCGGTGTTCCAGTCATTAGCACCAGATTTTAATTTGATATGTTTGGAGTAGTGTTATATGTAAGGGTGTACTTACTTTTTTCCACATTTTTTCCCCACACAATATTTTGTAGCAGACCCTTAGTCAAGCAGTTGGTTTCAAGCTATTTTGTTTTTACAAACGGGGTGTAATTTCAATTTTATTTTTCTGCAACTGTAGTTAAATTATACTGGATTTTATATAGAAAGCTATTTTTGATACTTTCCTGTTTTTGTAATAATTGTAATAATTAGTATATTTTTAATCTCTGAATTATGCACACATTTAAGTTATGTGAGTTTAGAAGTTAGGTTAAATAACTTAAATATACATTTTGTTCTTTACAACGTAAAAATTCTCAGTCTCATTTCTCCTTCTACCCCTTAAATGGCCAGGCCCAAAGTTTTATTACACACTTTTATAACTTAACAATAGCTCACACAGTGTGCAATAGCTCATACAGTAATAAGACTTAGTATGTAATAAGCCTGGGGTTTTAAAGGGTTAATGAAGAATTAGCCCTAGCTTAGGATGAGACAAACAAGCTGTAACAATGAGGATGGAACACCAGAGCAGCACAGTAAAAGTGTTTTCTATAAATGTTTATTAACAGAATAACTCCCGAAAAACTCAGATTGCAACCTGAAATTAAACCTGAAATCGAATTGCATTTCAAGTCAGGTTTTCTGTTTTTGAGTACAGTGAAACACAATATGGTAAATACTTGTGTTGATGGATTATACAGATAGAGATTAGGTTTAATAACACTGAAGTATTCCTTAAAACACAGGAGTCATCGCTGCTCTAGCAATGCTAGTAATCTTTCTATCTCTGCCTTTTAAGGAAAAAACAATCTTAAGTATGAAGAATTGCAAGGATCGGTGATCAAAATCAAAGATCAAGAAGTGAAAGCAACCTGGTAAATACAATAAATACAGATAAAATCATTAATCAGTAGAACTTACATTGTTTTTAAGCTGAAAGTGTTCTGTGTTGTAGGAGCACTGCCACTGACTATCGACGCTCTTCAGCCCCAGTTCTTGGATGCTGGCTTGTACCATACATGTTTGTCCTGCAGGGGGAGCGTGTAGACGCTGTTTCAGACACTGATTTATTGTCCTGAACAATGTTGGAATATTTAAGGACTGGATCTAAAAACGACCTAGTCAGGTTTTCAGTTTTGTTTTTTCAGAAGTTGTGATTCTCTTTTCTCTTTTAAGCCCAGCAGAATCATCAAACTGAAAAACTGAAAAATTTCTTAACCCTAGTCACTTCATGTTTTATTTCTTTTCAGTTGGGTTGAGCTTGAAGTGTCTGTGGTTTTATGGACTGGTCATGTTTGTGTTTTCTGCAGCACTCAAAACATATTTTTATTGAGCCTAAATATTTAATATATATTAAACCTGAACTTTATATCATAAAGTGATGTGGTGGGGGCCATGAACTCACAACCACCTTTGCCTCTAACATAAATCCTATTGTTTGTAAAACAATAACATATTCTATGTTTAATAAATGTTATGAAAAATATCTGGCTGTTTTCAGTTAATTTCAATCAATATAATGTAGTACTTAAGTTTTCACAAGTAAAATTGTTGCATGTACAAAAGGAACTAGTAAAAAAAAAACAGCTTAAAATGAGAAATTCAGCCTGTCCAAATTTAATTTGTGAAAATGTTATTACTATTACATGTTAATTTCATACTTGAGAGTACAAATTGTTCCCTAAGAAAACAAGATAATAATTCGTTAGCCGACAGATTTCCTCCATGTCAGCGCAACATCTTAACCATAACAAGGATTATTGCTGTATGCTTATTTAGTCAGATGCAACCAGTGTTGATCTTTATTTGTTTTTGTTTACACCAGTGTTACCGTAAGAGGTTGATGACTGAGAGGGTGTTGTCTTTAGTTTATCTGTGGTGACCAATAGCAGAGTCTGCATGGTTTCTTTAAAAGCTTGTGTGCATTTGTTCAGCTTCAGTCCTGCGTGGATCATCATGGGTCGAGCCGCAGTTGGCGTAACTCTATTTGGCTTCTTGCTCAGCTTTACCACTGCCGTCCCAACCATTAAGGTAAAGTGAAAGGCCAGGTTAGGCCAGTTGAGGTTTTATTGATTGTTTCTACATGCAGAGTACTCTGTGTGATTTGGCTTTAAAGGGATTCTGACCTATTACTATCCATTACTATCTTAATGGTTGACTCAAGAAAAAATTTTCCCCCAAACATTTAGTGACTAGGCCTGTTACTGTATGAAAATCTGTTGAAAAATAGTTTTTTCTTCATTTTAGATACTCTTAGATGTCTGACCATTTATTGATCTGACTTATTCGCTGTGTAAGCCCCTGTATTCCAAGAGTTCCCCTTGCTCTGATGATACTTACAACTGCAGGTGGTATAGCATAAAGGGCTGTATAGGAATTTGTATATTGTGCATATTTGTATATTGCTACTAATAAGAAAGGTTTCAAAATATTCAAGAAATCAAGCAGTTATTTTATGTAGGAAACTAGCGTCTATTGTGTAGATCTGATTCTTATAAACTATATAGTACAATAAGTACACTATTGCCATGATCTGAAAATGTAAGAATTTTAACTTTGTTGAATGATTATTTGATCAGATGAAAGTAGGTTATTCAATTTTTGATAACACTGTTAGTTTTTATTTGCAATATTTACAGAGAGCTGGAAGTTGGATCACACAGACTTAACTCCAGCCAGAACACCCACGCAAAAATGACCTTTAGTTTTCAGGAAATAAGAGGCAAATGGAAGGAGTCAGAAGGTCTAGTAACCTTAATCTAGGTGTATTAATCTCAATACTGGGATAGTATTAGAATCATTTTGTATGTTTTCTTATTGTTATATTTTAATAGAGAATTAAGAAATGAATAAACCTGGCTCATGGAGAAAATTGTGAAACTACATATAATTGCAGTATTTGAATGAACATGAGAAAAAAAATCACAAAAGCAACCAGTCGTATAATCTGAACGTTTAGTTTTCTAAGCAAATAATAAAACATTTTTACTATTTCTGTTAATAATTAATTATTTATTTTTTACTTAGCACACTGAATAGCTCTAGACCATGAAACTGGCTGTCTCTAAGTTTCAGGAAGTCTTTAATGATACGATAGACAAATTGGGTAGAAATAGAAACCGGATAAAAATCTGTGCACTCACTAATTGAAGAAAGTGTAGTTTACCTAAGCATTATAAACAAACAGCCTACAGTAGAATGTCTGAAGTATTTAAAGCTTTAAATCGATCCTCTGTACTTAAGGCCAAGATGATATAATGTGCAATATATCATTGACTTCAAATCTAATTGACAGTCTGGTACACAAACATTTTCCAGCTATAATGTTATTAATAGCTACAACGCTTAATGCTGTTGTTAAATTTTACTGTGGCATTGGCAAATGCAATCCTCTCTGCACTGTTTTTTCCTACACACAGGAACGAGATATTGACATTTACAGTTTCCACATAAACTCCACGGTAACCAGCCGCTACGCCATCACAGTCATCAAGAGCCGTGTGGCAAATCGACTCAATGAGTCCAAAGAAGTCCATTTCCAGGTCAAGATTCCTAAGAATGCTTTCATCAGCAAATTCAGAATGTGAGTAAATATGACTAAGAAAATAATTTTTCTACTGTTATTTTTGTATTTGCATGTTTGGTAGGTTAACTGTCACCTCACAGCAATTGCAGCAGAGAGGTTATTAATCAAATGAAATCACAAAACTGTCATTGTGGGAGAGGTTAGTTTAGTATCATGATAATAATAATATTAATAACAGTAAATACAATTTTTTCATGTATTTTTGCATTTAACACTGGGCTTACTGATGCAGTTAGTCTCTATACACAAATATTATGTACTTATGGGCTGTTGTTAAATAGAATATTCTGTTAAAGGAGAAAAGGGATTGTTTGTTGACTTTATGAAAAATGTACCAAGAATTTTATGCCAGTACATTCTCCTTTTTATACATTTTTATAAATATTTTTTTTATGGAACCAAAACTCTGTTCCCAATGTTTGTGCAGTATTTAGTGGGGTTACTCAGCTTGATAACACTGGATTAGTCAGGTGTATCCTTAAGACAAAGAGAATCACGTCCAGAAAGTGAAGTAAATTATAAAGTTTTATAAGTAAGATAGAAACTTCTGAAGTTTTGATGTCTAAAAACACTTCTCCTTCTCAGGACCATAGAGGGGAAGACGTATGATGGAGTTGTGAAGGAGAAAGAAGAGGCTCAGCAGCAGTACAGTCAGGCAGTGTCTCGTGGAGAAAGTGCTGGAGTGGTCAGGTATCTAATCCAAAAAGTCAAATCATATTACAGTTTCAGCAACACATTTTAAAACAGATTTGGCCTTATTCATGAAACAAGAGCAGAACAAATTGGTGAATTGTTGTAAAGAGTGGTTATTCGTGTTACTGTAGCTTTTCTGTCATCTTGAACAAGTCTGGCAATTCTCTTCTGACCTCTCATCAATAACTCTAGAGACTGTTGTGTGTAAAAGATCAGCAGTTTCTGAAATACCACCCTGTCTGGCACTAACAACATGCCATAGTCAGTGTCACGTAGATCACGTTTTTCCCCGCATTGATTTTCGGCGTTGTGCTGTTGCCACACGATTGGTTGGTTAAACAATTGCGTGACAGGAGATGTACAGGAGTTCCTAATAAAGTGGCCAGTGGGTGTACGTCTGTTATCAGCTGTGTTGATATACCAGATCCCTGTGTGTTCCAGCTCAGTAGGAAGGACTCTGGAGGACTTTAAAACCTCAGTGACGGTGGCTGCTTTCAGTAAAGTGACCTTTGAACTGACCTATGAGGAGCTGCTACAACGACGACTTGGCAAATATCAGTTACTCATCAATGCCCAACCAATGCAGCCTGTAGGAGATTTCAAGGTAAAGACACGAAACAGATTTAATGGTGATCAGGCTTTCTGTGCTGCACTAAAGGAGGACACTGTGTGTAACACAGGACAGTGGATGAAGATTTTTTGTCTTATGTAGTTTCAGTACTAATTATTTATGGTCATGTGTGTCTGTGAGATTGATGTGTACATCCATGAGAGTCCAGGTATTTCCTTACTGGAAGTGAAAGGAGGGCTGAACACTAATGAGCTGGCCAATGCTGTAACCACTACACGATCTGGTAAAGAGGTGAGGACGACCTGTACTTAGAATCGTTACTATATTTTGTCAATCCTTCAATTAAATTTAGACTAAAGAGGTGAGAATAAATACATATAAATATATGTCAGACACAAAACTAAGTGTTAAGTTTATTACAGGTCAGTTAGGCCATACAAATGTGATTACTCTTCTTAATTAGTTTAAACTATTTCACAAAAAAACAGTCCTGTTCATCACTTAAGAATGTGGAAATGTTTCTAAGACATGTAGGCCCAAACCCATTTCACCCCTCGCCCCACCACTGAGCCCTTAGCCCTCTGTTTTGCACGTTCACGTCTAGGGGTAGGGTCCCAATTTTTGTTGAGATAGAGGGGTAGGGCAAAGTGTTAGAGCTACATGAACAGAGGTTTTTCAGAGACTCCAAACAGAGAGTTATGAGAAAAAAAGAAAAACCGGCAAGATGGCTGAACAAGAGACCAAAGAAACCCACAAATGTGAGAATTTTCTCAGTTAAAAATTACGATAACCATTTTATTATCTTAGTTTAATGTTGTTTTAGTGTATTATGGTCGTTTTCTTAACAAGCATAAAAAAAAACGCTAATAGCATGCTAACATCTCGGTAGCTACCTAGCTAGCTAACTTTCCACCTTCAATAGTCCAGCAGATCTGACGCCTGAAGCGCCAGAATGTAGCTGCTGCACCATTTAAGGTGGAACAGCAAAATTCAAACAAGAATCTGGTGAATATCTGACTTCAGCTTTGTATCACCAAAGAATTAGGGGTGGGCGACAATAATTGTCTTATACCCCTCTTTGAAAGCATACGATGTCCTAAATGTAACTAAAGCCCAGCAGTGAAGAGCTGAACTTTTTCCTCCTCTGCTGTCACTGAAGACAGGTCGAGTCGCCTACAGAGCAGCTCTGGTAGCCTGTTAATGTTTTTTTTTTATTTTTTGTGAGGGTTGTCCCATTTCATAGGGGAAGATTTCAACCACTACCCCTTGTAACTCAGTTCCAAGGAGTTAGGGTGACAAAAGAGTGGGAGTAAAAACCAACTAAAGTGAAAACAAGAAGAAAAACGGCAGCAGAGATGTCCAAATAATCGTGGTATAATGTTTTGTATTTGCAGGCGTGGGTGAACTTTTATCCCACTCGTGAGCAGCAGACCAAGTGTGACGTTTGTGGTGAAAATGGACTGAATGGAGACCTGATCATAATGTATGATGTAGACAGACCAAAACCCAGTGGAGAACTACAGGTATTGCATGTTACTGCACAGTACTGATGGTAGACCTGCAATCAGCTTTACAAATTTGGGGCCATTATTTAAAAATAATTAATAAAAATAATTAATAATTAAATAATTTTAAAAATAATTAAAAATGTCTTTGTAGACAAGTGGCTCTATTTCACACTGAAATTATAAGAAACCTAGCCTTTAATTAAGTAGATGTGTAAGTAACACAAAAACCCTTATAAAATATATAACATTCTGACCACCTCCTTGTTTCTTCGCTCATTGTCCATTTTATCAGCTCCACTTACTATATAGGTGCACCTTGTAGTTCTACAATTTCGGGGTGCAGTGATTATTTGACTTGGTCGACTAAAATCGACGACCAAATTAGTTGGCAACTAATTTAATAGTTGATTAGTTGATGACGTCATTACGCGTCTTTCTCGCGCTCACTAGGAATGTTTTGACATTACTGCTCACTGGAGAGTTAACAACAGCGTGACGTCAGCCTCAAGAACAAAATCCTCAAAAGTGTGGGCACATTTCACACTAAACTTGGAAAAAAAGGCTGTCAGTTGTGCTATTTGTAAGCCGACCTCATCTGGCTATGGGAGCACATCCTCCATGCCGGAGCATTTGAAGAGGAAACTCGTCGATAGATATAAGATACATCTCGGTAAGATACGCCATGTCCCAAATCGCATACTACCACACTAAATAGTGTGTGAAAATGGCACATATAGCATTAGAAGTACACTCATTAGTGTAATATGTGAAGTACAGAAGTGTGTGGTTTAGGACGCAGCGATAGTTGTGCTAGCGAGCTGGTTAGCTAATGCTAATGTTAAAATCCGCCCTACTTCCTGTTATGAGCTGCACATCTGTTTTGAAATGCATGTTTTCTGGTATTGTTAATGGAGTTGGAACAGAGAAGCAAGTAACTATTATTCACAGCGACCCTGTGCACTTTCCAGATAACGTTTACACTTTTAAACACTGCATTGTCGTTTAACGACGAGACCACCGGTGCGCTCAAATTCGGCAAACACCAGAGCATTTCCAAACAGTTTTGTGTTCTCTGCAAACGTTTGGCTCCACTCGCTAACAGGACGTAGTTCTCCATGAAAACACAGGGCAGCTGGACAAAGGGTTAATTTAACTGTGTAGAGAACAAGTTTGCCACAAACCTTGGCCACTTTCCCGTCCGCTCCATCAGAGCTCATCTACTCTACAGCTGGGAATATCTGCTCTCAGAGGAGAGCGAGACTCTCACAGGAGCACAGAGAGACGCAGACTTTTCAGTAAAGACTGACTGTAGAATTTAGTTGCAAGAGTGTAGACAGACAGCAGAATGCACAGAGCACAGACTGCACTGTTTAAATCATCATCATCATCATCGTTAACCGCTTAGTCCAGATAGGGTCGCGGTAGCAGTTGGGAGAGCAGAGAATCCCAGATCACCCTGTCCCCCGCAACTTCCTCCAGTTCATTCCCGGGGACCCCAAACCGCTCCCAGGTCAACTTGGAGATATAATCCCTCCAGTGGGTCCTAGGACGACCCCGGGGTCTTATTCTGGTAGGCCGTGCCTGGTACACCCCCACCGGGAGGCATCCAGGGGGCATCCGGATCAGATGCCCGAACCACCTCAGCTGGCTCCTCTCAATGCGGAGGAGTAGTGGCTCTACTCCAAGCTCCTCCCGGATGGCCGAGCTCCTCACCCTATCAAATAGAGTGTAGCCCGCCACCCTGCGAAGAAAGCTCATTTCCGCCGCTTGTATTCGCGATCTCATTCTTTCGGTCATTAACCACAGCTCATGACCATAGGTGAGGGTCGGGATGTAGACCGATCGGTAAACAGAGAGCTTTGCCTTATGGCTCAGCTCCCTCTCCACCACTACAGTCCGGTACAGCGACCGCATTACTGCTGCCGCCTGTCCCAGCCTGCAGTCGATCTCACGATCCCTCTTCCCATCACTTGTGAACAAGACCCCAAGATACTTAAACTCCACCTGGGGCAAGTCCTTTCCCCTTACCTGGAGTGGGCATGCCATCCTTTTCTGGGCTAAGACCATGGACTCAGACTTGGAGGTGCTGATCCGCATACCAACCGCTTCACACTCAGCTGCAAACCGCTCCAGTGTGCGCTGGAGGCATCCATGTGATCCAGCCAAAAGAACATCATCTGCAAATAGCAGAGACGCCACCCTCCGGCCTCCACACATAATGCCCTCCTGACCCCGGCTACGCCTTGACACCCTGTCCATGAATATCACAAACAGGAGTGGAGACAGGGCACAACCCTGGCGGAGTCCAACGCTAACACTGAAAGAGTCCGACTAAATGCCGAGTATACGAACACAGCTGTCACTCCGGGAGTACAGAGATTGAATGGCCCAGAGTAGTAACCCCGGCAACCCATACTCCCGGAGGACCTCCCACAAGATATCTCGGGGAACACGGTCGTAAGCCTTCTCCAAATCCACAAAACACATGTAGACTGGGTTGGCAAACTCCCATGCCCCCTCAACAATCCGTGAGAGGGTGAAAAGCTGGTCCATTGTTCCACGGCCAGGACGGAATCCGCATTGTTCCTCCTCAATCTGAGGTTCAACTATCGGTCGAAGTCTCCTTTCCAGCACCTTGGCATAGACTTTCCCAGGGAAGCTGAGCAGTGTGATACCCCGATAGTTGGCACACACCCTCCGGTCCCCTTTCTTGAAAATAGGGACCACCACCCCGGTCTGCCAGTCCAAGGGTACTGTTCCCGAGGTCCATGCACTATTGCAGAGGCGTGTCAGCCACGACAGCCCCACAATATCCAGAGCTTTAAGCATCTCGGGACGAATCTCATCCACCCCCGGTGCCTTGCCACTGAAGAGCTTGCCTACCTCAGTGACCTCCACCAGGGAAATGGAGCTTGACACGCCAGAGGCCTCTGGCCCTGACTCCCGTGAGGGAGGCATGTCTCCCGGATTAAGGAATTCCTCAAAGTGCTCTTTCCACCGACCGACAATATCCTCATTTGAAGTCAGAGTCCCTAAAGGCCTCTTTCTTCAGCTTGACGGCCTCCCTCACCACCGGTGTCCACCAGGGGGTTCTTGGGTTACTGCCATGACAGGCACCAACAAGCTTTTGGCCACAGCTACGCCTGGCAGCTTCCACAGTGGAGGTTTTAAACAGGGTCCATTCAGACTCTATGTCCCCTACTTCCTCCGGGACATGAGAAAAGCCCCCCCGGAGGTGGGAGTTAAAATCATTCCGAACAGGGGCCTCCGACAGTCGTTCCCAGCACACCCTCACTATTCGCTTGGGCCTACCGGGTCTAACCCTCAGTCTTCCTTGCCATCTGATCCAACTCACCACCAGATGGTGATCAGTTGACAGCTCAGCACCTCTCTTCACCCGAGTGTCCAGAACATATGGTCCCAAGTCAGATGAAATGACAACAAAGTCGATCATTGAACTTTGACCCAAGGAGCTCTGGTACCATGTACACTTATGAACATCCTTGTGTTCGAACTTGGTGTTCGTTATGGACAGTCCATGCCTGGCACAGAAGTCCAATAACAATTCACCATTCGGGTTTAGATCGGGCAGGCCGTTCTTCCCAATCACGCCTCTCCAGGTCTCCCAGTCATTGCCAACATGAGCATTGAAGTCTCCCAGTAAGACTATGGAGTCTGTAGGCGGGGCCCTTTCCAGAACCCTGCCCACTTGCTCCAAGAAAGCCGAATACTCCCACCTGTTGTTTGGTGCATAAGCACACACAACAGTCAGAGTTTTCCTCTCTGCGATTTTAATACGCATTGAGGCGACCCTTTCGTCCACCGGGACAAACTCCATCTGCACTGCCGCCAGCCGGGGACTCGTGAGTATCCCCACACCCGCCCGGCGCCTCTCACCTTGTGCAACCCCGGAGTAGGAGAGGGACCAACCCCTATCCAGGAGTTTGGTTCCAGAGCCGACACTGTGGGTGGAGGTGAGCCCAACTATATCTAGTTGGTACCTCTCAACCTCCCGCACAAGCTCTGGCTCCTTCCCCCCCAGTGAGGTTACATTCCACGTACCAAGAGCCAGTTTCTGCCGCAGGGGCCTAGGCCACCAAGGGCCCCCCTGCAATCTCCCACTGCCTGTACGGCACTGCACCACTCCCCCATGCTGGACCTTGCGGGTGGTGGGCCCACATGGTCCCCCCACGTTGCCTCTTTGGGCTGAGCGGCCACCAGGCGCTCGCCGATGGACACTACCCCCAGGCCTGGCTCCAGAGGTAGGTCCCGGTAACCCTCTCCCGGGCAGGGTACACGATCTTCTGTGTCCGTTTTTCATGGAGGGTTTTTGGATCAAGTTAGTCTGGGTCTTCACTCCAGACCGCTTCGCCCTGGGAGACCCTACCAGGAGCATGTTGCTCCCGACAACTTAGCTCTGAAGATCCCTAGACCACACAAGCCCTTCCGCCACGACAAGGCCCCGATCCAGGAAGTTTAAATTTAAAACTTAAATTTAGATTGATTTTTTTTTATTTACTTGATTTAAAGAAAAACTGATTTAGTTTTGTTATATTTTGTTCTGCTACTTTGCACATCCTTGGTTTTAAATTTTGACAGGAAAAATATTTTGGAGTTTTATTTATCTTTTGCATTAGCATGAAAGTTCATTAAAACAGTGAGTGTTTGAATGTTATTCATCTTTATTGTCTTCATTGTTAGTTAGCAAATGCATGAAACAACCTCAAGCTTAATTTAAAAGCTAATAGCTACATAAGAGTTATTTGGTAATGTAGTGATTCATAATCCGAATGACTGATTATTCGTTTCAGTAATCGATAGATTATTCGACTATCAAATTAGTTGTTTGTTGCAGCCCTGCTACAATTACAGACTGTAGTCCATCTGTTTCTCTTCATACTTTGTTAGCCCCCTTTTACCCTGTTCTTCAGTGGTCAGGACCCCCATGGACCCTCACAGAGCAGGTACTATTTGAGTGGTGGACCATTCTCCGCACTGCAGTAACACTGATGTGGTGGTGGTGTGTTAGTGTGTGTTATGCTGGTCTGAGTGGATCAGACACAGCAGTGCTGCTGGAGTTTTTAAACACTGTGTCCATTCACTGTCCACTCTATTAGACACTCCTACCTTGTCAGTCCACCTTGTAGATGTAAAGTCAGAGACGCTAGCTCATCTGCTGCTGCACAGTTTGTGTTGGTGATCCTCTAGTCCTTCATCAGTGGTCACAGGATGCTGCCCACAGGACGCTGTCAGCTGGATATTTTTGGTTGGTGGACTATTCTCAGTCCAGCAGTGACACTGAGGTTTTTAAAAACTCCAGCAGCACTGCTGTGTCTGATCCACTCAGACCAGCACAACACACACTAACACACCACCACCACATCAGTGTTACGGCAGTGCTGAGAATGGTCCACCACCCAAATAGTACCTGCTCTGTGAGGGTCCATGGGGGTCCTGACCACTGAAGAACAGGGTAAAAGCGGGCTAACAAAGTATGCAGAGAAACAGATGGACTACATTCTGTAACTGTAAAGGAATCTGAGATCACTCCTCGATAGCATCGGCAGAAGATGAAACACAGGGGTAGCCATGATTTGCTGCAACAAGTGCTCTTTATTAAACACGGCAGAAATGGGCACATACAGAACGCCGAACTCCAGGGGGAGGTCACTTTTAGCCAGCAGGTTCACGCCAATGGTATCCCCTCCCACACAAACACTCAAAACCTCAGCTAAACCCACACCTGACACCTAATAACACAATAAACGCATACACATATATATCACTAATCAACATAACCAAGTTCCTTTGTTGGAGGGTGCATGAGCTTTTGCCTTGACATACTTCCGGAGTCTTAGGCGCGAACGCCAGCCAGCAACAGAACACTACAGTACAGTATCTGTCCAGAGTCCCCATGGTCCTAGGTTCCCTCTTGTAGGGAGCTTTCGCTTTCACACCTTCTTTGTTTGATGAGTTTGAACACTCCACCTATACACAGGTCTGCCCCAAACAATTGCACTGTGTTCTGCCAAAAACAAAGGTCTTAGTCTGCTTCCAAGTGAACCCTGGTTCAGTTCGCTGCTGGTGGGAACACCACCATTTTACAATGGTCCACACCAAACAAGCCAAAATGTTGTCAAGCATCAGCAACATGCAAGACAGCAAGTAATGATTGTGATTGATTGTGATACTTCTATATGTTAAGTCCCTCTATTTACTATTTTTCTGTTTTTATGGTGGCAAATGTGAGAGTGACTTAGCGCATGTATACCTTTTTAATTACGTTAAATTTCTGACCAGTCAACAAACACCCATGTGTATAATTTGGTGAAACCAACCGAACCAAATGAAAAAGATGAAATGTCACATGTAGCAGGCCCTGTGCTACCCTGGGCACAAGGAGGACGCTGGAGGCTTGGTTCAGTGTCTCAGCAGCTGTTTTCTTTGTTTTCACTCACCAAGCGAACACAACAATGAAATGAAACCTAAGCTGGCCACTTTTCAGTGGCTTTAAACTAGACTTTTTCGTCTTTATCTCGAAGCTAAGTTTTTCAGTCATTTCGTCTGTTGTTGTTGCTGCTGCTGCTCGTCCCTCTCTCTAGACTCTGCCGCCTACTGAGAAAAGAGATGGCCATAAGTAGCTGGGCAGAAACAAGGCACAGGTGAATATCATCAGCTACATAGCCCCCTGTCCTGCTGGAATGTCCAACCATGACCCAGTTTTTCATTTGAAATCATCTGATACAATGATCTGATGTCCATGATGCCATGTATCCTATCAAGGTTCCCAGCCCCAAAACATCACAGTGTCTTTACTTTGGAGATGAGGCTCTTTTCTGTGTAAACATCCGTATTTTTACATTAAACCCACTTTGAGTTTTTCTTGCCAAAATGCTCTAATTTTGTTTCATCTACCATAGAACTTGGTTCCAGCACCATCTAGCGAACTCCCCTCGCTTACGTTGGTCATTAGATGAAAGAAAAGGCTTTCTTTTGGCATGTCTTCTGAAAAGTTTGCTGGCATATAGTTTGCGTCTAATGTGATTTTGGAGACAGGGTGACTCTGAAATGGTATAATCTTTTGCAAATCTCCAGCTGTGATCCTCTGAGAACATTTTTGGCTCTCACCATCATCCTCACTGTGCGTGGGGGCAAAATAAACATGCGTCCTCTTCCAGGTAGGTTTGCTAGAGTTCCAGTTGTTGCCCTAACAGTGGATGTCAGCGTTTTTAGGGGGGTCACTGTTTCATTTGTGTTTTCTCGAATCTTCCCCATGTTGTCGAATTAAACATTATGATCCATATCATTGTTTCTCCTTTTCTCTCATTCTTGTCTCTTTTCTTTCATTCCTATCAGGCATCAGACGGTTATTTCGTCCACTACTTTGCACCTACAGATATTCCACGCATACCGAAAAATGTGGTGTTAGTCATTGACCGAAGTGGCTCCATGAGTGGGAGAAAGATTGAGCAGGTTAACTTCATTGTTGAAAGTTGCTTGTTGATGTAATACTTGTGATTTTTACTGTGCTTTATTAGCAAACAAAATAATTTTGATGCACATGCCATATATCACCAAGATTTGCTGATGAATCTTTTTATTCTAGACTCGTGAAGCACTGCTGAAAATTTTGGGAGATCTTGCTGAGGAGGACTACTTTGGGCTGATCATCTTTGATGGTCAAGTAGATGTATGGAAACCTAAACTCCGCCAAGCCACAGAGAGGAACATGGGACTAGCAAAGGACTTTGTGAAAAAGATTGAAGATCGTGGATGTAAGATTGTGCCTGTACTCAAACCTAAACATTTTTTGTTGTACATCAAATCAAATAAAGAATATAGATAAAATTTTAAAAAATTTAAATATTGATACCATAAAAGTTTAACCAAAAGGGGGTGATGACAGTTCTACAAGGAGGGTGATTTTGACTTTGTATAATTGTATGAGTAAAATTGTGACTGAGAAGTTTGCTAAGCATCATTCAGACACTGCAGTACGACACAAAAAACATGCTGTGCAATAATGACCAGCGTAACTTTTTTAGTATGCTAATTATTTTTGCCATTTAGAACTTATGTGTTGATGAACCGGTTGATAGTTGTGCCACATTCAAATTTGGATAACAGTACCTACTGTATTTGTCTATATTGTGTGCTTGGCTACTTCTGTTTTTAAAACAATGTGTTCATAAGCTTCCAGCCCTTAAATCCACCTAACAGTCCTCCACACACATCACATTTATTATTATTTTTTTTAAAGCATTTATTTTCATTTTATCATACAGATCATCAAGATCATACAGTGCTTGATAAACTCATATTTCTTGTGTCACTGTGATGAGATTTAGCGCTGAAAATTAAATTGCAACTGGATGCGAGTGTTGTTTTGGTAAACTTGGATTTTGGTGGTATATGTCAAAAATTGAATTTTGGGTATAGACACTATGCATATATCAAAAGTCAGGCCAGTGAAGGGTTATATATATATATATATATATATATATATATATACATTGTGATAGGACTTTAAGAAAAAAAAATGCATGAAAAACTTAGGATATGGGTTCTTTAACAGAGAAGGTGGCTTTTTGGTTAATATCTAATGTTTACATTGCTGATGTCTGCCCCTCAGCCACAAACATCAATTCTGCAGTGCTGAAGGGAGTGGAGATGATCAACAAACACCCACGAGAAGGCTCCGCCTCCATCCTCATCCTGCTGACTGACGGAGCACCAAATACAGGCAAAAAAATAAAAACTCATACATGCAGTGAGGCCTCCAGTCTGGTGGCTAACCTGTAGCAGCAACAACCGGAAATAGTTACACAGACAGATCATTGTTGCTTTTCCTCTCTGCAGCTCTGTCTGATTCCATCACTCAGGGAAATTAGCCTGTGTAGGTAACATCTCCTTCTTGAACAGGTGAGAGTGACCCAACAAGGATTCAGGCCAATGTGAAAGAGGCCATTGGGGGGAAGTTTCCTTTGTACTGTCTGGGGTTTGGATTTGATGTTAACTTCGATTTCCTGGAAAAAATGGCGCTGGAAAACAATGGACTTGCTCGTAGGATCTATGAGGACTCGGATGCTGATCTTCAGCTACAGGTGGGATAGAAAGTGACAGTTAAATTCATTCTAGTGTTGCGGCTGTACAGCAGCATTTCAGCACCGTCTTCATGTTTTGTAGGGTTTCTATGAGGAGGTGGCCGTTCCTCTGTTAACTGGTGTCCACCTGAACTATGCTGGAGCAGCCAATGTCACACAGACCAGATTCAGCCACTACTACAACGGCTCAGAGATCGTGGTAGCTGGACAAATCACAGACAACAGCCTGGACACTTTCCAAACGGAGGTCATCGCAATCTCAGTAAGACTAATCCTGGTTTAACACTGTTAGAAACCTTTTGTTTCCAGGCCAGTTCAACAAGAAATTTTACTATACATATTTAGCAGTGATTAGTTTCTCTTCCATCTTGCTTAACATCGTTGTAACTGACTGAAGCTCCACCCCAGGCCATCCTCGTTGGCTGATACAAAGTTACGTCAGAGTAAGCCCTATAAAAACGTTACTGCTGGTTGAGTTTTTTCAGTGGACAGTGGATGTATCATCACAATACTTCAAGACATTTTCACAGTATATGATATTTCATGATGTGCATCATGATATTTAATGTGCTGGACAACTAGTAGTGCTACATTAAAGAGTAATATCAAAAACTATGAATTAACTGATTTTTATTCAACCTTTCTACATACTGCACCACACAAAATCTAATTAAACTGCGCTGATTGTGCCGTCTCTTTAATGAAAGATTGAGGTGGTCCATAGTTTTTTTAAGTATTGATATTGATATGATATTCATGATATACTCGCATATTATGATCATTCATCATGATCACAATAAATATTGTCATATCGACCATCGCTACCATCAGGGCACTGTTTTCATTTACATCAGAAGCAAGAAGTGAGTTTCTTACAGATACCAAAATGTCTTTGATAATGCAGCTTTCAGGAGTTGGACTGGAGTTGCCAGTTTATTAGGTACGCATATCTAGTTGTATAATGTGTTCCATTCTAGAGGCAGCTGCCTAACTTGTCACTATTTTTAAAGGCGCCTCTCTTCGGGCAGCATTTTAACCGAAAAGGGACTTTAGCAGGCATCGCATTCGTGACAGTGCTTCAGGACCATCATACATCATAAGTTTCGCTGTGCTGTACACGTTTCATCTGTTCACTCAGTCATTCGTTAGCTTACACTCACCTCCAACAGTAAAGGCGGATCACCTCTGTATACAGATGGCTTCTGAATTTGCAGCAGCTGCTTTCCTGCATTAATGCTGTTGCAGGAATTTATTGTGTATGAAGAACAGGCTGCTTTAAGGAGTTGTATCTGTCATTATGTATTCGACTCGGTGCCCCAGATAAGTACAGATAATCGTGACTACTAGTTTATGAAGTCATTCACTGTCCTCATCCACCTTAAAGAGTAACTACATCCAACTATGTTTCAGCTAACTCCACCCCGGCTCAACTTAAAAAAAGATGCTCAAAAATGGGAGGGGCACGCTGGCAGGGGCACTGCAGTGATCTGTGGGTTTGGAGGAGGGGCTGCAAGGGAGACTGCGTGAGCTGGGCTGCTGTGTTTTTAGAGCTAGCATAGCTGCCAGAAAATATGGAGAGAGACAAAATCAAACGGCACTTTTGCAACTGAGAGTCTTACGAGGTTGACGATTTTTCTCTACTACCATCCCCATCTTCGACGAGGGAAGGTGTTTCTGACCAGGCAGTGCGTCTTGAGCCTTAACAGTATGAGCCGCTGACTCAAGGCACCGGAGAGTTAACGTAGTGCCAGAAAATGATTATCAGCGAGCAGCAGAGGCGTCCAAATGGTAGAATATTCCCCAAAACTCTGTTCAACAGGTCCATATTTGATCAAATTCACGTTCCCCTTCATAAATCCAACCCTCAGGTGCACACACTCACAACGGCAAGCAACACTGGAACTGCAGAAAATGGGAAAAAAGTTCAAGAAAGGCTGTACGGACGAAAGGTTGACACAGTCGGTAAAACAATGGCCATTTAACTTTGACATCGCAGCCTTGTGAGGTGGTGCTGGGGGTATTAAGCTCAGTGCGTGACTCTCACTCTCGGCTCCTATGCTTTCATATTTATGAGCGCTTCTGACTGATCTGCATACTGTACCGAAGTACGAAGACACGTCATCCGTGCCTAGCAGAGTTGATCCAGAGGGGAGCTACAGAGGCGGAACTGACCACAATAAAAATGATATTTTTACAGTTTGGAAAGATGTAAGCAAGGCTGGTATATTTAACTATTACAACGTAGTGCATTTCAGCTGTTAATAAAAAAAAGGCTTAGGGTGTAGTTACTCTTTCAAGAACCTGCTTTATTTCTAACACACAAAGGATAAAAACTACATAAAATTTTGTACAAAATGCACTCAGAAAAAAAGGGTCACACACAATCTGTTAAGCTGCTTATATGGATTTTATGCACTCTCATCTGATTTATGAGCTCCTAGTCTGAAATTTAGCCATCAGCATTCATCTAACACTGATGTGACTGTGATAAGCAAAGCAATACAAGTGGGTTTTTATTTTCATTCGTTTTGTTTCTGAACTACTAATTTGTCTACTAAGTTCAAGTATTTTTTATTGTTCCGGGAAAACGTCAGTCTGTCGCACTGGTTCCGTCGTGTTTTCCCCCACATACACTGGCAAGGTGAGCAGCCTCCAGCCGTTCAGCACAATTTTCTCCCCATAACAGCTCCTCTTCCTCAGCTCCTCAGCCAGTGCCTGTCCGCTCCTGTAATATTAGTCCCTGAGGACAGAAAACGAATCAGATCGATAATCATTTACATACAAAAAAGCGCTACTAAACAGTGAACATACAGTATGTTAAACTGGACACTCTCGTTTTGAAGAGCCAGCGTGTTTACACAGTTAGCCCGCACAGTAAGCCAGAAAAAATGCTGTTCAGCCCTGCCTGGCCATATGTGAAAAAGTAATTGCCCCCAAGCTAAAAATCAACCAGTTAACCAAATTGAATTGACTGCTGGGTTTCAATTTCACTAGACACAGCCAGGCATGATTACTGCTAGACCTTTTATCTATCACTTAGATAGAACCTGACTGGCAAAGTGAGGCAGCTAGAAGGTCTCAAAAAGCAACACATGATACCACGTTCTGAAGAGATTCAAATACAGATGCGAAACAAAGTCATTGGAATCTACTAGTCTGGAAAGGATTACAAAGCCCTTGCTGAGGCTCTGGGACTCCAGCGAACCACAGTGAGAGCTGTTATCCACAAATGAAGAAAACTTGGAACAGTGATGAACCTTCCCAGGAGTGGCCGACCTACCAAAATTTCACCAAGAGCATATTCGACGACTCATCCAGGAGGTCACAAAGGAACACAGACAAAAATCTAAAGAACTGCAGGCTTGACTTGCCTTAGTTAAAGGTTAATGTACACAATTCCACAGTAAAAACAACACTAGCCAAAAATGGCATCCATGGAAGATTTGCAAGGTGCAAACCACTGCTGACCAAAATGAACACAAAGGCTCGTCATGCAGTTGCCAAAAACAGGTGGGAACACCTAGATGACCCCGAGACTTTTGGGATAATATTCTCATGGTGGTGTTGGTGTGATGGTCTGGGGCTGCTTTGCTTCTGCAGGATCTGGACGGCTTGTCATAATCGATGGAACCATGAATTGTACTCTTTAGCAATTTTCCTCCACAGCGATGTAAAAGACTCATCACACGTTATCGCAAACGTTTGATTGCAGTTGTTACTGCCAGGCGGTGGCACAACCAGTTATTAGTTTAGGGGGCAGTTACGTTTTCACATGGGTGATATGGGTTTTTGAATAAATCTTTATCTTCAATAAATGGAATGATCATTTAAAAGCTGCATTTTGTGTTTACCTTTGTTGTCTTTAGCTTATGTTAAAATTAGGTGGATTATTTGAAACATTAAAATCTGACAAATTAGCAAAAATAGAAGAAGTCAGGTGAGGGGCAATTACTTTTTGACAGCATGTGTGGATAAACTGTGGGCACTAACTGATGAACTTGCACAGCAATCATATTCAGATATACAGTGCTGTTCAGACATTCTTCTTTGGGCATCATGGCCCCAGTGTGTGCCAGGCAAACATTACCCACATCACATTCCCCACCAGCCAGTACTGTTCATACTAACTCCAGCATAAATTCACTGGAGTCGTGTGACTTGTTAGAACGTTATAAGGTGTGTGAAGGCACATAATAAACTGGTAATAGGTATGTTGCATTTTATTTCATTAAAGCAGTTTAAAGTTCTGCTGGCTGTACCTCATTCTCATTTTATTGTTCTTGCTTCTTTGCAGAAAAACAGTAAAGTGACCTACCAGGACTCTGTGTTCACGAAAGACCTCGCGGGAGTTTTGCCACATGAAAACTCCATCCAGAGACTTTGGGCTTATCTTACAGTGAAGCAGCTCCTGGAGAAAGAGTGAGTGAGAAGAAGTGAAGTGATCTGCACTGTTCAGTGATCTGTGCATGTTCATCTTTGTCTGGTTATGTAAAGGTATGTTTGTAAGTCACACTAAGCACCATTAGTTCTGCGTTTCAGGATGACACTTAATGGGGAGGAGAAAGAAGCAGCCAGGAAAGAAATCCTGGATCTCTCTCTTAAGTATGAATTTGTGACCCCTTTGACTTCCATGGTGGTCACAAAGCCTGAAGGAGAGGACACACAGGTCGCCAACAAACCTAAAGAGGAAGAAAAGGCAGAGCAAACGCAACTTAGGCTAGCATCACGCAAGTAGTTTTTCTGTGTACAGAAAAAATGTACCACACAATGGAAAAGTACAAAAAAATATGTTTCAGATTCAGAACAAAGTGTTACACTGTAGAGCCAAATGGTCCTCTTGGCCATATCACTGTGTTCTATTATGGTGCAAACTCACAGGATAGTTTTTTTTCATCAGATGTGCAGCTAAATCAGCACCACTGAATGCCAAAGAAAAACTACACATGGCAACAATCTGCAACTTTATCCTCCAAACGTGTGTCATTTGAGCCGAAACTGAGCCTGTACTGTGGCATTTTAGCCTGCTGGCATTATTTAAGCAAAACTGACATTATTTAACATTGTTTGCAGTATGGCTGGACCTGAATATTCGACTATTCAGATATTCATTTGTTGGGTAAGTATTCTGTTTTTAATTTTGGGATTCGGATATTTAGGTATTTTTTATTTTATTTATTATTTATTAGAAATTTTATTGGGCTAAATGTAGGCTATCAATGAAGACCAACTTCAAAATCCTGTAATGTTTGGGGTTCTCGGGAGAAACTTAGATGACACATTCCATAACGCATAACTTTAGTTTTCACCATGCCACACTGTTAAGAAGTTCAGTTTTTTTTTTTTTTTAAGGAATTAAGTGTTTTTGTTGGGTTATTTTGGGTTAATTTGTACAAGGACTTCTATGTTGTAGAGCCTGAATACGGGTGGAGGAATGGGTTTTCCGGATGGGTTTTCCGGAGTAGAGCAGAGGGCTGTGTTTTTAGCTGTTAGCACTGGAGAGGCTGTGTTTCTTGCCATGTTTGGTACTGTTTTCAGCAAATAAAAATTAAAGCTGCATTATGGACTGTAATCTTGAGTTTAAACCCAAACCCAAAACCAGACAGTATTTTGCAGTTCACCTTTATTAATAGCCTACATTAAGCCAAACAGTACCCAATCCCCCATGTTTAAAAATCAAACCTACCTAATGAACAAATATCTGAATAGTCAAACATTTGGACCCAACCCTACACCAAAGCTCTCTGCTATCTGGGTTGGAGTGGCAGTTTAAAGCTAGGCTGACTCCAAGCATTACACCACACATGTGCATCTCCTTTCCTCCTCGACTGCCTGTCAGTGTGAACGTTTATACGTTGATAACAAAATGCTCGAAATTTTCTACATCTCTGCTCCCGGCTAAATCTGCGCTGTCTTACCGTTTGGTAACCTCTGACTTACAGACACACACTGACTCCGATTTGACCCCATAAAGAAACACATATACGCAAACTTTCTCGCTCAGACAGCTGACATAAGTGAGTGTGTGTGTGTTAAAGGTACAGACAGGATCAGTCCGGCTGCTCTGTTGCCCATCTGCAGTAAATTGGCAACTGTTTTGATCATTTATATCACTTGTGATGGCATTTCTCACTACATTCAGAATTTTTAAAAGCCAATCAATTGATCAATGGAGAAAATAATCAGCAGATTAATCCAAAATAAAAATAATCATTAGTTGGATATAAAATGAAGTGCTCCAACTCAACCAACTACAACAGCACAGTTCTGCTTTTACTGGTTGTAAAACACTGTATACCGCGACATATTTTCTGAGACTGTTATCATGCCGTGAAAATCTCATACTGTTGCAACTTTAGTCTTGAATCACTTGAATCAAGAATAAACTTTTTAAAACCTCTTTGTCATCAATGATGACGATTACTGATTTTCATCTGTTACATATTTTACCTTCGCTTTGATCTAGGCCTTGGAAGCTGTGGCTGTAATTATAGCTGTAATTTTTATGGCTGTGATTTCCTTTTACATGAATGTTTAAATCTAAAAGTGTAATAAGATCATTTAAAGTTGTTTTTGTCTAATTTTATTTTAACTCTTCCTGTGTGTTTTAGTTTCGCAGATTGATTTTACAATGTAGCAAAAAATATTTTTATTATTTCAGCTGTTTGTTCAGCAGTTGTTGTTCCAAAGCAAAAAGCAGTGACGTAAATTTGTTTCTTCTGCAGGTGGAAGAACACGTTATTTGTGGAAGACTTCTTCCAGCAGTAAGTGTGTATGTGTGTATGATCTCTTTCCTGCTCTTAGCATATCCAGACAACTAAAGTAAAGTATGCTATGGGTCAGAAGCTTGCAAACACATGCAGAAAGCTGTGTCGTCACAGAAATGTTAAAGTGCAGTACATGGCCCGAAGTATATAAACACGCAAACATCTTATTTCATTCCTTGCTGAACCTTTTATTGTAAAACCATGGGCATTAATATGGAGTTGGTTTCCCCCCTTGATGCAGCTTTTACATGAAATTTTGAAGCACTGCACTGCTACTTTCATTCACCCACGAGAGCATTAGTGAGGTCAGACACTGACGTTGGTGCCAAATCATTCCAAATGTGTGGATGGGGTAAAGATCAGGACTCTCTGCAGAAAAGTCAAGTTCTTCCATGCCAAACTTGGCAAACTGTTTCTTAGTGGACACAGTGGGGCATTGTCATGCTCATATTTACATTTATGACATTTGGCAGACACTGTTATAACTTACAATTTAATCATGTTACGAATATAGGTGGCTCTTAGTGGTATAATATGGTGTGCTTGAACTCTGGTCTGCTGTGTCAAGGACAGCAATATTGCCCACTACACAATATCAAAGGCTACAACAGGAACAGGTGTAAGCCTTCCACAAACTGCTGTACTAAGGTTGGCATTCACTGGAACTAAGGGGCACAAACCATGAAAAACAGCCCCAGATCGTTATCCCTCATCCAGACTTTATAGTTGGCACTCTGTGTTTAGGCAGGTAGCATTGTCCTGCATCCTCCAAACCCAGATTAATCCATCAGACTGCCAGACTGCCTTCATAGTAATAGCACTTACAGGTGATGGGAGCAGAAATCGACCATTGACTTGTATTTTTTTACGCCAGTGACAAAGAAACAAAATTACTTTAACAGTGGCCACAGTCTTGAAGGCACGAGAGAAGAAGGGTGAGTGACGAAGGAAAGAGAGAATATCCCGGCAGAGAATTACTCACGTTCAGATTAAAACACGCTTCTCTTTTCATGACCTCAGATATTGGCAGCGTTTTAGTTCATTCAGACATCGAAGTGGTTCTAGTTACATTTCTTTGTGATTTCTGCTTGACATCTTTAAATGGCTGTTGCACAACTGCATTCAGCTGATCATTTAATTTCAGTTCAAGCCAATAGTTTGTATTCGCTTTAGTAAATAGTGCTTTATCATTAAACTGGTTTATTTCTACAATTGCTGAATTAAATGATAATGCTCTTTTCTTTTGTATTGCCTGCAGGGACACGTTTATTGAAAACGCTTCAAATGCTACGTCCAGCAACTCCACCTCCGGGTAGGTTGAAGTTGGTCTTGTGATTTGTACTTTAATAATCTTCATCTTCAAAGTTCTGTCTTGTTCTTCTTTCTCTCCCTCTGTCTTTCAGTGATTGGCGTGAGGTTCTTGATCTCTTCTCGTGATCAGCCTAAGCCAATATGTTATAACCTCCCTGCCGCTTCCAAACTCCGCCTCCTGATGGACCCCTCCTCAGGTGAGGTGTTTTATACCTGGTCCTCTGCTGACTCACCTTGTTCAGACACTTTTATTATTTTTGTTGTAATGTAATAATGAGAGTGATTTATGTTACTGTTCCATCTGCTGTGTTCCCCCCTCCACAGATTTCTCAATGAATGGTGAACTCTCAACAAAAGGCTTCAAACAAATTGCTCTTCATTACAAAACGGATTATTCCTTAATGCTCAATACCTCTCATATCCTTTATCATGATGGCCTGAATAATGTGATGTTTTTGTGGGGACAGGAGCCCAGCAAGCACGAGACTGACAGGTACGAAACCAGTGTTGAAATGGAAATAAGTATAGGCTGTTCAAGGCTTCAAAGTAATATGGACAGTAAATAGAGAGTACAATATAATGTTTAAACTGGTTTGGCACGCTGAAAATTAATTAATTTACTTAATAATTAATTAATAGACAACTTTCATGTGTTAACACACACGTCTGTGATATGTAGTCAGAAAATCGTAATGTGCCATCCGTCCACACCCACTTTAAAAATAGCAGTCTTTAATGTAGATGAACATGTAGAAATTTAAAGTAGAATTTATTCATCAAATTTTTGCTAGGACCAAAATGTTAATATCTATTAGCCAATTAATGGAATTTCCAACTAGCATTAAGCTAGACTGTTGTGTCTACTTTTTTTTTTTAAACAAAGCTCTTGATCATGCAGAATTAAAGCTTGTAACAGACATTTAAGTAACTTAGCATGTTGAAGTTTCAGTCTTTCTGGCATCTGTCGAATATGGTACTATTATTTGGACTGTAGTGCTTGTTGTGTTGGCCACAGTGATTGGCCAATGATGTCATATAGGACACAAGCATTTAACCCTTTCATATCTAAATTTACAGTGATTTTTCTTGTGTTTTAGGAATGCAGTTTATTACAAGGAATAAAGTGATTTCTTAAAAACACTGCATATTTAGTTACAAGGCATTTGCTACTCATACACACACACACATTTATTTATGGCGCTCAGTTTTCACTTTGCTGACGACTGACTAAACTCAAAATTAGTCTGGAGCTGTAACTGCTTCACACATTGTGGAACAGGTTATGTTGACCATTTATTTATACCGTGGTCATTGTTGATTCTGTCCCCACAGTGTGTCTCTGATTCTGAGAAATGATGAAGTGGACGTCACCATGGGAACCGTGCGTGTCGTGTTGTTCCGTCATAAGAAAGATGGAGAAATGTTTCTGTGGCCTGCAGTTCAGCAGCAACCAAACCACGTTAGCATACAAGGAATTTTTGGTAAGAGGAAAGAAGGAAACATCAGATTTGAGAAAATGAAAGAAATATACAGAGCAGAGGCTCTCAGTTCTGGACCTGGAGATCTACCACCCTGCAGAATTTAGCTCCACACCCAATCAAACACACCTAATCCAGGTACTGAAGGCCTTCAGGAGCATCTGAATATTAGAGCAAGGTGTGTTGGATCTGAACTCTCCAGGGTGATAGATCTTCAGGACCAGGACTGAGTTACCCAGTATACAATGCATTTCAAAGACTTAGGATGAACAGTTGGCAAATTAGTTAAAATTTCTGTGAATAAATGAAAACTGCTTACTCTTTACCTTCATAACTAATCTGAACTATCTATTGGTTATTGCAAAATCTCCTTCATTTTTATTCATGGAAGTCCTGCCAAAAACAGTATGGTGAGTCACCTAAGACTGTCACAAAAAAACAGCTGCGACTCATAGAGACATTTAAATATCTTCTTTTATGACGCCAGTTACCAGTGCTCCATAACACTTATAAACTCTGTCTCTCATTTCGAAGGAAAAAAACATGTTGAATATGAGGAATTATCAGGATCAGTGATCAAAATCAAAGATGAAGATGTGAAAGCGACCTGGTAAATACAATAAATTAAGACATAATAGTTAATCTAGATAATTGATTACTGATGTTTTTAAGCTAAAAGTGTTCTGTGTTGTAGGAGCACTGCTACTGACTATCGACGCTCTTCAGCCCCTGTTCTTGGATGCTGGTTCATACCATACAAGTCTGTCCTGCAGGGGGAGCTCTCTGATTTCACAGTGTCACAGCTGTAGACTTGCATATTAATTCTAATGAAATACTTAAAAACCGGATCAGAACTGTTAATTGTTTTAATTAAGCACAGCTTGAGTAGTCATTTATATTGGATCACATTTAAGATCAGCCAGTCAGGATCAGGTGATGGAAACTGGTAAAGAAAAAAAAAATTGGACTTTCGTGATGACCTGATTACTTTGGATTACTACGGAATATCGGATTCACATCACACAGCAGTCTTGATTCATACAGTATTGTTGATATATCAGCAGTTCCAGACAAAATGCAGTGATTGGAAAAGATTCATCCGATTTCAAAGCACCATATTTTTTACAACCGTGAGGCGTCTAGGAACCAATCACATACCACCTGAAAGAGGGGGTCATAGAGTTTCTGACCGTCACTGGAAGATGGCTCCCTTCAGTCTGAGAGGAGATGAGACCCCTGAGCAGAAAGTGTTCTGCATTCTCCACTTCAATAAGAGTGAATCCGTCATAACTGTGCAGCGTGATTTTCATTGGCAGTGAAGCTCCAACAGTTCAGAGCGTTCACCGTTGGTTCCAGAACACTGGATGATCTCCGAAATCGCACTGAAAGAGCCGTGAGTGCAGCGACACCCGACAAGCTCAATCGCTTACGGGATGAGTTTGACTATGGTGTTGATGTTGTCTGTACAGCTGGAGGAGGTTCAGACTGAGACCTTGTACAATTACATAATAAACTTTTTGCTCATTTAAACCATTTACAGTTCACTGGATTGATCTGTAATGATTTACAAGTGAAATAAATCATTTTGAAATCAGATGAATCTTTTTGAATCACCCTGTATTAAAAAATGTTATTTACCAAGCAGTCCAATCTTTTAACGCTTTACAATTTATGACATTATTTGTTTTATTTGAACGACATAAATTCAACAGTGTTTGATGTACTAAAAGGATGTTTAAAAGATTTGTTGGTGTTTCTTGCAGTTGGTTTCAATATCTATTCTTTTATGGTCTTACCATGTGTGTATTTACTGCTTTCCCCAAAACCCAAAGTAATCAGAGGTAGAGGTGTGAAAAGTACATCAAACTCGCCATACTGCCATACACAAAATGCATAATTTAAAATTGTGCCCCTAATAAGCTTTTACTTAAGAATTTTTACAGTTTGCATCATCAGATTCTCATACGTCTCATCTTAAATATTGAGTTTAACTACATATGGAGTGACTGAACCCATATTAACTGGGTATAAATATAACACAAAGAATCAAATTTCACATGAAACTAACTGGTTTTATGTTACAAAGTTCTCACAATTGCTCGTGTTGACAGTGTTAACGAGATGTAACTGTTCTTAGTCTGGAAAAAGTTTGAAGGAGCTAGGACTGGTCCCTTTTGAGAAAATATAGAATCAAAAAGGCTTATAAAATTGATTTTTATAGTTTTGATACTAATTTGAACTCATGGTGTAGCTTCAGATTTTGTGAGGAGAAATGAATCATTGATGACATTGGATACAAATGTAGGAATACTACATAAAACCAAATTATTGCAAATATCCCCCCAAAAAAGATTAACCTAAAAATTCTAATTGGAAGACCAAGAAGAGACGGATGGTGAATGGAGTTTATGCTCTGATTTAAAGTCCTACAAGACAATAAAGTGACACTTAGGTAAAACAGTGCACCACCACTCCTGTGTCAGCTCAACCTTCCTGTGCATCATTTGCTGTCAAGTGGGAGTTTTGCTTTGCCTTTTTGGCAAAACACAAGAGTTTTCTTGGTCTTCCAGATCCCACCTTGCCTTCCATAGTTCCCCTTACCTGCCATTTCAAGTACTTTTAACTTCTAAAGTAGTCATTTTCTTGCTTTGTAGCATCAGTTAGCTTCTTTTTTAGATCCTCAACTAGCTGCTTAGAGGAACCTATTGTTATTGAGTGTTAGCCCATGGTTTATGGTTTGAAGAGTCAAAGAATTTATTACAGTCTGGAATTCATCAGCGGACAGTTCCTGATGACGGTTCTTGACCTTCCCAACCAGTCCTAACAAGATAATTAAGGCCTGATGAGTCATTTTCTGTTGTTTATGTAAAGATAATGCAATATACGGTAACCACATTAACACTGCAGAACAAATATCATTTTTAAAAATCAGTGTGTTACATACATTGTTTTTACTTCTTTTATACCTTAAATAAATTAACAAAATGTGTGATTTGGCCAGAGGTTACCCAATTTTTTTCATGCAACTATACCTGTGGCTTTAAACAATTGTCATACTTTTTAAAAAAATATTTTTGGCCAATTTACAACCAAAAATCAATCACAACACACTATAAAACAGCTGTCTGATTTCTTACAGCCATAATTCTTTGTAAAACTAATTTGTCAAGTTATTTATCAACAGCAAACATCATTTTGTCTGTCTTTTTCTACTTATTGTTAACATCAGTTACTGTATGAGGTTGATAACTGAAAGGGTGGTTTCTGTACTGTATCTGTGACGAGTAGCAGAGTCTGCAGGGTTTGTTTAAAGCTTGTGTTTGTGTAGCTTCAGTCCTGCAGGGGTCACCATGGAACAAACTACAGTCAACGTAACTCTGACTCTGAGCTCTTACTCATCTGTGCTACTGCTGCCCCAACTGAGAAGGTAAATAAAGTTATGACAGTTGTGTGTTGGGTCAACATAGCTGGCTTAGCTGGGTAGGTTGTTAGCTTAATCTGTTTACCCCACAGTTTTTCTAAGGTGACGTGGTAGAGAAATGTGAATGTCAGCTCCCTTTATGTTGGGGTTTGTGACAAACACCACAACCGTATTCCTTGGTTTTAAAAATCACACCTAGGGTATGTTTAAGCTGCTGCTGTTTTCAGTTGTTTCTCTATCCACACAATGTTCTCACCTTTTTTTTTTTACCCCTTACCTGTTTACATCCCTGTACTTGTGAAAGTCCTGTCAGTATGGTGAAACACAAAGACTTAAACCAGCTGCAACTGTCTTCTTTTATGATACTAGATATCAGTGCTCCATAATGCTTGTAATCTCAGGGTCTCTCGTTTTCAAGGAAAAAGTTTGAATATTATGACTTATCAGGATCAGTGATCAAAACCAGGATCAAGATGTGAAAGCAACCTGGTAAATACAATAAATACAGATGTAATAGTTAATCTGTAGAATTTATTACTGATGTTTCAAAGCTAAAGGTGTTCTGTGTTGTAGGAGCACTGTTACCAACTATGGACGCTCCTCAGCCCCTGTTCTTGGGTGCTGGCTCGTACTATACAAGTTTGTCCTGCAGGGGGAGCTCTCTGATTTCATAGCATCACAGCTGTAGCACTCTGTGTTGAAGACGCTGTTCCAGACACTGATTTATTGTTCTAAACAATGATCAAAAATTACAAGGACCATCTAAACATGGGTTTCAGATTTGTTTTTCAGAAACTGTCGTAACATTGTGATTCTCTTTTCAGTGCCAGGATGGGAGATTTCATGCATTTATGATGTGACAGACATAAATGAGCCCAGCAGAATCATCGAACCAGAAAACTTCTCACTTCTTAACCCGAACACTCCATGCTTTATTTCTTTTCAGGTGGGTTGATCTTGAAGAGTCTATGGTTTTATGGACTGGTTCTGTTTGTGTTTTCTGTGGTGCTGCAAACATATTTTTATCAAGCCTAAATATTTAATTTTTATTAAACCTGAAGTTTACAGCATTTGTGGATGTCACAGAAATGCCTGACTATGTTAAAAAAAAGTCTTGTTTATTACAACCCATCAATAAAGTGGGGGAGGTGCCATTTTACCAAAATTGCAATATAACTTATGTTTTTTTTAGCCCCAGTAATGGATACATCATCTATACGTAATGGCTCAGTGGTACTTTTTATTTGCGTTATCTCAAAGTCTGGAGTTTGATTCACTGTCCCACTAAAACTAGACAGGCTGAGGAGTCAGGCTCTTTGTTCTGTTTTTGTTTTTATTTTCTTCAGCATTTGACTTAAATTATCTCTTAGCAAATATTGTAAAATATCTGGCTGTTTTCAGTTAATTTCAATGTGATGTAGTAATTCAGTTTTAACAAGTAAAACTGTTGCATGCACAAACTCAACTGTTAGATGTAAAAAATAGAAAGTTTTATTTTGTAAGAACTAGTAAAAAGTTTAAAATTAGAAATTCAGCTTGTCAGACTTTAATTTGTGAAAATGTAATTACTATTACATGTTAATTTCATGAATGAGAGGTTGTAATAACTTTGTTGTTGTTTGAAGTTGTAATAACTCATTAGCCAACAGATTTCTTCCATATCAGCAGAAAATCTCAACAATAACAAGGATTACTGCTGTATGCTTATTTAGTCAGTAGTAACCAGTGTTGATCTTTATTTGTTTTTGTTTACACCAGTGTTACCGTAAGAGGTTGATGACTGAGAGGGTGTTGTCTTTAGTTTATCTGTGGTGACCAATAGCAGAGTCTGCATGGTTTGTTTAAAAGCTTGTGTGCATTTGTTCAGCTTCAGTCCTGCGTGGATCATCATGGGTCGAGCCGCAGTTGGCATAACTCTATTTGGCTTCTGGCTCTGCTGCACCACCGCCGTCCCAGCCGTTAAGGTAAAGTGAAAGGCCAGGTTAGGTCAGTTGAGGTTTTATTGACTGTTTTTACAGGCAGAGTACTCTGTGTGATTTAAAGGGATTCTGAGCTATTACTATCTTACTGGTTGAAAGAATTGTCCCCCAAACGTTTAGTGATTAGGCCTGTTACTGTGTGAAATTCTACTGAAAATTGAAGTTGTTTTTCTTTCTTTTAGATACCCTTTGCTCTGACTTGCTAGCTGTGTAAGCCCCTGTTCTGATGATATTTGTTGCTGCAGGTGGTATAGCATAAAGGGTTGTATAGGAATTTGTATGTTGTGCAGTGCTGTTAATAAGAGAGCCTTCAAAATATTCATAAAAAAACAAGCAATTCTGTGTTAAGAATCACAGTGTATTGTGTGATCTGATTGTTACAAATTGTGTACAGTACAATAAATACACCTGATTCCTGTGATCCAAAAATATGAGACATTGCACGATTTCTGTTGAGAGATAATTTGATCAGATGAAAGCAGCACTGTTAGTTTTTATTTGTAATATTTACAGAGAGCTGAAAGTTGGACCGAACAGAGTTAACAGCCCCAGCCAGAACGCCCACGCAATAATTATCTTGCAATTTTTCAAGAAATAAGAGGCAAATGGAAAGAATAAGAATGTTTAATAATCTTCATCTAAGTGTATTAATTTCAATATTGGGGTGGTATTATAGCCACCTTTTGCATTTTCTTATTGTTATATTTAATGTTGCATTTAATATTTAATACAATTAATAAATGTATTTGGATGTCCGTGGAGAAAGTTGTGAAGCAACATATAATTGCCATATTTGAATGAGCATGAACAAAAATTTCACAAATCTATCAGACCAAAATAACAAAAGCACCCTGTTGTATAACCTGCACTTTTAGTTTTCCAAACAAATAATAAAACATTTTCACTATTTTTGTTAACGTTTAGTTTAATCATGACTTACATCTTTGATTAAGAGCAATAGGTAAACTGGGTAAAATCAGAAACTGGGTAAAAATCCATGAACTCATTAAATGAAGAAAGTAGCCAAGTGCTGTAAACAAACAGCCTGTAGTAGAAAATTTAAAGTATTTAAACTTTTAATTTGAGATGATTCTTCATACTTAAGACAAAGACGATTTGTTATATGTAAGTGACTATAAATCTTGTTGACAATCTGGTACACAAAAATGTGTTTTGAAACAAAACAATTGTGTTTAAATAAATTTTCATGCTGGTTGATTTTTTTTTACATTATAAGCAAAGAACTTCTAAGAGGCTCAATACTATTGTTAAATCTTACTGCTTTGGCATTGGAACATGCAGTCTTCTCCATTTTCAACATTTTTTCCTACACACAGGAACAAG